TATTGTATAAGATCATTTATTTTACAAGAGGGGCTACAACTGTGTATATTCCTTGTTCAGAATTTGATTGACTTGGCTGGATCTGAGAGTTCCAAAACTGAAACAACTGGACTGAGGAGGAAGGAGGGTTCATACATCAACAAAAGTCTTCTAACTCTTGGAACTGTAGGTGTCTTTTCTTAATTTGGCGTGTCCTTCCATTTATCATCTGTGTCTTAATATGGAATAATGGCATGTCAATCGAAAGCACTGTTACTGCATGATGCTGGACTTGCTAATAGGAACAACTCAATTAGTTTCCACATCCCATTGATGTCATCAATGAATCACTGAAAGAACTTGGAGTTGCTCTCGGAATATACTTAGGATTCTCAGTACATCTTTTTTTTCATTGATCTAGTTGTGGTAGTGTTTCTTGATGCTTGACTTTGACTTTCTGATTAGTAGTATGTTGTCCAGCATCTTTAGTAAATTAAACCTTTGAGATGCTAGGTCGTTTTACTTATAATTATCTCTTGTGGTTTCGTTTATGAAGGTGATTGGAAAGCTTAGCGAGGGTAAGGCAACTCACATTCCGTATCGTGACTCTAAGCTAACTCGTCTTCTGCAATCATCATTAAGTGGTCATGGGCATGTTTCGGTAAGAACTCTTCTGTGTATGGTGAAATATTTCCTAATTCACTGTATTGGTTTTCCATGGTTGATGTTCGCAGAACCATTGCAGTCACGCCAATCCACCACAACAACCGAAAAACTAATTCAGAATGTTTTCTGTTTTTTTTTGTTAGCTCATATGTACAATTACGCCCGCGTCAAGCAGTAATGAGGAAACTCATAATACACTGAAATTCGCCAGCAGGGCGAAGAGTATAGAAATATATGCTTCACGCAATCAGGTGATCTTTTAGCATGTTTTACATTAAAGTACTTTGCTATACTCAAGAGTACAAGCTTGAACCTCTGCTTAATGATTTCTTTTTAATGTTCTAAAAGCAGATTATAGATGAGAAGTCACTAATTAAGAAATATCAAAGGGAGATATCAATTCTCAAACTAGAACTTGATCAGCTAAGAAGAGGTATGCTTGTTGGTGTCAGTCACGAAGAGTTAATGAGCTTAAAGCAACAGGTTCTTACTTCCCCAAGACCACCTTTATCCTGATTTTGCTATATTCCAAAGGCAGTGACTGAACTACCTACCTATTTATTGTAACAGTTAGAAGAAGGTCAAGTGAAAATGCAATCAAGATTGGAGGAAGAAGAAGAAGCCAAAGCAGCTCTAATGAGCAGGATTCAAAAGCTTACCAAGCTAATACTCGTCTCTACCAAGAATTCTATTCCTGGATATCTGAGTGATGCACCCACTCACCAGCGCAGTCTCTCTGCGGGCAAAGATGATGTAAGTTTTCTGCTCAAACCAGTGATGTTACCGCAATGATAAAGTCTTGCCATTTCAGAGTGGTAAATAGTTTAAGTGGTTCGACTTATTTGTTATCCATTGTGGGGTAGGCCAGCAGAAGAAGTTTTGGAAATAGTTGTTGTTCATTTAACCTGAATAAGTTTCGATTTTGTCTGGTCAAGTCTTCTTTTTTCTGGACCAAGTTATTTATCATTCATCTATTCTTTTACTCTACTGCTACATGTTGCTGCTTCATCTCAGAAGATGTTTCACAACACAATGGGTCATTCCGTTTTTTCTTTGCTTTTCAGAAATTGGATTCTCTGCTCTTGGATAATGATAATCTGGGATCTCCATCTTCGACCTTGGCTCTTGTATCAGATGCTTCTTTAGGTTTTAATCACCGGAGATCTTCCAGCAGGTTGAATGGCGAATACTCACCGGGTGCAGAATCAACTCAAGTGAGTATTTTTCCAGAGTTTGTATTGATTGTCAGAAATGGCATCTTATAGTTTTGGGCAATGGCTTTTTGTAGGGTGTCATGTCGCCGGATGAAATCGACCTTCTGGTTGAACAAGTTAAGATGCTTGCTGGTGAGATAGCTTTCAGCAGGAGCACACTAAAGCGTTTGGTCGATCAGTCCGTAAATGATCCGGAAAACTCACAAACTCAGGTAAAGATACTTTCTGCTATCTGTGTGCTCTGCCATTGAAAATACGTTTCAGAGATGCCTTTTTGTGAATTTTTCAAATGGTATGTCTGTCCACCTGTAGCGGCTCATTTACCTTTAGCTTAAGTAACTATGCTAATAAATTTTTGCATGCAGATACAGAATCTGGAACGCGAGATTCAAGAAAAGCAAAGACAAATGAGGGCCTTAGAACAGCTCATAATTGAGAGTGGTGAAGCTTCAATTGCCAATGCATCATTGGTTGAGATGCAACAGGTATTTAACCTCCACATCTCATTCACTGCGGAACATGATATTGGACCCTTTCAAGGTCACTGGTTCAAGTTTCAACGGCCGATCAGCTAAGACAGCATGTTCTTTTGTTGTTTTCAGAAAGTTATGAGTTTAATGACCCAGTGCAATGAGAAGAGCTTTGAGCTAGAGGTGAAAATTTACCCTTTTATTGAAAATATCGCCTTTTTACTATAAGAGCCAAACCAATAGATTGCTTAAATTAAATATACGTTTAACTTGGTTCTACCTCTGGCACAGATCAAATCAGCAGATAATTGCATTCTCCAAGAACAACTACAGGAAAAGGTCGGTAGCATGTTTTTCTCATTTTGAAGTTGTGCATAATTCTCATATTTGACTCCATTCTTCTTGCTTTTATCTCATTCATCTTTTCAACATTGTCCTGCGAAAAATTGCTTCTTACCACACCTTTTTCCAACAATGTAGTGCACCGAGAACAAAGAACTACATGAAAAAGTGAACCTTCTAGAGCAACGTTTGAAAGTGGTATCTAGTGAGAAATCCTCACCATCTTGCTCAGATAACGCGGTATCTGGAGAGTATGCAGACGAACTAAAAAGGAAAATACAGTCGCAGGTAAATCTACAAACATACATTGTTAGTTCTCATAAGTTTCCCAGTAAATACCTGCACCTAAATTTATACGTAACGTAGACAATGCATTTATTAGAAATCTGATCTTTCTCTTTATACTTGCATGAACTTTTGTCTCTCGTTCTTACATGGGTGTTAAATGTTTTGGATTTAGGAAATAGAGAACGAAAAGTTGAAGCTAGAACATGTCCAGATCGTGGAAGAGAACAGTGGTTTACGAGTACAAAATCAAAAACTAGCTGAAGAAGCTTCATACGCTAAGGAATTGGCCTCTGCTGCTGCTGTTGAGCTGAAAAATCTGGCTAGTGAAGTAACAAAACTCTCACTACAAAACACAAAACTAGACAAAGATTTAGCTGCCGCAAGAGACTTGGCCCAAACGCGTAACACGATGAACGGAGTTAATAATCGCAAGTATAATGACGGGGCAAGGTCAGGAAGAAAGGGAAGGATCTCTACAGGTAGGTCAAGTGGAGAAGAGTTTGACTCATGGAATGTCGACCCGGAGGATCTGAAAATGGAGCTGCAAGCAAGGAAACAACGAGAGGCGGCTCTTGAGTCTGCACTGGCAGAAAAAGAGTTTATAGAAGACGAATACAGGAAAAAAGCAGAAGAAGCAAAGAGGAGAGAGGAAGCTTTAGAAAATGATTTGGCAAACATGTGGGTACTTGTTGCCAAGTTGAAGAAAGACAATGGTGCACTGTCTGAAGTCAATAATACTGCCACTGACACTGCAAGGGAATTAGAGAAGAATCAAAGCAACATGGTTCTGAAGGAGAGACAAGTCTCGAGTGCACCGAGACAACCTGAAGTAGTAGTGGTAGGTAAAACAGAAGAGACACCTAAAGAGGAACCTCTTGTTGCTCGTCTCAAGGTAATTGTTTTACAAAATGAGCTTACTACACTTTCTACCTGTGAAGTAGTCTTTACTTGACATATAATTAACAAGATTTTGTAACAATGAGACAGGCTCGAATGCAAGAAATGAAGGAGAAAGAGATGAAATCGCAAGCGAATGGAGACGCAAACTCTCACATTTGTAAAGTATGTTTCGAGTCTCCCACCGCAGCAATTCTACTCCCTTGCCGCCATTTCTGCTGTAAGTCATCTCCATGAAACTTCATTTCACTCTTTCATTCTTTTTATTTAATCAAGCAATTCTAATGGTAAAGATGAATCATTTTACAGTATGTAAATCCTGTTCCCTCGCTTGCTCTGAATGCCCAATCTGCCGCACAAAGATCTCTGATCGGCTCTTTGCGTTTCCGTCTTGACCAAGGCAATCACAGGTACCTTTCTGCAAGTGAATGCAAAATGTAGTTATGTTACATTCCACTTTGGGTTCTTTTTCGTTATCAGAGTTTGGATTCATAACTGGAAATTTTTTGGTCATGGGCTGCATTAACATAAGTAAATATTGATAAAGTTGGATGATCTTGCAGGCGTCGAGAAGTGTGGGTGAAGCCTGTTGCTTTGTATTTTAAGGAAAAAGAACAGGTTGCGATTTGATGTCAAAAAAGACAGGTTGGGATTTTGTTCAACTAGTTTTCGGTTCTTTTTGTATGTAATATGTCTCTTATGCTTATATTTTCTAATATTTATCACTAAAAATGGGGGAAAAGAGGTTCTTTTGCATATCATCACCAGAACTGCACATTCCCATTCGTAACAAAAGGTATTGTATGTTTGTTCCTATACGAGGTTCCTGGATCATCATTCCTTCGTGTCATCAAAACTGCCATGGACATATTTTTCCACTGGTTTACTTTGTTAAAAATGTTATTTAGAGGCTGCTGAGTACGGAGAGTCACGGAATTGACGTTCGTTTCATAAATCCAATAAGCCGTAATATAGCAAACCCACAAGGCTGATTTGATTGACAAAGCTAATTTGGTTTTGTTGATTTGATTGACCATTCGCTTGAAAATACATACTTTGCTTTCCACAAATTCAATTACCTGTTATATCTTATCGATCAACTAGTATAGTTGTACATTGTTTAAAATTGTCAATCCAGATCCGTAATTTTGTTGATAAAGACAAACGAATTTCTTATTAAAAAAATATAAAAATGAAAATGAAGAAATTGGAGAAACACAGAGAACAAGTTGGTTTGGGTTTATGATTTCAAACCCCAAACAACACCCTCTAAAAAACAACTAGATTCAGATCAAAAAAGGAAAAAAATAAAGTTTAGGAAAAAGGTTTTTGTTCCCAAAACCCTTGTTCATCGTATAGTGAAGAACCATCGTAAACCCTATAGGACTCATTGTTATTGTTATTAGTAGTAATGTTGTTATCCTCATAGTGTCCACAAGAAGGATGTTCGAGCAAATCCTCCACTCTCCAGCCGGGCAATGTTTCCATCAAATACTCCGATATACTGCCCGATCCAGAACCCGAATCACTCACTTGATGATAGTTTTCCTCAAGCCCGTAATAGTAGTTGCTCGTAGTCGTCGAAGGAGAGCTTGCAAAGACCTCACTGGAGGCCGAGCTCGGGACCTCGCTTGATACCGATCTGGGTCGGGTTTTTGCCCGACCCAATCCCGCAGCGGAGTTGGGATTGGGAGCTCTTGGGTACGCCGAGGGAGAGGCGGATATCTTGACGCCGGTAAGGAGAAATCTATTGTGTTTCTTAGTGTGCTCATTAGCTTGATGCATTGGAATGTCACATTGTCTGCATAGTATTGCTCTATCTTCTTGGCAAAATAATAATGCACGCCTCTCCTGCCATATGCATAAAGATTTGGTACCATTTTATAATACTGTTGTAGATAATAATCAAGAAGACCCTTGTTTTATAATCACGTACTATCTTTTTTTTTAAATATTTGTATTCATTAATTTATTTGCTAGAAGATTTTTCAACGACCTTTTTTCAAAAAGGTTAAGGCTTTTTTATTCTTTTATTTAAAGAAAGACAAAGAAAAGTATTATTCTAGATATCTTTTTCTTCACGGCTTCACCTTCCCAAAGAAGAAAGTATTGTAAATAGCTTTATTCAATTGGTTAGATACCTAATTTCCCCATACTTCATCTAGATTTCAGTAATCTCAATCTTTGTTCTGTTTCTGAGGAAAGTAAGTTTTTCTGTCGTGGTTTAAATTTGTCTCCAAAATTTGTAAACTGTAAACTTGGAAGAAATTTAAACAAAAAAAACTTTGAAGAAATTTCCGGGAAAGAAAAAGGGAAATCAATCATTTTCTCACCAAGTAACAAGCCAATCTTTGAATCAAAGAAAACTAACCCAACAAAATTTTGTGAAACCTAGATTTCATTAGTACTACTAACATATCTAAAAGCGCACAAAATTTCCAGGAAAAGTTTCAAAATATTCTCGAGAAAAACAAAAGAGAGAGAAGTTTTATATATGTTCTTACCCCACAAATATCACAGAGAGGAGCATCTTTGAAAGTAGGAGAAGTGAGAGAGAATCGGAGATGTTTTCCGGCGAGCTTATTGGCGAAATGAACATGGCGATCGCAACCATTACAGAGAGCTGCTTCATCTGCACAACAAAACACTGAAGCTTCTTCTTTGTCACACACATCACACCAAATCTTCATCTTTCACTCTCTTTTTTGTTTCTAATAATAAGACAGAGTTTTGCTTTCCTATGGAAAATAATTTCTTTTTCTTGTTATCGAGTTTCACAAAATTTGCTTCTCACTATCTCTCTCTCAACTTGTATCCTTGGACCAGTACTATATAATAGTGTTTATGGAGACATTCATGTGGGTGGATGGAGTGTATGTATGTATATGTAATATGTGTGTATGTATGTATATGTAATATGTGTGTATGTAGAGATGGTGATGGGTTATGAGTGTGGGCAAAAGGGTAAGAATAATGTGTTGGCTTTATGGATAAGCAGCTTAGGTTTACTTTGTCTCTTTCTTTTAAATCTTCCTCTCAATTTCTCGATAGCTACTCTCTCTAGCTTTGAATGCCTAAATTGACTTGCTTACACATCCGGTTTGGAAATCTTGAGTTTTTTTTTCCTTAACCGGATATATACATAATTACAATGGAATGGATAACTCAACAGTGTCTGATACATTTGATATCGTAAATACATGCAATGTTGAATACTGGTCTAATATATAACCCCATCTTTTTTTTTGCGTCAGATGCTAGTTAATCTAATAAATAGAAACGACAAAAACCGAAATCGAATAGAGAAATCATAAAGTATATAATAAAACTGGGAAGGTGGGGGAATTTGACAAATGGCCAGCTCTTCATGCCAGCTTTTGTCTTCCATCATCCATGTGTATATCTTCTTCCTTTTCTACCTTTTATTGCCGCTCTTTTATTTCTTTTATTATATACTATATATAATGTATAGCTTAAAACAAATAATTAAATATTATGAAATTCAAATTTATTCAACTAAAACAATGATTGTAGCCAAATGGTTCGAATATCATAGTTTAAAGAAAGAATGATTCAGCAAAGGTTAAATTCTATTCTACTCCATCCAATTTAGTTTGATTGTAATGGAATTACATTCTTAGTCCTACTTAACATCTTATATATCGTTGTAAAATGACGTTCATTATGATTGAGACTATTAACAATTGAGACAATAATCTCCAATGCATCCTTTAATTGATGATATTTGCTCTTTATTTTATAAATCAGTAATCAAAACATACTCTTTTTCCGGTCATGTCGGCCATACTGTTTGGAGGTAAATGAATTTTTTTGTATATATAATAAACATTAAATACGTTTGAAACAGTGGATGTGGATCCGATCTTTGAAGAATAATTAGATAATAAATAATTTATGAGGTATAGAAAACGACAAAAAACACTTTTAGAGGAAGAAGATATGGTGATCTCTCTCGAATCTTTCCCCTCGTCACCTTTTTCTAAATATATAAATATATTTTTGACTGCCTTTTTAAAGCAAATTTAAGAATCTTGTTTTTGGGTGTCAGCGAAGTTGCTTCGTAGTTCAAACTAGTCAGTATATTGGGTGTCAACGAAGGGAAGGCTCCGTATATTTTTGTAAAACAATTTCGTTTCTTTTTCACTTCATAAATTACAAATCAATTTTTATATATTTAAAAGAATTTTGATCGACAGCTAATTGTAACCCATCTTAAGTCTGTTGACAAAGAAAAAAAAAACTGATTGTACTAATACGACTACAGTAAAAGGACTGCAATAAGTTCTTACATATTTTATAACTAACTGGTAACTATTGAAAAAAATCTCATACCACAATAATAAGAAAATCTCATTCTGCATAAGTTTTCATTCTACACATTTTATACGTCATATACTCGAATTGGTGATTATATTGCACGAGCCACCAAGACTCAGTCCAATAGTTCGGCGAGATGCGTCCCAAAAAAAAGTTCGTAATTTCTTAATATCTCTATTTATTTATTTATTTGGCTGTTCTTCTGAATAGATCTCAAATCACATGGATGTAATAGTGGACTTTTTGAAAAGGTTCTTCCTGCACTTTTCAAACATTCCTTTAAAAATAGGATATATGGGACCTTTACCAATTAATTAATACCATCAATCATTTATCAATGGACTCGAATTACTTCAAATTTGCTTTTATATATTTTTACAAGAGAAAATCCAATCATTTATCGATATTATTGTAATTGTATTAAAACTAATAATGCAGTAATTCTTTTCCCTTTTTTTATTGTACTACACTAACAGTTTCGTTATAAAAATTGTTATCTACTATAAAGCTTACTCGAACTCTCTGTTAATACTTAACACAAGACTATATTTTGATCTCTATTTTTTTACTAGCCAAGTTTAAAATCTCTAAATTGCCATATTATTATTATTATATATATATATATTTTAATATCGTCACATTAATATTTATTTTGTCTTCTCAGTCGGTGGAAATATGGGCGTCAATTTTTATGAGTTGAGTAATTAATTCATCGTTTATCTTAATTCCAGCAATGGCTTCGTGGACCATCTTCTGACATGTTTCTTGCTTTATTGAATCCTGTCCGTCCAAATTCCGTAGATCTCAGTGTATACTACTATACGTATAATTCCGGCCCCGCTTTAGATTTTTTTTATTGTTTCTTCACAAGAAAAAAAAAAGCGTTTGAATCTATGTGGTCCGCTTATGATTAATTTTCCAGCAAGAAAAATAAAGTGTGATCAATGTTTTTGCGTTTACATTACTACTCGTTGCGGTTGCATGATCTTTCTCCTGATTATCAATACAATTGTCTTATTGTTATATGATTTGGACACCTAGAAATATAATTTGAAACAAAATGGCGATTCTTTGTTGAATATCAATCATGGGCCATATATTGGTCCATTTTTTAAAAGTATATAACGGTTAGTAAATTGTTCGGGCCTAATTAAATTGAGCCCATAGTAGGAAGCCCGGTCGATTTCTGTCAGAGCACAAGAGCACTTCCAGTCTCGGACTTGGCTAGAGAACCGTTTCCTCACACGGCACCAGGTGAAATTGCAATCGAGGCTAGTCTCTATATTAACTTTCTTTGTGTGTATTGGAGTTTGTTACGGGTTTGATAAGTTCAACTGCAAAATTCACTTATGCATTTGAGCAAGATTGAAGATTTTCGGCTAATGAAGACAGTAGTATGCTGATCAAGATTCAAGCCAAGAGTAGCGTTTATAGGTTAGGAAAGGAGGCTGAAGCCGATGAATGACAAGGTGGCAGTAGCTGATTGGACAGGAGGAAGCAAGCTGCTTAAGAGTTCAGTCGCTTGTAGAGTCATAAGAGATTGTTAAGAGAGTATAATAGTATAAATAGAAGAGCTATATTCCTGTGTGATCAGTCATTAGCATGCGCAAAGAGAATTCATTAGAGCTTATGTGCTCCGCTCTTGAGTCTTGCGGTTGATAGGTTTCAGAGGTACGATCTGAACCTAATCATATGTCTCGACCTCTGGTTAAGGACAGTCGACTTTACTAGTTCAGAAGCAAGTCACCATTTCCTATTTCTGCAACTTGTTCGTTCAATCATTAAGGGAGCAAGTTTCTCTGCAACTTCTTAATCATTAAGAATCTTCTTCTCCTTTTCAACGATAGTAGACGACAGATCACTCTTCCAGTATGTATCTTGTTAATTATAGTTTTTCAAAGGTCATTCAACCAAAAACAGTGTTTCAAATGCAATCGAGCAGCCTTGGCCATGGCCATTCGAAATCTCAATAAAGTTCAATATGGTGCGACAATAGATTTGTCCAGACTTTTTTTTTTTATAATGATTTATTTAACTCTTAAATTAACTAATGTGAGATCCTTCTGCCTTTGCGATGAAGCAAATCAAAATGAAAACCCCATCCTAGGACATATAATTTTCTTCTAAATCACATCATAAGACCAATAATCATCAGTTTAATATGTTTATACTTAAGCAAGTGTTTCAACAAATAAAAAAAATATTGTTTTTACTTTCATATTTTAGTGTCGATGTCCTTTATTTTCCTATACAAAATCCCATCATCAAACCAATAAGCTCTCGTTCTCTATCATTATTTCCTTGTACAAAAGATTAAGCATTTTAACATTTTAAGTGTCAATGTTTTCTTTTTCCTCTCTTATATATAAATGGGACAAGTAATTTTCTTCATCCCAATCAAAGTAAATTAGCTAACGAGAGGGGGACTCAGATCTATTGGGCGAAAATCTGAATCCCAAATCCTTCATTCATCTTCTTCTTCGTCTAGCGATCTCATTCTCAATCTCAAAACCCTTTCGAATCTCTCGGCATCGACGGTCACACGCTTTACCTGGTAATGTCTCTTTCTCTCGAGCACTGATCTGATCTGAGGTGGATCTCTATTTCCCTCTGTTCAACCTCACTCGTTTCGCACGTTTAGATCTGTTTGCAATTCCTCTGAATTTTGATTCCGTGTGCGTTTTTGTTTTCTTTTTTTCCGAGTCTCTTACTTCTTTTCGTTTCATGATTCGTCTCTGTGTTGTGGTTTGTGTATAGAGTTCTGCGATCTAATATGCTGACCAAGTTCGAAACAAAGAGTAACCGAGTTAAGGGCCTCAGCTTCCACGCCAAGAGGCCATGGATCCTGGCGAGTTTGCACAGTGGTGTGATCCAGCTGTGGGATTACCGTATGGGGACGTTGATCGATAGGTTCGATGAGCACGAGGGGCCTGTTCGTGGTGTTCATTTTCACAAATCGCAGCCCTTGTTCGTCTCAGGAGGTATTCTTTCCTCTCTTCTCCTTACACTTGTGACACGGCTCTCCCTCTATGATACTTTTGTTTCCTTGATCTAAGAAATTCTGGCTTGGATTGGCTTCTTTGCATTGGATCGGTTCGTTGATACTTGATTGTCGTATATTTGCTGGTTTAACGATTTATTATCTGCTCTTTTATACGATACTATCATAACTTCATATAATACCTTAAAGCATAAACGTACATTGGCAGATTGTGTTGAGTTTATTAACTTGGTTTCTGCTTTTCCGAGAAACAGTTTGTGTGTGTGCTTTAGTGAAAGATGATTCCCTATGCCTATTTATGATTGATTGCATATTTATGAATGAACATAAAAATATACATTGTGTGTTGCAGGGGATGATTACAAGATTAAGGTCTGGAACTACAAAACACACCGGTGCCTTTTCACTCTTCTCGGGCATCTTGATTACATTCGCACAGTGCAGTTCCACCACGAGTACCCTTGGATTGTAAGTGCTAGTGATGATCAGACTATCCGGATATGGAACTGGCAATCACGGACTTGTATTTCTGTCCTGACTGGTCACAACCATTATGTTATGTGCGCTTCTTTCCATCCCAAAGACGACCTTGTCGTATCAGCTTCCTTGGACCAGACTGTCCGTGTTTGGGATATTGGTGCTCTTAGGAAGAAGACCGTATCTCCTGCTGATGACCTGCTACGTTTGAGTCAGATGAATGCTGATCTTTTTGGTGGTGTTGACGCTATTGTTAAGTATGTGCTCGAAGGTCATGACAGAGGAGTAAACTGGGCGTCTTTCCATCCTACCTTGCCTCTCATTGTCTCTGGCGCTGATGACCGCCAAGTAAAGTTGTGGCGCATGAATGGTAATTCTTTTAGATTTGTAACTGCTTTTTTTTCACTGATAGGCAAGATTGTCACATAGTACAGATTAATGATGGTCTTTCTTTCCAATATCATTGCAGAAACCAAAGCGTGGGAGGTGGATACACTGCGAGGCCATATGAATAATGTGTCATCAGTTATGTTCCACGCAAAGCAGGACATAATCGTCTCTAACTCTGAGGATAAAAGCATCCGTGTGTGGGATGCTACGAAGCGAACTGGACTTCAGACTTTCCGCCGCGAGCATGATAGATTCTGGATTCTTGCAGTTCACCCAGAGATGAATCTACTGGCAGCGGGACATGACAGTGGAATGATCGTCTTCAAGCTTGAGAGAGAACGTCCTGCATTTGCTGTGAGTGGCGATTCCTTATTTTATGCCAAGGATAGGTTTTTGCGGTACTATGAAATCTCGACACAGAGAGACACACAAGTTATCCCTATACGGCGTCCTGGTACTGCAAGTTTGAACCAAAGTCCAAGGACTTTGTCTTACAGTCCGACAGAAAACGCAGTGCTCATCTGCTCAGATCTGGATGGCGGTTCTTACGAGCTCTACATCATACCGAAAGACAGCATTGGCAGGAGTGACTTTATGCAAGAGGCAAAGAGGGGGACTGGTGGCTCTGCAGTTTTCATAGCCCGGAATCGGTTTGCTGTTCTTGAGAAAAGCACCAATCAAGTGCTAGTCAAGAATCTCAAAAACGAGGTGGTTAAAAAGGGTACTCTGCCAATACCTACCGATGCCATATTTTATGCCGGGACTGGAAATCTGCTCTGCAGGTCTGAGGATAAAGTGGTAATTTTTGACCTTCAGCAAAGACTGGTTCTCGGTGATCTTCAAACTCCGTTTGTTAGGTACGTGGTCTGGTCTAATGATATGGAGAGTGTGGCTTTGCTCAGCAAGCATACTATCATTATAGCTAGCAAGAAGCTTGTCCACCAGTGCACCCTTCATGAGACAATCCGTGTAAAGAGTGGAGCTTGGGATGATAATGGTGTCTTCATCTACACAACTCTGAACCATATAAAGTATTGTCTTCCAAATGGCGATAGTGGAATAATCAAAACTCTCGACGTCCCTATCTACATCACAAAGGTTACTGCAAATATCATTTTCTGCTTGGATCGAGATGGGAAGAACAGGATTATTACCATCGATGCAACAGAGTACATTTTCAAGCTTTCACTGCTGAGAAAGAAGTACGACCATGTCATGAGCATGATAAGAAATTCCCAGCTGTGTGGGCAGGCTATGATCGCTTATCTGCAGCAGAAAGGATTCCCAGAAGTTGCCCTCCATTTCGTTGAAGATGAAAGGATCCGATTCAACCTGGCTCTTGAAAGTGGCAACATCAGCGTCGCTGTTGCATCAGCTACAGAGATTAATGAGAAAGATCAGTGGTACAAACTTGGGGTGGAGGCTCTTCGTCAAGGTAATGCTGGAATTGTTGAGTTTGCTTACCAGAAGACCAAGAACTTTGAGAGGCTTTCTTTCCTCTATCTCATTACCGGAAATTTGGACAAGCTGTCGAAATTGATGAAGATTGCGGAAGTGAAAAACAACGTCATGGGTCAGTTTCACAATGCCCTCTATCTAGGAGATGTTAAAGAGCGTGTTAAGATTCTTGAGAATGCTGGGCACTTGCCTCTTGCATATATCACGGCTTCAGTTCATGGTTTACATGATGTTGCTGAGCGATTGGCAATTGAGTTAGGGGACAATTTGCCCTCGTTGCCTGAAGGTAAAACTCCGAAGCTTCTAATGCCCCCAACCCCTGTTATGTGTGGAGGTGATTGGCCTCTTCTTAGAGTTATGAAAGGAATATTTGAAGGAGGGCTTGAGAATGGTGCGAAAGGGGCTGTTGATGATGAAGAAGATGGTGAAGGCGTGTGGGGTGACGAACTTGACCTGGATGTTGATGGAATCCAGAATGGTGACGTGGAAGATTCCATGCAAGATGCAGAAGGAGCTGAAGAGAACGATGAAGAAGGTGGATGGGATGTTGATGACTTAGAATTACCACCGGAGCTCGACACACCCAAGATCTCTTCAAACGCACGCTCATCGGCGTTCGCGACCCCAACTCCGGGCATGCCTGTGAATCAAATCTGGAGCCAGAAGTCATCTCTTGCTGCTGAGCAGGCTGCAGCGGGTAGCTTTGACACTGCAATGCGTTTGCTTCACAGACAGCTTGGCATTAAGAACTTTGCTCCGTTGAGATCGATGTTCCTTGATCTGTTTACCGGAAGCCATAGCTATCTCCGCGCGCTTTCTTCTTCTCCTGTGGTGTCACTTGCCATTGAGCGTGGCTGGAACGAATCTGCTAGTCCCAACGTTCGTGGCCCACCAGCTCTGGTTTATGATTTCTCTCAGCTTGAAGAGAAACTCAAGGCCGGTTACAAAGCCACAACGACGGGAAAATTCACAGAGGCTCTGCGTGTGTTCCTCTCTATCCTACACACAATCCCTCTTGTGGTAGTTGAGTCGAGAAGAGAAGTCGACGAGGTCAAAGAGCTGATCATTATCGTGAAAGAATATGTCCTCGGTCTGCAAATGGAGCTAAAGAGAAGGGAAATGAGAGGTGACCCGACACGACAACAAGAGCTCGCTGCTTATTTCACTCACTGTAACCTCCAAACTCCCCACTTAAGGCTCGCTCTTCTCAGCGCAATGAGCGTCTGCTACAAGGCCAGGAACCTAGCCACTGCTTCTAACTTTGCTAGAAGGTTACTAGAGACAAACCCGACCGTGGAGAGTCAGGCCAAGACAGCAAGACAAGTTATCCAAGCTGCGGAACGCAACATGACCGATGAAACCGAGCTAAACTATGATTTCAGGAACCCGTTTGTGATATGCGGTGCGACTTATGTACCGATCTACAGGGGACAAAAGGATGTCTCATGTCCTTACTGCACCGCCCGATTCGTGCCAGGTCAAGAAGGAAACATTTGCACCGTGTGCGATCTTGCAGTCATTGGTGCTGATGCATCGGGCTTGCTCTGTTCTCCTTCTCAAGTCCGGTGATCCAATTGCAGATCCATTATCTCGCAAGACTACTCTTCACGTTCACTGCCGGAAGTAAGAGACACTCTGAGTTCTGTTTTGTTCTTTATTTCTATCATCTATATAGTTTATGTTATTTCTTCATGTTCAGTGCAACTTCAAGCTGTTTGTGATGTTTTACCATCAGATTGTGAGACTTTTTTCTTGGTTGCACTGTTATATCTAGTTTCTTTCCTTATATGTTTCTTATGTATTAACTACTTCTGAGAATTTTTGAATTCCCTTTGCTCTCCCTTTTTTCCTTTTGCTCTGAATAGAAACGTAATAATTGAGATTACCCTCTAATCATTGATTGTGTTTTGTGGTATTGGTGGTTTTTTGCCAAAGGTATTTGATGTCCAAAGTTCACAAATGTAGTTGGCTTTTTCGTTTTTACATAAGTTACCTGTTTACATCTTTACTTCTCTCATCTATGACTATGGCTTTTGAGTTCACCCAATTAGGGCTGATGTCGTTTTCACATCATCATCTATGGCTTTTTACAAATGTAGTTGCTTGAGATGGGCTTCTCATTTGGATTTTACCCCGAAAATGAAATGGTTAAAAGAACCTTGAGGAGTGACTCTAATTGCTCTTATGTCTGTAAATCTTTGATTTTAAAAAGAAACAAACGTTGAGAATCGGTTAACACCGGTTTATGCTATCCAATCACAAGTTATCTAAGCAAGGGTATAATTGTAATTTGGGAACTCATCATCATCCAACGACGAGGGGCAATTATGGGATAAAAGTAAATACGCGATTGGGACGACGCAGACAGACAAATAATTACAGCTCTCCTCCCTCTTTGCCTCCTCTCTGACATTATCGTCATTTATCTATCTCTCGTTTGGTTAGATTCATCGACGAAGAAGGCGGAGAAAGTAGAATCGATGGGGGAAAACGGCGGTGGTGGTTGTTGTCCGCCGATGGATCTGATGCGGTCAGAGCCGATGCAACTTGTTCAACTCATTGTTCCCATGGAATCGGCTCATCTTACCGTCTCTTACCTTGGGGATCTAGGCCTCGTTCAATTCAAGGACGTGCGTACTCCTTCTCTCTCTCTCTGATTATCTCCTGTTCGTTGACGAGATATGTAATTGGCGTATTTGATCGTGCATTTTCTTTATTTCGTTGCAATCCGTACCTGGCGAACGATTTTCTGAGAAATTGGACCTTTGATGGCCATTTTCACGGGTCATCGGGACCCCTCCTAGGTTTCATTCAGTATTCATAGGAGTTGACGCATCTATTTCTAGCTCTTAGCTGAATATGGCGATCTTTTTGTGCTCGTCTTGAACATAAATCTATGCGCCTGAATGTGTTATTTTTTCCCCCATTGTTAATCATGTTGACTTTGGCGTTTGTTTTGAGATCTTGAGAGATGATGAGATCTAGATTTTCCTCACCACAGATTTTTGGTCAATGGTCTTCGGCGTTTATAGTGAACAACTCTGTTCTTATAATCCATTTTCCTATTGTGAATTTCAGCTTAATTCAGAGAAGAGCCCATTTCAACGTACTTATGCAGCTCAGGTAAATTCATGCTTATGTGACTGTGTAGGAATTTAGTACGATCTCTTTCATATAATCATCTTATAGGAGAGTACATCTTACAATTCTGATAATGTTTCTCTCGCTTTTGATGGATCAAGATCAAAAGATGTGGAGAGATGGCTCGTAAGATACGTTTCTTCAAGGATCAAATGTCAAAAGCAGGAGTTTTGGCCAAAGAGATGCTAGAGAAAGAAAATGATATCGACTTGGATGATGTAGAGGTAAAATGAAGATACTTGCTTTTCATTTTTGATGTCATTCATGCTTTGGATTTTCTCACGGAAATACCTTTTCCCTTCTTTCTGGCTTCTCAGGTAAAGCTTGGAGAGCTAGAAGCTGAACTTGTTGAAATCAATTCTAATAATGACAAGTTGCAGCGATCATATAATGAGCTTATGGAGTACAAATTGGTTCTTCAGAAGGTATGTGTTTTCAGTTTCTTTAGTTCACGGCTTTGAAGATGTTATGCTGGATTACGCAAGGAGTATTTGTAATGAACTTTGTAATTATCGGTCTGTATGTCTTTATTTACCATAAGGTAAAACTTAAGGTATTAAGGCGTGTCATGATGGTGATAAGTAGGCTTCTGATGTTATGATTGACTCCATGGATGTGCATGTGCATCTTTTCAGGCTGGGGAGTTCTTTTCTTCTGCTCATAGAAGTGCCACGGCTCAACAGAGAGACACAGAATCACAACAAGCGAGTGAAGACCTGCTCGAGTCTCCTTTGTTGCAGGAAGTACGACAGCTATTCTCCTATTGAAAGTTTTTTTTTCCTAATTTCTTGTTTAGTTATTAACAGTTACGATAGTTCCTTTTAAACAGGAGAAGTCCATTGATTCGACAAAGCAAGTAAAGCTTGGATTTCTCACCGGGTTAGTACCTCGTGAAAAGTCTATGGTGTTTGAGAGGATTCTATTCCGTGCTACTAGGGGAAACATCTTTATTCGCCAGTCTGTCGTCGAGGAACCGGTCATTGATCCCAACTCTGGGGAGAAGGTTATATACTTCTGCTTTTCTCTTAAATTCTTTCACAGGATGCAAGTTCTTATACTGATACAGGAATTCAGCTTTCTTTCCTTTCATAATATCTGCTCTCATATGCACATGTTAGATATTTGAAATATAGAACTGCCTATGTGGTTTACCATTTTGATCTACAAAGCCAAGACATGTGGAATGCTGATCTCGTTAGAAAACAAATATACTTTTTTCTGTCTCAATCGAAACTTACTTCTTCTTTTTTTAACTTGAAAAAATTGCAGGCTGAGAAAAATGTTTTTGTTGTTTTCTATTCCGGGGAAAGAGCAAAAAGCAAAATTCTCAAAATATGCGAAGCTTTTGGGGCTAATCGCTATCCTTTCAGTGAGGACCTCGGAAAACAAGCTCAAATGATAACCGAGGTACGTATTATCTCTTTGTGAATGTTCCTGCTGATAGGTGTGGTATATATATTATTTCCACGATTTTTTTTTGCTGTTATAGACTATTTATTTCCCATAGATGATAACAAAAGTTTCCGTATTCGTTAGTAAGCTAATGCATGACAACATAATGTATTGATGCACTGAAATTGCGTCCCCTTAGTTTTAAAGTCGGTTAGCATCCATGTAACAGTGTACCGTGAGCTAGCATTTTCATTATGACACCCTTATAATGATGTTACCGACCCAGAATCTGTCTGATTATGTTTAGTTCTTTCAACATGTTTCAGGTTTCAGGTCGATTAACAGAGCTTAAAACCACCATAGATGCTGGGTTAGGTCAACGTAACATATTGTTACAGACCATTGGAGATAAGTTTGAGCAATGGAACCTCAAGGTATTATCCTATGTAGATCAATGTTGTGCGGTCTTTGTTGACCCATTTATTCTAATCCAGGCAAGATGAAGTCAAGATTTTATTTACCAATTGCAGGTACGCAAAGAGAAAGCTATCTATCATACTTTGAACATGCTTAGTCTTGATGTGACGAAGAAGTGCCTTGTGGCCGAGGGCTGGAGTCCTGTTTTTGCATCAAACGAAGTGAGCTGTTTCTCTTTTTTTTAGCACTGTCAATTGCAATATAGAATGATATATTGCGTGATAGTGAGTTTACAATTATGTATCGATTCAGAATACTTAATTAGAAAAAAGTTGGTTTGTGCAGATTCAAGATGCATTAAAGCGTGCTGCAGTTGACTCCAATTCTCAAGTTGGATCAATATTCCAAGTTCTGAGGACCAAAGAGTTGCCACCAACTTATTTCCGCACAAACAAATTTACTTCTGCAATCCAGGAAATTGTTGATGCGTACGGGTAAGTGTCTTTCTGGAGCTTCTGACTCAGTTGAGGAAGTAGGAAATAGCCTTTGGTATTATAAGAAATTGTGGTGTAGACTGCGTTTAGTCCTGTCATAGTTTCCTCTGATCAATTTTCTATGATCACCACTCTGCAGTGTGGCCAAGTATCAGGAAGCTAATCCAGGTGTATTCACAATCGTCACCTTCCCCTTCCTTTTCGCTGTTATGTTTGGTGACTGGGGGCATGGAATATGTTTGCTGCTTGCAACGATGTACTTGATATTGAGAGAAAAGAAACTGTCCAGCCAGGTAATACTCCAATTGATGTTACCTATGTTCTGTCTGTGAGCACGAGATTGAATTCTATCTCAGCAGCAGAACCTGCTGATGTATAGCTGTCTGTTTTCTTTTGGAGTTGCATGCAAATATGAAAGCATAGGGAAACTCACTTGACAATTTTTAAGAGTATATTAGTCTATTCTAATATGCATTTTGATGAACTGTTGATGTAGTGTTCTTGCAAGTTTTAGATGCTAACTCTTCAATCGTTGCTTCTTGACCGCAGAAACTTGGGGATATTATGGAAATGGCTTTTGGTGGCCGTTATGTCATTATGATGATGTCATTGTTCTCAATATATACTGGTTTAATCTACAACGAGTTCTTCTCTATACCATACCCATTGTTTGCTCCCTCAGCATATGATTGCCGTGATGCCTCATGCAGGTATGCAGATTAGTTCTAAAAGTTCAGATTTATATAAATACAAAAGAATATTAGTAGTCGGCAAATACTTTGTAGTTCTGAGTTTTTTTTTTCTTTTCTTTCTCGTATGCTCTATGTTCAGCGAAGCTACAACAATTGGTTTGATAAAGGTCAGGGACACTTATCCATTTGGTCTAGATCCTGTTTGGCATGGTACCCGTAGCGAGCTGCCATTCCTGAACTCGCTGAAGATGAAAATGTCAATCCTTCTCGGAGTTTCTCAAATGAACCTGGGAATCATAATGAGCTACTTCAATGCAAGATTCTTTAAATCGAGTGTAAATATATGGTAAGTTCAGCTGATGCTTTCTATTATTAATGAGCTACTTCAATGCAAAATTCTTTAAATCGAGTGTAAATATATGGTATATCCTGTTTGGCATGGTACCCGTGGCGAGCTGCTTGCTCTCTATCCAATTCTATTAGTCATCGCCAAGACATCTAATTTTTGGGGGGCTTGCAGGTTCCAGTTCATTCCCCAGATGATATTCTTGAACAGCTTGTTTGGTTATCTCTCGGTCCTCATCATCATAAAGTGGTGCAGTGGTTCTCAGGCAGATTTGTATCATGTAATGATATACATGTTCCTGAGCCCAACCGATGAGTTAGGAGAGAATCAACTTTTCCCTCACCAGAAAACAGTGCAGGTTAGGATATCTGCCTAGCAATTGCTGTTACGAGATGTAAGAGAGCATGTGATACGTTTTGTTTCACTCATCACCTTTCTTTCCCATTTTTCAGCTTGTGCTTCTCTTTCTGGCTCTTGTCTCTGTTCCGTGTATGTTGCTTCCGAAGCCGTTCATCTTGAAGAAACAACATGAGGCTGTGAGATTCTTTCCTCTTCTCTTTTTTAGTTTCTATTACGAAGGTCTTGTGCCCCCTTTGCTGGTTGTCTTAAACGGTTTACTTCTCCAGAGGCATCAAGGCCAGTCATACGCACCTATTGAGGAGACAGATGAGAGTCTTCATGTAGAGGCAAACGGAGGAGCCCATGGACACGAGGAGTTTGAATTTAGCGAGATATTTGTGCATCAGCTGATTCACACCATAGAGTTTGTGCTTGGAGCTGTTTCCAACACCGCCTCTTACCTGCGACTATGGGCTCTCAGGTATTTCATTTCGTCATATCGAGTAGTAGAAGCTATATATATACTAGTTATGGACTAATAATGTCCATATCCGTTTTCGTTTCAGTCTTGCCCACTCAGAGCTATCATCAGTCTTCTATGAGAAGGTCCTCCTTCTCGCTTGGGGGTATGCATCCATCCACTTAATCGATCTTTGTGTCTAATTAATAATGTGTGGATGATTAGCAAAATCACTTAATCGATCTTTGTGTCTCTTTGGCAAAAACAGTTACAACAATGTGTTGATCCTGATCGTTGGGATCGTCGTCTTCGTATTCGCCACCGTGGGAGTACTGCTGGTGATGGAGACACTGAGCGCGTTCCTTCACGCGCTGCGTCTCCACTGGGTCGAGTTTCAGAACAAATTCTACGAAGGAGATGGTTACAAGTTCGCCCCTTTCACTTTCATTCTCACCGCAAACGAGGACGAGTGATGATGTTGTTGGTGATGACTCATTCCTCTCTGCAATTTGCATATATATTAAGGTCCGTACAGACAACTTTTATTTATTTTTTTGTTTAAATCGAATTTATTTTTTCCCCTTGTCTCCGTATTAAATGGTCAAAATAAATTTATTTATTTGCCTGTGCGGAGATACCTTTTCTTTTAGACACAGAGAGGGGAAGAATGTGGGATATGTGCGAGGCAAACCCCATTTTGTTGTTGTGTTTTGTTTGGAATTAAATAATAAGCTGTGGATAATGCGAGGAATTGTACCTTTTCCAGTATTTTTTTGCTCAACCAGGTAAAAACCACTTGAAGTAAATCATCAGGGCCCAAGAAACCCACTCAGAATGATCTAATAAAGCCGAAATTAAGTAAAATCAAAGTGCCCAACCAGCCCATTCACGTTGATCTATTAGGGCCCATTATTGTAACAACGATGGTTCAATCGGCCCTTTCAGATTGATCTCATCCCGTTTAGAAGCCCAATTTTTGAAAATCATAAGGCCCAATCGGCCCATTTAGAAGCTCAAAATATGGGGGTCCATTCATATTAATCTCAGCCCATTTAGAAGCCCAATTTTTAAAAATCATGAGGCTCAATCGGCCCATTTAGAAGCCCAACTTTGTAAATCTCAGGGCCCAATATCCGCCCATTCATATTAAACTCAGCCCATTTAGAAGCCCAACTTTTTGAAAATCATACGGCCCAAGGGCCCATTTAGAAGCTCAACTTTGTAAATCTCAGGGCCCAATCTCGGCCCATCTCAGCCCATTTAAAAGCCCAATTTAGGAAAATCATAAGGCCCAATCGGCCCATTTAGAAGCCCAACTTTGCAAATCTCAGGGCCCAATTTCGGCCCATTCATATTAAGCTCAGCCCATTAGAAGCCCAAATTTTAAAAATCATTAGGCCCAATGGGCCCATTTAGAAGCCCAACTTTGTAAATCTCAAGGCCCAATCTCGAGCATCTCAGCCCATTTAGAAGCCCAATTTTTAAAAATTATAAGGCCCAATCGAACTATTTAGAAGCCCAACTTTGTAAATCTCAGGGCCCAATCTCGGCCCGTTCATATTAATCTCAGCCCATTTAAAAGCCCATTTTTTGAAAATCATAAAGCCCAATAAGCCCATTTAGAAGCCCAATTTTGAAAATTTCATGGCCCAATCGACCCATTTAAAAACCCAACTTTTAAAAATCATAGGCCCAATCGAATCATTCAGATTGATAATAAGCTCATTTAAAAGCCCAACTTTATAAATCTCAGGGCCCAGTCAGTCCATTCATATTCATCTTATCAGCCCACCTAGAAGGCCAACTAAATTATAAGGGCTTAATCAGCCCATTCAGATTGTTCTAATACAGCGCCCATTTGGAAACCAAACTTAGATTTAAATTACAATAGCCTAACCAGCCCATTCATATCGCTGATCATTCATATCGCTGATCGTGCTGCCTTCGACAGCATTTTATATACAAACTTCATCTTTCTTTAAAAAAAGCAGAGAGGGTCGACGCGAAGAGCGGTCGCTTACGCAAATCACGAAAAGTAAGTTAAATTTATTAACGAGGGCTTAATTACGGGGCGGCGGTGGAGACGGTGGCTGAAACGGTAGAGACGAGACTGTCAACGCCACAAATGTTACGGCCTTTGCAGATTTTGTAGAAACCATTCTCACCCCAAGTCTCTCCCCATGAGTTCTTGATGATCCAGTAAGGCTTCTCCTTGAACCTAGCCGGGGCGTAACCGGCGGAGCCGTAACCCACCAACAAGACACCGTGGTTGAGTCTCCTGGCGCATATGTAAGGGCACGAGACTCCTCCAATGTAAGTCTGCATATAGGCGGCGTTGATGGCTACTGCAAGTGGGCCGTTCTTGACGAGGTTTGCAGCGATCTGTTCTTCGTCAATGGAGATGACGCTGAAGTTGGAGACAGAGGCAACGATCTTGGACTTGTCTAACTTGCAGGTCGGGCCGTCCTTTCCAGTGTATGGATAGTCTTCCTCTCTCATGAGCCCTCCGGTTTTGAGTGTGTACTCAAATGCGCTGTTCATTAGCCCACCATTGCAACCAGAGTCGCATGAACCGGCCTCTTCTGGGTCACACTGCATCAAGTGTGATATGAGGACAATTATTAGTCATTACAACGTTTTCACAGAGATTACTAGTTCAGAATTATCAGTCATATAGTATAGGCAATGATGAGAGACGAGAGCATTTCAAATATGCAGCCTGAACTAACATATACTGAGATTCATCATCATCTGAATATATATATGAGGGAAAACTATCAACATCTTGTATAAACACAAATTGATTATTGATCAAGCATCATCTATATATCTAGCACAGTTGAGATTTTAAGTTCAATGCCATCCGAAAGTAATTGGGGAAAAAAAAGAGAGACGGATGTGAAACAAAGTCAAACCTCGTGATCACAGTTGACGAGCTGCCGTTGAATAAGGCTGACGAGTTTGCCGGTTGCGAGGAAGTTAGCACCCACCAGAGCTCCGGTGGCGCTGAAACGCCCCCTAGTGGTTCACCAAGAGCAATCAGCAAAATCATCCATTATAGAATTTGAATACAATTCCGTAAAGAAATCAATTTCAATCATCGAATTGGATCATTTTCAAACACAGAGTCATAGAATTCGATAAGGCATCAATTGTTCGAGTACAATAATCACGAGGACAATACCTGATTCTTGATGGGAGTAACTGCGCCACGATCTCTCCAGAAGATTTTCGGTAGGGAGAATCGGAGCCTTGTTGGCGTCCTTCGGAAGCTTAAACCCGCCTTTAACACCGAGGTGCTTCTTCCGGAACTCAGACCGAGTCAGATCTGAGAACTGCGTCACACCATGACGCGCGACGAATCCATCTTCTGGTGACGCCTCGCTCGCCTGAGATTCGCCTTGAAAACCTAGATCCTGTAATCATGCTCCTCACTGGAGCCGTAAACCTTGCCGAACTTCCTCTTGAAAAGAGAAAAGTGATCCTCAGAGGATAAAACCTTGGGCTCGGCTCCATCAACCACCTGCCGGATCACGTGGTCACCGCCGTCAGACGACGACGTCTCAGGGAGAATCCCCCTGGACGAAACGGAGACGAAAAGGAAAAGAAGCACGAAAACGGAGAAAGAAAGCTTAAGACGATCCATGGGTTTCGATTGAAGAAATCAGAGAGGAAGGGAGAGGGATTAATACCAATTTGGGGGAAGAAAGTATCTATACAACACGCCAATGATAATAATAATATAAATATCACTTATTCCTTGCAAATATATAACCATTCAAAAGATTTTTTTTTTTTTTTGTCAAACACATTATTTATTCATTGCAAATACATCATTTAGTCTATACTGCTTATAAAATATACTTCATTTGTTGCCTTTTTCCCATTTTATCGAATATATATGTTATTAGTAAATAGTAATACTTTATATATATAGGCTTATAGTAATACTTCTTTCAGGGTTAGGACAGATAATGGCAAGATCAAACATCAATATCGAAAATGTGAAACAAAAATCGTCGAGCGATTACAGTTGAAGAAAAGGTATGATCTGGTTTCGAACGATTATACAGTCCCAAATTTAAATCTGGTTGCCTTGGGCAATGATAACAATAAAAAAAAAAAAAAAACTTGACGGCCAATGATAATAATAATATATAAACATCATTTATTCATTGCAAATATACACCTTATATATAGTTAAACATCATTTAATTATGCGTAGGATGGTCTTTCTCGCTTTCGCCTATGATCTCCTCTTCCGCGTACGGCAGAACTCGCAGCAGTCGGAGGTAAGGACTAAGGAGATGCTTCACGAAGACAATAGCTGCCGGCACAGCACCAAATCCGAACCTTTTCTTGTGCTTTCTCTGATAAAATGAAAATCCTCTTAGAATTTTTCGTGGTGATTTTTAAGTATTCTTAACAACATCCTTCTAAATAACATAATTTTTGAGCATTTATTATTTATATTTTATGTTGGTTTAAATTAAATAGATGGAGTTAGTGCTGTTAACTTGTCAAGCCAAACTGAACCAATCCATAGCAGGTTAAATGGATCACGAAACTTGTTTAGCGAATAGATCAGACCAATCCATTTTTTAACCGTGTAAAAGCATCCAGGTTTTTTTAATAGCTATCGAAAAATAATATTATTAATTTATTTTCAACTATTATAGTCTGTTATAATCATCTTTCATTTGCATTGGTCTCCAAGAAGAAGCCAAAGTATCTGAGTAGAACATAGCCAAAACACCTTTCTTCTCTGTATGTAACCACACTGTCCCATCCTTTTGCGACGCCATAGATCGACAAGATACCCCATTTAAGCATTAGTGCTCGTGTAAACGGATCGTTTACCCTAACATTTAAAAAAAACAATATTTTGAAAAGTACACACACGTCATATCCTCATTTCAACTTTGATTAGAGCCACTAGATCTTCCTCGTTCGGAATCATCTCCTCATTATAAACACATAAAGCAAACCGGATTTGATAATATGTGATCAAGACAGCACATAGAGAATAGATTACTGTGGTGACTTAGGATCAACATATAGACCGGTGACTCCCCAAGCAGATCCAAATATAGCTACCATTAAAACATAGAGAGCACCAAACCCATCCATAGCGAAGATCAATTGAGCCAACGAGATCAAAGCGATTAAATCACATAATGTAAGAACACAAACATCCCATCTCTGCCAAGTGTAACCGATAAAAAAACATAGTTTTGCCCACCACAAATGGAACTATGGTGAGGACGATTTGATGGACTTTGAAAGCTGAGTTTGGTGGATGCGAAGAGAAAAGGCAAGAAACCAATCCAAAGACGTAAAGATGCATTGAAAAGAACCCAAAATATCGAAGGGAAGCATCATTGGAACTCATTTCTTCTTTGTATGCGATTACACTATCCCATCCTCTTGGCACGCCACAGATGGATAAGATAGCCCACTTGAGCAATAGTGCTCGTGTGATCCGATCGTTTACTCCTAAAATTTCGCTTCTTTTTGAAGGACTTTCCACAATCTCATTTTCAGCTGAGGCATCCGACATATCGTACAAGATGAATATACAAAATTTGGTTTTCTTGTTTGCTTTTCAACTCTACGTACTTAATGTATTTATATAGAAATTTGGATCACGAACCAGAAATTTTATTTGTCGAATCTCTCAACATTAAAAAAACAATAACTTGCATTTTTTTTTTTAATAAATGGACCAAGTCACACATGTCACATACATCCGAAAAACTGTTATAATCTTTTACGCTTAAAAAGGAAACAGAAACAAACGCACTTTGATTTTAAATTTTCACTTGTCATTTCTTTTCTTCACCATCTCCTTGTACTTAGTGATGGAATCGATCCTTTGCAACTTCAACTGATGCTTGAATCGGTTGATGAAATCATCAGCTTTGGCATCTACTTCTTCATCAGCTTCTTCCACCGTCGTAACTCTCGTCGCTCTAACCGTCTCCGGGCGACGAGCCTCGACGGAGATTTCATCTTCCTCGAAGTGAGAGAAAGGAGACTTGGTACTCGCTGATTTTTTCATCTTCTTGGGAAGTTTCGGTGGGATGATTCCCGCAGCTGGCTCGGTGTCAGATTTCGTCCGAGCCACGTGGTTCAGATTTAGCTTACTGTAAACCTCTTCAAGACTCGGGCTGATCTCTTCTTCTTCTTCTTCTTCTTCTTCTTCTTGTTTTGCCTCGACAGTCACCCGCGACGGCGGAGATTCAGCGACGGTGGTGGGTTCCTGAGAGATGTAGTTGTAGAGATTGAAAGACTTGATTCGGTGAAGAACAGAAGGAGATCTGGAAAGGAAAGGCTGATTTTGTTCGATCGAACCGAGTTCGCTGTTGTTGTCGGGAGTTGTCGGGGGAGGAAACTCGAGATGAGACTTGTCTGGTGAAGTGAAGGATGAGAAATTTATGGATTTGAGACGGTGAATCACTGAAGGAGAGCGTTGGATCTGAGTTTGATTTGGATCCTTGGATTTGGAAGTTAAAGACGAGCTAATTGCAATGGTCCCAATCATTAGATTGAGGAATACGAAGAGTACTGTTGGTGTGAACCAACTGTACATCGCCGTTAGTACAGATTCCGACATAGCTTTCGTGGGTTTGCTCTGAGAGAGAGAGGAGAAGAAAATACGGAGGAGGAGGTTGGGTGTGAATTTGGTTTGTTTGGGAAAAAAAATAGGGGCACATGTGGGAACCAAGAAATAGTGAAATACTACTAATGTAATTTTATGTATTCATTTATTTTTTTCAGCTTTTCTTTTCGAAATATGAGATGGTGGAAGACAAAGTAGGGAAGTGGAACATGCTTCTAGAATGCCACATCCACCACATTTATTTTTGGTTTCCTTGATTCAACAGTTAATGCTAGTTTTTAAATCATGTGAATAAATATGCTCAATTCATTGTATAGAATTGCTCAAGAGAAAGCATCTTATTTACAAACTTCATCTTTCTTAAAAAAAGCAGAGAGAAATAGAGAGTCGACGCCAAGAGAGCGGTCGCTCACACAAATCACGAGAAGTAAGTCAATATATTAACTAAGGAGCGGCGGTGGAGACGGTGGCTGAAACGGTAGAGACGAGACTGTCAACGCCACAAATGTTACGGCCTTTGCAGATTTTGTAGAAACCATTCTCACCCCAAGTCTCTCCCCATGAGTTCTTGATGATCCAGTAAGGCTTCTCCTTGAACCTAGCCGGGGCGTAACCGGCGGAGCCGTAACCCACCAACAAGACACCGTGGTTGAGTCTCCTGGCGCATATGTAAGGGCACGAGACTCCTCCAATGTAAGTCTGCATATAGGCGGCGTTGATGGCTACTGCAAGTGGGCCGTTCTTGACGAGGTTTGCAGCGATCTGTTCTTCGTCAATGGAGATGACGCTGAAGTTGGAGACAGAGGCAACGATCTTGGACTTGTCTAACTTGCAGGTCGGGCCGTCCTTTCCAGTGTATGGATAGTCTTCCTCTCTCATGAGCCCTCCGGTTTTGAGTGTGTACTCAAATGCGCTGTTCATTAGCCCACCATTGCAACCAGAGTCGCATGAACCGGCCTCTTCTGGGTCACACTGCATCAAGTGTGATATGAGGACAATTATTAGTCATTACAACGTTTTCACAGAGATTACTAGTTCAGAATTATCAGTCATATAGTATAGGCAATGATGAGAGACGAGAGCATTTCAAATATGCAGCCTGAACTAACATATACTGAGATTCATCATCATCTGAATATATATATGAGGGAAAACTATCAACATCTTGTATAAACACAAATTGATTATTGATCAAGCATCATCTATATATCTAGCACAGTTGAGATTTTATCTTATATGTTGAATGCCATTCGAAAGTAATTGGAAAAAAAAAAGAGAAGGATGTGAAACAAAGTCGAACCTCGTGATCACAGTCGACGAGCTGTTGTTCGCTAAGGCTGACGAGTTTGCCGGTTGCGAGGAAATTAGCACCCTCCAGAGCTCCGGTGGCGCTGAAACTCCAGCAAGAGCCGCAAGACCCCTAGTGGTTCACCAAGAGCAATCAGCAAAATCATCCATTATAGAATTTGAATACAACTCCGTAAAGAAATCAATTTCAATCATCGAACACAGAGTCCTAGAATTCGATACGGCATCAACTGTTCGAGTACAATAATCACGAGGACAATACCTGATTTTTGACGGGAGTAACTGCGCCACGATCTCTCCAATCAAACTCCTCCGGAAGATTTTCGGTAGGGAGAATCGGAGCCTTGTTGGCGTCCTTGGGAAGCTTAAACGCGCCTTTAACACCGAGGTGCTTCTTCCGGAACTCAGACCGAGTCAGATCCGAGAACTGCGTCACACCATGACGCGCCGACGGATCCATCTTCTGGTGACGCCTCGCTCGCCTGAGATTCGCCTTGAAAACCGATAGCCTGTAATCATGCTCCTCACTGGAGTCGTAAACCTTGCCGAACTTCCTCTTGAACAGAGAGAAGTGATCCTCAGATGACAAAACCTTGGGCTCGGCTCCATCAACCACCTGCCGGATCACGAGGTCATCGCCGTCAGACGACGACGTCTCAGGGAGAATCCCCCCGGACGAAACGGAGACGAAAAGGAAAAGAAGCACGAAAACGGAGAAAGAAAGCTTAAGACGATCCATGGATTTCGATTGAAGAAATCAGAGAGGAAGGGAGAGGGATTAATATAGAAGAACCCTAAGGCCAAGGTGGGGGGGGAAGAAAGTATCTATTCAACACGCAACGTGAATGTATAGGTGTATGTAAAGACGCTAGATGTCTTTTTCCCTTTGGAGATCAGCTTTCGGTTTCATTTTCTTTAAAGATAAAATATATATTATTTTAATCGGAGAAAATCGGAAGATATTTACGGCATTTAAGATTACTTATCCAAGGGGAAAGAGAAGTTGACCAATGATTTATCAACACGTGCTGACACTGACTGGGTGTCGAATAGGATAAGCTCAACTTGTAGAAGCGCCGTGTAGCGTTGTACAAAATTAATTCTTTTTATTTTTCTAAAAATTAGTATTATATCCCCCTTCCTGATTCCTCGCGACCACGAATTTGTAGCGTTGGTTGCAGAATTTGTCTCGAATTTACTTATTTACTTCTTTTTTTCTATTACCGAAAATCGTATTGATTACACTAATATCTCGTGGTTGTTTGGTGAAACATGAAGGCACGATGATCAAAAACTGTTTGGCATTCAACTACTGCTTATACATTTAGACGATGATTGTTTCTTTGAATATGATGCGTTTTGAAATTTATAAAAATGAAACAGGTGAATTTGGTTGGAATCACCACTTCTTTCTAGAGTTTACAATCAAGAAACAAACAGATAAGTAACCCTCTCTCTCTTTGTTTTGTGTTGTTATAAACAAACTGATCACTCAATTTTCCATGTCACAGCTAAAGGAGATGAAACCATATATACTGTACATACGGATTATACCACAACAAGTCACCAATCAAACCAACGACCTAATCCCTCGTTCTTAAGGAAAAAAAAAAGTAGAGAGGGAAAGAGAACAAACACCTTTATAGATTACACCATCATAATCATCTCAGCACAGATATAGCATTCAAGAGGGTTTCATGTTAACCTGATCGCTTGGTGTGTTTGTTCCTCGTCTTGCTTACCTCCAGGCTGCGTTTTGTATTCACCTGTTCGTTGAACCAACAAGTCAAAAGCTTGTCTTTTTAAACTTAAAGAGAGAGAGAGAGAGAGAGAGGAGTTTTCTGTCTTATGTTGGTTTAGTATGCGTATCATTGTTGGCAGGGATGGTTTTATACGGACCAGTTTCAATAAAATCTCGAGTATAATTTTAAGCCTATCCAGGATGTGGTACATCAAATTACGGATGATGAAATGAGAGATGGAGAGATACCAACCTTGGCATCTGTGATTTTAGAAGTTGAATTAGAGTTCTCCATATTCTGCTGTTCCGGGGAACACTCTTCACAGTAGAAATGATCGAGCTTTTTAGCTGCCTCTATTGTCGTTCCTATACAAGAAGGATGAAACCTGAGCCAATGTTAGTTTCCTGTAACATCAAAGGCAACAGAGTAACTGACAAAAGACATTTACAACAAAGCCCTCTTTTATGTAAAAAAGTAAAAAAGAGTAGGCTGAACAATTCCAAGATCAAATCGATCAATATTTGTTCCAGTGACTTCATTCGTTTCACTTTTTTTTTTTATCTCATACAACAAGCAATATTATGAGTGAAAGAGCCAAGTCACAGACTAAATTAGCTGCAGGAATACCCCAAGCGAGACTCTATTAACAGCGACTCAATCAGCAACATACATTAGAATCCTCATCACAGTTGTTACAAGCGTTTAGATTTGACGTATCAGCTTTTGTTGCCATTCATAAACCAGATAAGACAATACATGTGTAAGTAATAGCATCGCCAAAGTAAGAAAAGGCATGACGGATCCATTCATCTCAAGTAATCTCAATAGCATATCCTCTAGAAAATCATGGAATAGACTTGGAACAACACGAGCAATTCGGAGTCAAGAAGATTAAAAGGAGTTTCAAGCGAGCAAACACTTACCACTCAGAACAATCCTCGCATTGCACCATTAAGTCATCAGGGTTGTACGGCATCTCACACTTGCAGAACCTGCAGCAACAACAAACAAATCTCAGTTTAGATTGCAAAAGAAAGCATCCCTGACTCAAGTTATTTTCATGAACAAGAAATCAATTTAGATTGCAGAATCATAAAAACAACACCTAATATAACTTCAAAAGCCAAACAATTTAACGAGCTATCAGGTGAAAACCAACAGTTCATCACTCAATCTTCTCTTCGCTAGTAAAGCACGTAGCAGAATCAAAATGGTAACAGAGACACATACACGGCGACTCTGTCGGGATTAAAAGCGCCGGTTGCGGAATTGTACTCGAAACGACAGAAGAAGTCGTCGTTGGCGACGGAGTCGAGTTTGGTGTAGCTACTGAAGCTGTGGACCTTACACTTGCCTTCGATGGTATCGGCGCTCTGCAAGTCGTAGTGGTCGGAGAGGAAGACCTCCTTGGCTCCGTGGAACTGTCTCCTCCCTCCCATGGACTCCTCCGGGCGGTAATACCACCTCACACGAATCCTCGCGTTCGATCCACGCGCGTCCGTCTCGATCGCCTCCACCCTCGCTACGTACGACGGTTTCCCCGGCTCCGACGACCGCATCAAAACAGCATCTCCCTCTTCAAAAGCGAATAAATAACGACTCAATTTACAATTACAAAGGAGATTATCCAGGGATTTTCTCGAATTTCGGAACTGTTCAATGGAAGAGAGAAGAAATCAAATGGGGTGAGCTATGAAAAAATCTGAAGAAGAATAGCAACGACAAACCTTGAATCGTCCTGTTGATATGTTTCAGTTTATATGACTTGAGTTGCTTCCTAGGAGCTTTTTGCTTGGGCATCTGAAGGTGAATAGCGATTAAAGAAGCCGGAAGTTTTTTCTCGAGAAAGTGAGGGAAAAATGACTCTGCGATCAGTTTTCTCAATGGAGGAGACACGGAAATCACAATATCGTGAGACAATAATCAGTTGAGACGCGGGGTACGGTAAGAAGAAACCATATGGACCTCAGCAGCGTCCGATTAGGAGATCAATGGCAAGATCGTGAATATAGAGAAAAGCAAGGGAGTAAAGGGGTAAAGAGAATGTCAGATAGTCAATTGACCACGTCAGCTACTTAAATGAAGAGCGTGTCTTGTACGCGCCTCTGCCCCGCTCCCAATGTCGTGATTCATGTAAAAGTAGCCACGCAAGCGCCTTACTCATTATGACTTGTCTTGACTTTGTTTCCAAATGTTATAATTTACTACGTACGGTTATCTTTTTATTCGTATATTATATGCAAATGCAAAAGGATTACCAACATTCTTCCTGTACAAACGGGAGCGAAGCTATACTTAAATTTGCGCAAGATAAAAGATAACCCACACCAACATTAAAAGTCTAAAGAAAATTGTGATGTGGATGGCCCCCACATACATGACGCTTTTAGATAAGTAAAAAAAGAATAGGGGTCCATTCATAAAGATTTGTATTGTAATAAACTGAGAAAGTGTTTTAGATTATTCCTAAGCACCAACACAAGGCGAGGAACAATGGGTGCTACTAGAGACTCTACGACAAGGGTAGCTTTGGAAATTCACATTACTGTTAACAGCAGCAGAAAACGAGGATGAAGATGATTGCTTATTCTTCTTCTTCCTCTTCTTGTAGGCATCATCATCATCATCAAGAGGTTGGGTTGGTTTCTTCAGATCTTCAAGGCATTTAGCGTCTGAGATACAGGCGAATGATCTTGCTTTCCCTGAATAGTACCTTGACAAACCTCTCCTATTTTTTTTATCATCAAATCCGAAATTAGAAACTAATCCAGCATTCTATAATCAAAACAAGAAACACATAACCAATGAGATTAAATTTACTTTTTGGGAAGGTTGTTTCTTAGCTCTCCCATGTCAAAAGCCATCAGCCCATTTATGTTTTCCATGGTTTATAGTAGGATAGAGAGAGATATCTCATTTGCCTTTTGTGTGAAAATTTAAGCTATTGATTTATATAGCTTAATTGAAGGAAAAGGAAAGAGAAGGGGAACTCATTTGCTTAATTGAAGGGAATGGTTTCTATTTCTGGGATTTTTATTTTATTCTGCTTTCATGGTTCTCTTATTTTTGGCAGAATCTGTGATAGACCTCTCATCCTTTCTCACCTATACTTCCTCTCCTACAAACACTTGTGACGAGTTTGATATCCAAACATTTTACGATTATCTAATACAAAATATTGCAGGGGTCTGTCTCTACCATGAGTAAATGACTAGCACCAAACTAACCCATCTAAAGAAAGAAATGGCTTCTGTGGCCATTATCGAACACAAGTTGCAAACCAAACACTAATTCCAATAGTTAATGACACACACAAAACATCGAGGTCTTTTTCTTAATTTAGCTATAATTAAGGTTGACATTTCACAGCAATTTTAACTAGAGTTTGTACTAGACAACAGAATAAGAGAAATGTTTACCAATCTAATTTATTTTATAACTTTTGGAGGAAAAACACATTGTCCTCCAGTTTACACACCATCCTAGAGAAGATTCACACACACCATCCTAGAGAAGATTCACACACAATTAGGTTTCAAATTGAAGTTTGTATTTGTAACTTAATATTAACAAGGGCCTATATTAACAACTAGAATAAAGGAGGATAAGAAGATAAATGCATCAGAGCATTTAGTAGTATACATGCATATACAAAATCCACCCACAAGTTACAATTCATACAAAACAAAACAAAAAAAATAGATAAACTTGACGAAATACAATCCAAAAAATATAAACATCACATACATCCCCCGAACCACCATAAAAACATAAAAAAGAAAAAAACATATCACTTTTTTTTTCTTTCTATTTCAATTACTGTTATATAACAACAAATTCGTTTTGGTGTTGTTTTGTCTTTTTTATAAATTAAGTTTGTTTTATCTTCCGTTAAGGTTAGCAAACTGAGTAAACATGGCTGTTCCAGAGTGTTCGTCCACGGCCTGAACCTCTGCTGTGCCATTGTTCTCTTCCACCTTGGAAGAAACCGGAACACTAGCCGCCGCATTTTCAGTGGCTGAAGGAGTGGTTGGAGTTGGAGCAGCCGGCGGCACTGAGCCAGGTGTCACTGGCTTACCATTCTCAGTCTCCTCGGCTTTGCCCTGAGTGAACGCCTCTTGAAGCTGAAGAGCATATTCCAAGTTCCACAGAACATCTCCCATTGTTGGCCTATCAACACCGTAATCCTCGAGACACTTCTCTGCAGCTTCCGCAAACTTCTTCATCGATTCAGGATTTATCGTTCCAGCCAAATGAGGATCAATGATCTTTTCGAGCAGTCCTTTTCGTTTCCATTGCATAGCCCATTCCGCTAAGTTAACCTGTTCTCTTGGTAGCTGAGGATTGATGGCTGGTCTTGCGCACAGAGCTTCTAGAAGAACGACACCAAATGAATAAACATCAGATTTATCAGTAAGTTGCTGTCTTCTAAAGTATTCCGGGTCAAGGTACCCGAAACTTCCTTTCACGGCCGTGCTGACATGGTTTTGTCCAAAGGCTACATCTTTAGAGAGACCAAAGTCAGCGACTTTGGCAACTAAAGCATCGTCAAGAAGGATGTTGGTTGATTTGACGTCACGGTGGATAATCCCTTGTGCAGTTCCCGTGTGTAAATAGTGAAGCCCACGAGCAGATCCGATACAGACCTCGAGTCGTTGTTTCCAGGTTAGTGGAGCGAGGTTCTTCCCGTATAAATGATCCCTGAACGGACCATTGGACATGAACTCATAGACTAGGATCATCTCTGAGTTTTCATCGCAGTAACCAATTAAGGAGACCAAGTGCCTGTGTCGGAGCTTCGAAAGCATCTGGATCTCTGTCTGAAACTCAGTGATTCCTTGCTCAGACTGTGGGTTACCTCGCTTGACAGCAACTTTGGTTCCGTCGTCGAGGGTTCCAATATAGACATTACCGAATCCTCCAACACCGATAATCTGAGATGCTTCGAAGTTCTTGGTGGCTTCTTGAAGCTCTGAAAGCGAGAAATAGCGGCCCAGGCCCATAGTGGAGTTGTAGAAGTTGGATTTCTGAGAGCCACCTTTGCTTGTCATGAAAGTGCTGTCACCGGCGTGTATCGGAAGCAACCAAGAGGAGAAACTGTTTCTCTTTTGCCAATCTTGTGGCCTCTTCTTCCACCTGTAAACCATGGCTCCAAGGCCAATGAAAGCTCCAAACATCATCACAAACCCCGCGGTTGCAACCATCCCATGTTTCCCCATGCCAGTGGTTCTACCATCAACTCCAAACTCTCCGTCAAGGCTGTTCACGGAATTGCTCATCTTCAAGACCTCAACTCCATTCAAGATCGCGTTCTGGGTACCTGTATCTTCTCCCATGGGACCAATCTGGACTTGGAGCTCAGGGCCCATAAGCGTCGCGTTCACAACAATGTCTTTGTAGTAAGGAGCTGCGAGATCGCCTGCGACGGTGGACAAATCCAGTCCAGAGATGGCAGTTTTCCCGTTGATGTACACATTGAAGTAGAGGTCATTGAGAGACTTGCTAACGATGTCACAGAAATGAAGGCGAATGAAGTAGTTAAACGACGGGTTCGAGGGGAAATTCCAGCTGACGTTGAAATTAGGAGCAATGGTGTGAGAATCAGCCATTTCCGCAGCTGTTGCATAAACCGTCTGTGGAGCAATCAAAGGTGTAACACCAGGAGGGTACTTGATTGCGGAAGGTGTCGTCTTGACGTCCTTAGCCATGTTCTCATCTTTCAAGAATTCCTTATCAGGAATCCATGTTCTTCCTAATGTGTCATTCTGAGGCATGATCAAGGGACCACCAACGTTGACTCTGTAAACGGACTGGTACGCGTAGTCAGACAGGCCCGAGAAACCGTTGACGGGGAAAAGGGCGGTGCCGGAATCAGAGATCAGTTCGTCCGGAGCTGAGACAACTTCGATGGCGTTGATGAACGCTGCAGAGCTTTTCATAGGTCTGAACCTGAGGGAGAACTGCGCATCCGTCATGTTGACGAGATACTCCTTCTGGAGAACAGCTTGGCTATCAATGTTGTTGTTGCTGATTTTGAAGTTATGGAGCAACACATATTTCTCGGTCAGAACGGAAAACGTTGCTTGTTGGAGATCAAACTTGTCATTGGGGAAGGCCAGGAAATGGAGGCGAACCCAATGCCAACCGGGTCGGGTCAAATGGAATTTGTAGGTGGCTTCCTCGCGGAAGATCCTTGCGGTTAGATAGATAGGAGAAGCGACCTTGTCTGAAGGTGGGGCCGAGACCTGAATATCATCCTTGGCTTCAATGTATTGCACCGTCTCTTGGTCACTCTTGAAGACTCTTCCATCAGGGGTTTTGGACGACGACTTGCTTCCACAGTCTACGAGAATATCATCTGCAGGTTTGAAACCGGTAGCGGGTCCCACAGCAGCGGCGGCAGGGCCTGAGAGGAAGAGGAGAATAGCAAGGAAGAGAGCCATGGAAGGCTTTGGAGAGAAATGAAAGATGGGAATCGTGATGAGTATGTTTGGTTTCTTTCTTGTCTCCATCCCTCCTGGGTGGGAAGGAGAGAGAGAAGAGAGAGGGATGAGGAAGAACAAATGATAAGAAGGAATGAGGGAGTTTGTTGGATAGCTTGTGGTTGAAGAAAACAGGGAGGAAAAAAAGGTCATGAAAGAGACAAAGCGTGAGTTGTTATATGTGCGGCCAGTTTTTTGAGTGGAGGATATGATCATTGATGATAGTCAATGGTCTTTTTTTAGCAAATTGCTAATTCTGTTATCTAGACAATTTAGAACATGGCCAAAAATAAAACAACTCTGGTTCCCTATTTCAAGGAAAACAGAAAAAAAAAAAAAACTTGAACTGAAAAACTCTGGCCATCTCACTATCAGTTCTTTTATCAAACAAGCAAATATGAACGCAAGCAAGGAATCCCTAATGATCATCATGAAGCAAGAAACATTTTAAGTAACAAGTTAAAATACCAGCAATGCTGTTCACTGCCACTCGAGTGACTCCAATGCTTGCTGATGAATGTCTGCATCTCCTGCTGCAACTACATTAAAGCCTGTGACCAAAGGAAACGTGGAGATGTTAGATTGTTCCAACTTTCAGGGGTTGTAAGAAACTACATAAGAAGAGCAAGAAACAGAGCTTTGTGGAATATTAGACGTACTTGTAGCAACTGCACTGGATGAAGCTTCCCACAGAAGAGGGTTACTGTTCCAATCGGTTATGGTACCTCCAGCGCCTTCTATTACAGGCACCAGAGCAAGGAAATCATATGGCTGGTGAAGAATAACATTCACTTCGATTAGTATGATGTGAACGGACAGTACCATTTGAAGAATGATACATGAGGCATTTACTTTTGACGTCATTCTGAAGGCGAAGTTTTACCTTTAGACCAGATTCAATAACAAGATCGACAAATCCAGAAGCCAGAAGAGCGTAAGCATAACAATCACAGCCGTATAATGGCATCTTTACCTGTTACAATAAAATTTAATAAGCCAGAAGGGAAAGCCATTCGCTTGTGAACAACATGGAAATGAACAGAACAGAAAATAAAAGGGAATCAGGGTGAGATATGTTATTTTGGCAGCACTTCAAATGCTCATATGGAAGTCTTCAAATAGGTTTCATTTGCATGTACTATGCGCCACCCAAGAAACGACCCCAAATTAACTAATATTCCTTAAGAGTAATAGAGAAGGACCTTGTCTCTAACTCGAGCAAATGCCTTCTCTGCTTCTTTACTGAAAAGATGTGGGCTTGTGGTGTATCTGGACAGTCAAAATATGACAAGAGAAAAAAGTGAGATCTAAGAGTATACTTTGCCTTCTTGAAACACGAGACATCACATATCTTTTCAGGCTATTTCCTTGAAAAACCTGACTACAGAAGTAACGCAAACTTACAAGTATGCTTGTGATAATGTTGGGCAAGACCTCGTTGAGATATCAACGCCATTTAATTTAGTTCTTCTTCCACTCATTCCTATCCATCTCTCTTTTAGAATAGGCTGATCAATTAGACCTAGAATCTGAAAGGGAAAACAAGGTCAGTTTAATAATCCCAAATGCAAATCCTCGGAATCATAGAAGTCCATAAACGCTGACAGAAGTTTACAGATGACACAAAACAGATTATATCTAGGCAATATGAATTCCCCATATGAATTATATGCGAAGCTTGCAAATAACAACAGAGTCTGGTGTCTTACCGGTTTACCCTTGTACAGCAGAGCTATCAACGTACCAAACACCGGTTTCCCTGAGACGAACCAATTGATTTGCACAATCAAATCCTCAAAACCTTGACAAGACAATAAGAGTGGCAAAATATTAGAAGAAAGGTGTTTACCTGTAATAAAGCTCTTTGTTCCGTCGATTGGGTCCAAAACCCAAACATAGTCTGCAGATTCCTCTTTGCATCTCCAACCCTTCTCCTCACCATATCTACAGTATCAGCTTTTACAATGTGAATAAAGATGAACACATGGACTGCTAGATGCTGTGATCAAAAACTGCAGTTTTCTTATCCATTCATCTACTGGAGCTCAAGGAAAGAGAGCGATCAAGGTGTATTTATATTGGAGGAAAAACAAATTCACAACTTCTGATTAGCAGAGCCATAGCTCAAGCATTCACCTCTTTATAATCATACAAAAGAGGGACAGAGTCGATTTTTTAAAAATGAATCAAAATAATCAAAGGGAAACTCACATAGCATGAGAAGGGAAGTTGTGGAATATAATCGATACCATTGCCTCTTCAGCCATTTGATCAGCGATTGTAACAGGACCTACAGATGATCCAAATAAGAAGACACAACAAATATACGTTAGTCGATCACCAGAAAAATCCTTACGCGAGTTCGTTGCTTGACAATCAAACTCTGATTTCACTATCAGTTTGGGAGATACGTTGACTGAGAAATTGCGATAAGTTTACAACACACTTAATTCACCAATCTTACTCGATACCGACCTCTTGGGTATATCATAAATCGCCCAAAACTACTAAGCAAAAGAGAAGCAATCGAGACTTACTCATATCATCTTTATCGACAATGTCGAATTTCTTACGGAAATACTTTCTGATGACCTCGCCGGAAGCATCAGCCAGTGCATTTCCCACAGCTGAGAATCGATCCAGGTCGGTGACGCTCGGTTCCGGAGAAGTTTCTTCGCTTAGGTCAGGCCGTTTTGAGTTCGAAGCCATTGTCAGTGAGATCTGGCCGCGGGAGACCGGAACAGCGGTTGCAGAAGACGATAGAAAGGATAATCGACTGCTTTCATAAGAAGAACGAGAGAGATGAAGAGATCGAAACGCAGACCGCAACACCGGAGACGGTGGCGGAATCAGATCGAAGGAGTTGCAGAACAAGTGCGACTGAGCTAACATTTGCAATGAGAGGGAAATTGACGGAAAGCAGCGTCACAGTGTCGACGAAAAAAAGGTTTAAATAAAGATTAGGAATACGCAATATCATCCCAAAAATTCCAACATTTAGACCATGATTGTGATTACAAATATTTTAATTACCACTTAGTAATAATTTAGATGCAAACACAATAGATAACATTAGCATCCCGTATGGACAGGAAGCTTTCACGGATCCTATTGGTGGCCGGAAAGTTTATCCTTAATCTTCCTAAAGAAAGACTTCTTCACGTGCGGTTCGTGAACCGGTCCTGGTCCTGATCCACTTACGGTCGTCACAGTTGATGGTTCGTTGCCGCCTACCTTTGGTTCTGTGATAATATTCCGTGCTCCTTGGCCATCGTCATCCGTCTACATATATATATACGCATAACGCATCGGATTATCAATATGGTACGTGTTATTTTTTTTTGGGTAAAATGTTAAATTACATGTTATTTTGTTTTCATGTAAGTTATACTTGCAAGCTATTAAACAATTGCAGTAAAACCAAATTATGCTTGACAAGAAGCGCCGTCTTCTTCAAAGACATACGGATCAAATAATGTAACATCTCTATAAATAATATTATGGATGATGATATATAATAAATCTTACCGGTTTTGGAGAGGAAATGCCGAACCATCGGAGATCATGGTGCTCAAGAGGGTTGTGAGTCACGGAGATAGGTTGTGCGTGGTGAGGGGTATCGGTGGTGGTGACTGGGGCAGTGATCGGGTGTGGACCCGTGTAGCTGCTCTCCTTAAGGTGAGGAACGGTGGTTGCGACACCTGTCAGGTGCATCGCGTTCCCAAACTCGTCCATCAGCTGAGCTGGCTTCCCGTGTTGGTCCGTCAGATAGATTGGGTTTCCACTTTCGTCTTTCAGATCAGCCATTCTAAGTAACAAGCTTCTCACCTCTCAATCAAACGTGTTCTACAATAACCTGAACATATGCGTGTTTGAACTTTGAAGGAAACGTTATGTGTATCTTTTAATCAATTCATGTGCATGCTCATGACACGTGCCGCAATATGGCGAACGAAAGATGCGTAGGCACATGTGTGTTCTTATACGAGCCTACTCATCCCGACATAAATCATTTTCTCGTGGCCAAAATTTGAATTTTCACAAAACATACATATTTTCAACTCTTCGATCGTGTTTCGAAAACGATCTTTGTTTATTTAAGTTTTTTTAGTAGAAATGATGGTTTCAGCCACCTATATAGTATCTCAAAAGCTTGTTGTTAATCTTTCTATGTATATATTTCATAATAACCAACAATAAAAAGGAGAAACAAGTCGATATTCACAGAAAGAATTTTGAGTGAGGTCAAGTAGGTAGATGTTGTAGTACAAACAATAGCCAATCGCTTGCCGTTAGAGTCCAATTCTTATCTATGCACAGCCAGAATAATTAATAGACCAATGATCCAATGTTGTATTCTAAATTTGTAACTTTACATGTGTGAAAATTTAGAAATCAATAAAAGAAAAGCCAAGCCAATGAGGAAAGTGTGTAACAACAAGTAGCCAGTCTTAACTGAATGGTACGGTGTCCGAGTGTATCGAGTTCTATGCTCCAGACAGTACAGAGCAACGCAGAATCTGAAACAACAACCACAATCATCGTCTTTTACTTGTAATTCACTGATTCGAGCCCCTGAGCTATATATATAGAGAAAGAGAGAGGGAGATCAGCTTACAAGTTCATATTTTGCTGGATTTGGTCCAGAAGAAGCCTTTCTTTTTTACAGGAAGGTTCTCTCTAGTGGATTTACTGCTACCTCTGGACCCAAAAGAGAAATGTCTAGCCAAGAAAGGCTTTGCGGAATAGCTTTTGACGCTCGAACTCGAGGCCAATTTAGGGCTCTTGCTTGCTGCTGCTGCTGCCCTGTGGCTATGATCAAACATTACAAAATCATCGCAATCAAATTCACTGTCCAAAACTCGATTTCTGAGTCTTTTGTTGTGTCTAGCTTTCAAATCCATCTCCACTTTTATCGCTTTCTCTGACAGCTTCGCCGTTTTTTTCTCACCCAATGTACAAATTGGGCATGAAGGGTCGAATTTATCGATTTCCAGCGTCATCTGCTCTAAACACTCACCATGATAGACATGCCCACAAGCTAGAATTGCAGACACAGAGAGCTCGTTGGTCATAAATATCTTTTGGCTGCTCCACAAGGATTTCTCTGACAAGGGTCTAGAGCAAGCACCACAGGTTTGCTGCTGAGGCTTGGACATTCGATTGCCATAATGGTCTATCTTGTCAGATTGAAGCCCAAAGCAATCATTATCATAAGCAAAAGGCTCATTGCCGCGAGAAGAGGACATCATTTCAGAAAAAGCTTGCAGTGACCAACCTTCAGATGGTCCACACTGAGAAGAATCATATCTCAGAGGAGTTCCCTGCTTCACTTCAGTTGCTGAGCTTCTACTTAGTAAGTTCAGTCCATAGATTTGACCATCTGAGACTTGCTTTGATAGACGAGGGCGCTGTGTCAGTTTCTGTGTCGATGAACTTGCAGAGTGCAAGTAGCTCTGGGACGGAAGCGGTGAGGTTGGGAAAGAAGATGGTTGTGAAGCCAGAGAAAGAGACAATTGTGCAGGAGATGGATATGATGGTGCAGCAGATTCTGTAAAATCATTTTCTTTCTGTGACACATATAGAAATGCGGAAGAGAGATGATGCATCAACAAAGGTAAAATTTCAAAGATATGAGAGAAATCAGCTTCTGGTGAAACACACTTTACCTGTTCGAAGACTGTATCCATGGAAGAATTTCTTGGAAAAGATAGATCTGCCACAATATTCATGAACATCATAATAGATTATCATCAAGAAAGATGCAGAAGCAAGCCAAGAAGCAAACAGACAAATACTATCAATAAACATAGCCACGCTCTTCTGCTCATCATGACTCGAGAGACAATAACTAAAGCCTAAAGTCCCAAGTGAGTAACACCATACATGTGTTTCCCTCAAGTTCCAAGAAGAAAACATTAAAATAAGCTGAAATGATTTACCTGAGGCCGGAGATTTCTGCAAAGTCTGTGACCGAGAACTGTCCAAAGGAGACCCTTCGGATGAAACAAATGCAGATTCAAATTTGATCTCCGACCCATCGGCCCGACTAATCCCATCAGACAACCAACTGAGAGAGGCTTCTTCGCCAGCTACACGTCCTCTATTATCCCACCGGAAACTCCAAGTTGGAGAATGCCTGACATTGCTCCTCTGCAAATTCTCACCAGCTGATGAATTAGGCACCACCATTTTGTCTCGAGCAGCAACACAACAAGCATTCCCCATAGCTGAAACGTGTGAACTCGCTCACAACTAAGCACTATGCAACCACAGTGCTTAAATTCTTCGGCGAATGAAACGTCAGTACAACACACCACAACACTCTCGTTACCTTAACTGCAAAATAGACAACACATGGACAACTTAAGAAACGACGATTCAGGAATTCAATCAGACAATCAAATCATCACAGAGCCAGGCAAGCACGAATCAAAGTCCAGGTTGCATCAATTACAAGCACAACAAGCAGAGGCCCATGGATAAGATCTCTGGGAGCTTACTAGCCATGGATCAAATAACAAAGCAACAGTTCGAAGAACGTACTTGCGCGCTAAGAGAAAAATCTCAACAAGGAAAGATAGAAAAGGCATCATATCGACCTATCTACTGCCCACGATTCTCTACATCACTGAACTATCTTCACTAAGAGAATCCTGAACTTAAAAGGTAATTCAGGAAGCCAAAGAGCTAGAAATTCAATTGAACACAGAAGTGGCATGATTAGCATCAAACAGATCCGAAATTAAGGCCGGAAAATCTACAAGCCATGTTCAGATGACCCAAAATAGAAACGTAAACCCTAAAATCAATACCCGAATATCAAATTCCGAAAGAAACAAAGGGTTACAAAACAAATCAAACAGATGCTAAGAGAGTCATGAGCATCAAACCTGCTACCGGAAGTCTCAAAACGTGGCCGGAGAAGAGGAAGATGGCAGTTTCAGGGAGAGAGATAGAGGTGGGTCTGTTAAGAGTGAGAAAGGGATGAAAGAGAAACAAGCACTGCGAGGCTTTGCTTTGTTCCTGAGAGAGAGAGGAGAGGGAAAGAGACGAATACAAGTCTTTTCTGACGGATTATTTCACGCCGTTAGAATTCGGTAGATGTGTGTATTGGTATAATACCCAAAACCGTACCAAATAAGAAAATCAAATCAAACCGAACTGAGGTGAACCGACTAGTTACGATAATATATACTACTGTATAATCAAATGATTCAAGTATTTACGCACCCTTAATTATGATTCAAGTATTCAAGTATGATTCCAAATATATATTTTTCTTTTATTCCAAAAATTTATACGTTTGGTATTTTAGAAAGAAAAAATAATTGAAAAATGTACACCCTTCAACCAAGATAATCGGTTTGGTTAAGTGCTCAACCGTTGTGACGCCGTCAGAGTTAGCGGAATTGAAATGACACACGGCGAGTAGTACCACGTCACGTTAAAGGACAAAAACGGAGGGGGACGAATAATTAACCGGCAACTTTCCGTAGTGACGTCGTTAGATGGGGCCGCTTAGAAACTAAAACTAGATTCCAAATTGAAATATTTATAATATTCGAGGGCCCAATTTATAAAATACAGAAAAAGCCTTGTCCCTGTCTATTTTTATCTTACAGGATACGCGACCTGGAGTTTTGTGAAGCCAACACGGAAGTAAAAGATTCAGAGAAGAGAAGAAAGGGAATATGAAGACGAAACCATCACTTCCCATAATATTAATTTCAGAACTTAAAAGAATAAAAGAAAAATAGAAATCGTTACAATACACTCAAGAATCTTAAAAACCGATCGTTTTGTTTCAAACCGCTAAGAACGTATTATGGCTTTCTTGATTTACGTGGCCGGTTTCGAGGAATCGCCGGCGTGAAGTTTCACGGCGGCTTCTTCGTGACGCAAACTGTTCTCTCTCGAGTACCGTTTTTTAGAACCCTGTAAAATGTGTACACCAGAGTTTCAGTCTGTTAGGTTAGGACTTAGGAGAAAGAACACATGTTTATTTGTTAATCTTCTATGACTCACCTGGAAAATGTTTCCGAGCTTCCTCAATCCTCTAGCTCTAGCTCGAAGAACATCCTTTGAAACACTTGGATCTTTAAGGACCTGAGGAACAAACAGAAGAGACAACAAGATTTAGTTACTGTTATTACAAAGGAACGATTGACGTAATAACGAATAGTATCATCATCATCCTTACCGCTAGGCAGACACGAGATAAGGTTGATTCAATGTCAAGCACATTGATCTGCCAAAGGGATTGAAGCATTGCATCCTTTTTAGCTTCAATGGCTTTCTGAATATGCTCCTCTCTGTTCTCTCCCTGATTCAGCTTGCTCACTTCGTCCTGCAACTGAAGTAACGAAACCGCACCTAAGGGGAAAATAAAAAATGCGTTTTTACCCCGCTGCTTATATTGGAAGCCGAGAATTCAACTTTAAAAAACTGTTTATGTTCACTAATTTTACCAGAAGCAGCCATGACTTGAGATTTGATCTGGTGGCCTTTGTCACGCACCCATTCAGCTAAGAAGGGTACTTTCATGAGACGTTTGTCCTTTCCCAGTTCTTTCGCAGCTTTTCTAGTGTAAATGTAACCCACGGTGTGCAGCATTGCTTCACCAAAACCTGACAGTAGTAACCAAAGAATCAGCTTTTTTGTTTTCGTCTTTTCATGAGCGGTGCTTGAGAAAGGATTGATTACCAGCTGTGGAGAGCCGCTTTGCCTCAGCGTTAGCCCAATTTACAAATTCATCGGTTTGCCCTTCCACGAATGGTTCAAGTTTGATTTTCAATGTAGCAACAAGCTTGTCTTCCCTTGCCTTTTGCATCGCCTGCACACAGTTACAATTCCCATGACAAAACACGCAGGAATCAACAATCAACATGAGGGGCTTAAGAAAACAGTTGAGGAGAAAGAAATCAACGTACTTTGATCTTCTCTTGAAGCATCTTTCTTCTAATCTCAGGCTCCTGCGATTCTAACTCTGCGTCGAGTGACGCAATTGAAGCAAGAGCAAGTTGCCCAATGTAATCCTCAAACAGCTCGCTACCAAAGAGCATGCCAAATACAGCTGCAGGATCAACCATTGCATCCCTGCAAACAAATACAGCTGCAGGATCAACCATTGCATCCCTGAAAACTTTCTTCATATGATATGGGGAGCAGAGTGAAAACTTACTGTTGAACCCCTTCTTTTCCATAGTTGTCATAAGCAGCTCGCTTCTCCGGATCACTAAGAACCTGGTAAGCTTCACCTAGTACCTTCATTCACATGAGCAGTCTAAATATTCGAGTGATCCAGAGTAATTATTCAATGATTATATATTTTTCCCCAGGGTGAATTACCTGAAAGTTTCTAGCAGCTTGAGGATCACCAGGGTTCTTGTCGGGATGAACTTGCCTTGCCTGCCCACAAAAAACAGAGCCAAAGAAATTGATCTTATAACTAAAATCAAAAGCTTCCAAATTTGGAAACACATCAAGCTTTTTTATAAAGTTTCAGTGTCTGATTTTAACATAGTTTCCATTATCATATCTACAAATCTAGTAAGCTTGTGCTCTGTGAAAAAATCCACCTAAAAACTCATAGAGATGGAAATCTGATGATAACACAAAGTTAGAAGAAGACTTACTTTGATATAATAAGCTTTTTTAATCTCAGCACCTAACGCATCAGTCTTGACGCCTAAAATGTCGTAATACTCGCTCTCCTTCACCATAGCTCAAGCTCTAAACCGATCTTAAGGATACGAAAACGCAAATATTTCAAAGATACAGGGAAAAAATAAGCTTGTGGAAATGCGAATCAAACGAAATCAGAGCAGCAAAAAATGATTAATTTTTTTTATCACAGATCTTCGGAAAAAAATGGAGGAATTCAGGAAATAAGAAATCAAATTGGTATACACATACTAACTTTGCGATATGAAAAAATTGAATCAAAATCGAAGATCCCGAAGCTAGACGCTTGTAAGTGAATAAACAGACGAAGACAGAGAGACTCGGCGGAACACCGAAACGAGGAAGAGATTGATCTGCAAAATGAGAGATTTTTGATTTGCTAAGTTTCTAATAATATAAGACAGTGAGAAAGAAAGTCCTGAGTGAGCCACGTGTCGCTAAGAATAGATTTGGGCCTTATCTTCCAAAATCCTTAGACTTGGGCCCATTTATAAAGAATGAAACAGTTCTCTCTGGTCGTTGTTTAAATTTTTGATTCAAAGCCTTTACCTAACCATCCCTATATCCCATTAGGCCCACTAACGGCCATGTTGCCGTAAATAAGCATTAAGTGTTTGTGAGGAGAGAGTGGATCGAACCTAGGGCCGGCTCAAAACCAAACCCTTCGGAAGGTAATCAATGACCACTATCCCGCACGATCTTTAATTCTTTATTCTTAATTTTATTTTGTTTTATCTATGTGATAATAGACGCAAACCTTTCCCGGCCAATCTTCTTCAATCTCTGAACCCAGTTTCCGAGTAGCGTAAACCCTAGCGACTGCAACAATGGTCTAGATTCAAACACATCGTTTCGTGGTTTATCCGGTATTACTACTTTTTCGATTCTCCGTCAAAAAAGTTTCAGTTTTTTATTCCTGGATTGAAAAGTCGCTTTGGTTTCCCGAGTGACGAATCGCCGTTGATTTTTTATGCTGAAACCCCTATGTTCAATGGTAGTTGAATTTTCTCCCGGAATTGTGATCAGTTTGTTCTAATTTTAAAGCTTTGTAGGGAAACACTCAAAGCTTTCCTTTGTTGATGATGCTCTGAATGTCTCGTTGTTGAACAACATTGTCTTTTGCTTTTGCTGTTAATGTGATTTTGTGAATGTGTGTGTGGTGAGACTTGAGATCTGTCATTCATCTTGTTTTTGGCTTCGAATTGCTCACTTGGATCAATATTAGTTGTTTGACAGTAGCTTTTGTTTTTGTATTAGAGAGGGAGGTGACACTTTGGTGAGACAAAGAGCATTTGGTGAAACGAGGTCGATGGATTTAGATTTCGATGATCAACCCTTGGATCAGGCTGCACCAGCAGGTAACTCCGGGTTTTTCTTTTTTGTCTACTTTCATTACTTTCATGATTGTTTTGGATTTTGATTGATTTGGCTGAACCATATGAGTTTGGATTTAATAGCAAGAGCTGGTGCAAGGTTTAAACCGAAAGGTAGACCACAACCCAAGAAGAAGCAAGTCTCTCTTTCGACCTCCCAAGCAACACTCTCTACCGATGTTTCTGTAGATGCATCATCGGCTTATCCCAACAGTTTTGTTTCTTCCCTCAGCCAGATTTTATTTATATGTTGTTCTGAAGTTGAAAATGTTCTAAGATGCGATTTTTGTTTTGCAGAGGTTTCAACTTCTGAGACTGTTGTGCCTGATAGTGGAACCATTAACCAATCTACCACCATTGGAACAATATCTAAAGAGGTTAGCTGGTTTTCTTTCTACCTTTTGAATTTACTTTTTTTTTTTTGCTTTGTGTGTGCTACATGTTTTTATATGAAAAAAAAACGTTTTTTTTTGCTTCTTTCAGAATGTAGATTTATTCTCAGGAAGGGTTAGTTGGTGTATGGAACCATCTGCTCTTCGTGCTTGTACTAATAATGTGGATTTGGAAGGAAAAAGATGTGATGATGGCATAGATGCGGCACCTGAATTGCCTGATGAACCCAGAACACAAGATTCTGCAGCGTTTGGAGATTCTGTTACTCCTGAAACGGATGAAGTTTTTCGTGCTCAATCTCAAAGGATGCAAACAGAGGTGTGTGTGTGTGTGTAAAAATACTCTTTTTAAGCCGATGTTTCACTTCTTTTACTTTAAATTTTATAAAGAAAATGATTTTGTAAGTCTTAATGTTGTTTCAGGAAGCAGAGCGTCATTTGGAGATGGAATCTCTTGACATTGTACAGGAGGATGGCATCACAAGGGCATATGGTAAGTTTTTAGTCACTGAAAACCAACATTCATATTCTGTTAAATATATCTGGTAACCGAATTATAATGTTGTGATTATGTAGAGCAACATACTGGAAAGTTCCAACCAAAGCCTAGATTGCTTGACACTGTGATTGAAGAACCTGAGTCTCATTACTCTGTTGATGATACTGGTTATTGTACAACGGCTACTAACGAATCTGAGTTTATGGTCAATGTGGAATCAAGAAACGACTTCAATACGAATACTAGAGAACATCAAGAAGAAGAAGTCCACAGCGAAACGGTAAGATTTTATTGGCGATTTGGGTTTTGCTTTTCTACGTGTACTGTTTTAAGCTGGCAAATATTCAAACTGGTTCCTCTTGTGGATATTTTTCTTACCAGGTTCCTGAGATGGAAGCGCAAAATGCTTCTGGCGGACGGGAACACGAAGAACAGGCTGTCTCGCCTAGGACTAACAGTACAGTCATAGGGGAGGAAGAAAATAGTTTGGGGAATACAGTCGAAGAAGCGCCTCGAAGAGAAAGTAAAAAAGGGACATCGAAGGGAGCTACTTCTCGAAAGCGGAAAAACACCAGTAAAGAGGATCCAAATAAGACTAGCGAAGATCCGCAGAAGAAGAAGTTCAAGCATGCGAGTCGTCGACAGAAAAAAAGAAGTGGTAACTAGCTGCACAAGATTTCATTTCGGTAACTATATTAATACATAGCCTCTGACCAACTAATTTCATGTTTTCCCCTGTTCTAGTGGAGAAGGAATTGCTTGAAACCCCGGATGACGAAATCAGATATCTGCCTATTAAAGATATGCTTCGCCTTGTTGAATATAAAGAATGGATGGAGGTAAGAGCCACTGTTTATACTTTCATTTGCGTCTCTGTGTTGCTTAGATCCTAACATTTCCTCGTTGGTTATTTCTTGTTAATGTACAGAAAAAGGAAGCAAAGGGAGCTGCTGTTGTGCCGCCGACCCAAGAAAGGTACTATATTCATGTCAGAGACGAGATGGTAGAAACAGAGTGTTTTGCTTTTGTTTTCCTCATCTGGTGGAGTGTGTGTTATGTGCAGTAATACAAATGCATCGGATAACCAGTATTATTCTCAAGGCTTCGACGCAGAAGATGGATTTGGTCTAGAGGAGAGCGAAAATCAAGAAACAGAGGTAGTTAGACCGGACTCACCGGTTAACTATCAAACGTACATGAACAAGACTTCCAGAACTCGATGGTCAAAACAAGATACAGAACTCTTCTATGAGGTGATAAACTTGTTCTCTCTGAGTTTTGAAATGCAGGTTTTCACTGTTTAGGATAATTGTCAGAGATATCTACTTTAGATGGAGATGGCAAGAGATATTGTTTGTTTATAATTATTATAGACCTTATTGTCCTTTTTTTGTTGGTTAGGGAATTCGAGAGTTTGGGAGCAATCTGTCGATGGTACAACAACTGTTTCATGATAGAACTCGTGAACAGATCAAACTCAAATTCAAATTGGAAGAACGCCGGTATCCATTGAAGCTTAATGATGCATTATCAAGTCGCTCGAAAAGTGAGAGATCTTCCCACTCTCTCTCTCTCTCTCTCTCTCTCCCTCTAGTTTCTTGGGTGAGCCATAGAAATTAGAAAGTTTGTGTTTTTTCTTGCAGATCTTACTCATTACCGGAATGTGATTAAGAAGCTTCAACAAGAAGCTGCGGCTGCAAGGGAAGAAGCAGAAGAAGAAGAAGAAGCTGGAGCAGAGGCAGAGACAACTACTGATGTTCCCGATAATGTAACCATTCGGATATTCCGTTATATTTTTCTTCAAGTTGCCGCCATATTCTGTTAAAAGTTTTTTTTCCGTATAAGTAACAAAACGTTAAAAACGCTGTCGTTTCTATGTTGTGTAGGAGGAGCCGGCGAAGTCTGAGGAGAGTGAGCGAGCCGATGATGGGATATCGGGAGTTAAAGAATCGGACGGTGGGGATATTGAGAACGAGGTGAGATCAGACGGTGAAGGTGAAGATGAGGGAGATGATGATTTTTGGAATTCTTATAAAAGTGAGATGTAAACTATACTCGTTTTGATTGAGATGAAAAAATCTTAGTTATTTTAATTACGTTTATTCACTTTAAATAGGAGTAATATAAATATGTTGAAACAAGTCAACTGTTCAAAATGGAGTAATAATTACGGATATATTTTTGGTAAAAACAATTTCAAAGGAATAAACGTATTAAATCCGACAACAAATGGCCAACGACTGTTAACTCATCGTTTACTGCTCCGTTTTGTCGGCGAAATTCTCATGGGTCTTTTTTAAATTATTTTTCTTCTGTGCTTCTCTGATTCTGACGTGACAGCCTATTGATCGTAGATCCGTTAAAGTTTCACCTACGGACATTAACGACCGTCAGATCTTCGTCGGCTAGTGACAAAAAAAAGAAGCGAATCTCTAGTATTTACTTTTCACTGCTATTTTTATTAATTTTAGATTTCCATCCAGAATTAACTTCGATTTCTACGTTTAATGCCCAACCACGTTTCCTTGTGCCAAATCTGTTGTTGACTTGTTGTTGGTAATTCATACATTGATTTTCATCTTTGAAGCATGCAAACTCATCTAATTACATAAGTTTCTTTTTTGTTTGCTAAAGAAATGATTAGTATTTGTAATCTTCGAAAACGGTAAAGGAAGACCAAAATTTTTTTAATTAAAGTATAGAATAAAATAAAATAAAACAGACGATAAATGATGGCAAAAAACAAATAAAAATATGTAAAGGTTTAAATTTGTTGACCAACAAAAAAAAGTTTAAAATTAAACCCTATAATAATTAACTTCATACAGTATCCAATTTTTTGAAGGGGGAAAAAAAAGTGTAAATAATAGAGGTGTCAGGTAAATAAATTTAGATGTTTTTCGTTCCTTTTGCCAACAAATTTAGATTAAAATTCGTTGGAAAAATATACATAAGAAAACAGAAATAGTCTATAGTTCGTTCCGAATTCTACTCCACTGAAATTTTGTTCCTTTTATTTTTTGTTTGTTTGCGAAATTTCAGGGTTTTCCTGGTTTAATGTGGGAAAGTAGATTGGATTGATTCGTGGATCAGCCAAATTGTTTCTCGAATATTTTGATTTGATCGAGAGAGTTTTGCTTATTCATTCCTTTACTGTGAGGAATCTACAGATGTCAGGTCCGGTTGATCGATTCGCAAGGCCATGTAAGTGGATCAGATCTGCTTTTATCTCATCTCCTGCAATCTTTTCGATCCTTGGGTTTCGAGGGATTTGCTTTTCTAGGGCTTCGCTGAAGCGTAAAGCTAGGTTAGAGACAAGATTTGGGTTGGTTTCGAACAATGGGAAGCTGCAATTTCGTTTTTTTCGTGGCGGGTGTTTAGGGTTTTGCTATTTAGGAGGCTCAATTTTGAGAAGTTAGGTCGTCATTTCAGCTTGAAAGAATTTGGGTTTTCGCCAATTGTTGAATGGGTTTCCTTCGGTGTTTAGTTAAGAAAATGAAATGTCTTTGACAGGTTTCGAGGGGTTCTTGAGCAGTGACGAGAAAAAGGAAAGAAAGTCCGACTTTGAAAATTCAGAAGATGAAAGGAGGACGAGAATCGGCTCCTTGAAAAAGAAAGCCATCAATGCATCTACCAAGTTCAAGCATTCTCTCAAGAAGAAGAGGAGAAAGAACGAAGGCCGAGTCAGCTCTGTCTCCATCGAAGATGTGCGTGATGTCGAGGAGCTTCAGGCAGTTGATGAGTTTAGACAAGCGCTGGTAATGGACGAGCTGCTTCCCACTAAACACGATGACTACCACATGATGCTGAGGTTCTTGAAGGCCAGGAAGTTCGAGATTGAGAAAGCAAAGCACATGTGGGCAGATATGATCCAGTGGAGGAAGGAATTCGGCACCGACACGATTCTTCAGGACTTTGAGTTTGAAGAGATTGACGATGTTCTTAAATACTACCCGCACGGTTATCACGGTGTCGATAAAGAAGGCAGGCCTGTGTACTTTGAAAGGCTAGGGAAAGTTGATCATACCAAACTGATGCAAGTTACAACGATTGATCGGTATCTCAGATATCATGTAAAGGAGTTCGAGAGGAGTTTCATGATCAAGTTTCCTTCCTGCACAATTGCTGCAAAGAAGCATATTGACTCAAGCACAACTATTTTGGACGTCCAAGGAGTGGGATTAAAGAGCTTCACCAAGTCTGCTCGCGAGCTCATCACCCGGTTGCAGAAGATCGATGGAGACAACTATCCTGAGACTCTCCACCAAATGTTTATCATCAATGCAGGGCCCGGCTTCCGTCTGCTTTGGAGCACTGTGAAGACCTTTATAGACCCCAAAACAACTTCTAAGATTCATGTTAGCTTATTATAGCTTTTTGTTGGCTTACTTCTATCTAAAAGGCTCCCGGATTTTCATCTGAACTGTTCTGTGTTTTAATGCAGGTACTCGGATACAAGTATCAGAGTAAACTGCTCGAGATTATCGATTCCAGGTATCGTATCATGAACTCCTAATCCTTTTTCCCTCTCTAGAATGACTCGATTCTTTTGTCTTTTGCTCACACCGTGATGTATCTTTCATTTGTTACAGCGAGTTGCCTGACTTTTTTGGTGGTACATGTACTTGCGCCGATCAGGGAGGTTGTATGCTTTCTGATAAAGGGCCTTGGAAAAATCCGGATATTTTGAAGGTTACTTATTTTTCCCTTTAATGATCTCATTACACTCCCAGGCTTTCATATTATCCAGTTTATCTGATTTTCAGAAATGGAAACAAATGGTTTATTACTGCAGATGGTACTTCACGGGGGAGCTCACCGAGCGAAGCAGGTGGTGAAAGTTCTGAACAGCGAGGGAAAAGTCATTGCCTATGCAAAACCATCTTATCCATGGATAAAGGGAAGTGACACATCAACCGCAGAATCAGGTTCTGAAGCTGAAGACGTCGTCGTGTCTCCAAAGGCAGTAAAGAGTTATTCTCATCTCCGCTTGACCCCTGTTCGTGAAGAGGTGAATTATAAACTCACTTTCTCTATCTTATGCTGTTTTTGGTGGTGTACTTGATCCGTGGTTCTGAATCTTCCTAGTGACTATTGTGCAGGCAAAGATTGGTTCTGGTGAGACGAGCTTTGCCGGTAGTTTTGCAGGTTATGATGAGTATGTTCCAATGGTTGACAAAGCTGTTGACGCCACCTGGAAGGTTAAACCCGCCGCCATCAACAGGGTTCCATCAAAAGGTAATTAATGATGAAGTGAAAGGAAACGTTCCAATGTTGGCATCAAACACTGGAAAAAGAAAAGATTGAAACTTTGGTCTCTTATCTCTTTTTGCAGGAGTTCATACTACTCCAAATGCCCCAAAGGATCATGAAAGCTTCAGTGCTCGTGTCCTAGCAATTTTCATGGCGATTATGATGACGATTCTCACATTCTTCCGCACAGTATCAAACCGTGTTGTGACCAAGCAGCTTCCACCGCCTACAAGCCAACCACAAATTGAAGAAAACGCTGCTACAGAGGAAGCTGAACTCCTCAATTCAGTGCTGAAGAAATTAACGGAACTTGAGGAGAAAATTGGAGCTCTCCAGGCAAAGCCATCTGAGATGCCTTACGAGAAAGAGGAACTGCTTAACGCAGCTGTCTGCCGTGTAGACGCTCTTGAAGCCGAGCTCATAGCCACTAAGAAGGTATAGTAATTTAATACCCCACCGAAACTAGAGAACCTGATACGTTTCATGTTCTCTAAAAACCGTTTCTTATTGGGAGCAGGCTCTCTATGAAGCTCTGATGAGACAAGAAGAATTACTCGCTTACATTGACCGTCAAGAGGTATCTCTGCACCAGGTGGGTTTTTTCTTTATTTCCCTTTGTATCATTGAATTCTTTCAAATTATATATGGAATAACTGTAAACTCATCATCGGTATTGTTTTTGCCTCCAGAAGAAGAAGAGGAAGCAAATGTTCTGTTTTTAGAAGAATAAGAAGAAGAAGCCTCTCTGCCTTCTCTCTCATTCTCTCTCTTCCCTTCTTAGGTTTTCGCTTATTAAGAAGAGGAACAGAACAAGTAATCATTCAATCAAAACGAGTTTCATCTTATTTATGTTCAAATCTAATTAGTTTGATTAGATGAGCTCTCTCTCTCTCTCTCTGAAGATGACGAATTGGTCTTTTATAAGTTTTATATTAACAAAACAATTAAACGAAAAAAAAGAAGAGAAATATGCTTTAAACACGGAAAACAAGATTTCGTCATTATATCTTTTCTTGTTCATTGAATCGTAGAAAATGGGAATTCGGCTTATTTTCTAGTTTTCTTAGAAGCTGGAGGCTGAAGATCCTCTTCTAACTCTGGCGCTAAGAAGCAGTCTTTCAGAATAATAAGAACTGAAAATGCAAAAAAGTAGAAATTAGTTTTAAGTAATTTCAATAAGCGATAAAAGTAGTCTAATGAATCTTGAGGTGTTTTTAAGGTGTGATCTTATTACCTTCCTCTTCTTCTTCTTCTTCTCCATGTAAGCCATCATCTCATGTTGCCTCGTCATTGTCTCGTCCAACGCCTATAATTTAAAGAATTTACAGAGTAAAAACAGAGCAATCACAAAACAGAGCAAGAGGGTAATGAGAGCGAAGGAGAGCTGCACCTTCTTGGTTTCAGACAACTGAAGCTCGAGCTGGTGAACACGAAGAAATGCAGCGTCGAGGACCTTCTCCCTCTCTCGAGAAACCGCAGCCTGAGCATCCATGGAGTTGCATTTCTCCTCCAGATCCGTCATCTTCTTCACCATCGCCATATACTCCTGTCTCGACATAATCGCCACACCGTCTGGGTACACCGCGCCGCCTTCACGGCTATAAACATTGGCCTCGGTGAGCCTCCGTGGCATGTTCTTGGTTAGCCTCAAGACGCCCACTATCCCCATGAGCAATGCCATCACGCCGCCGTATAAGTAACCTTTCCTCTCCGACGGGTTCAAATCTGCTGAATAAAGAGAGTTTCACGGTCTAAAGAACTTATACCGAAACCCGGTATGGTTAACGAGAAGACTACTAACCTTTAGGCTCGGAAAAGTTGTTGGTAGCCTTGTGAAGCTTTGAAGGCCAAGCAGCAGTATCCACCGTCTTGTCAATGAACTTCTCCTCCTCCGTAGGATTATGCTTGTAAGTTGTCTCTTCTTGTTCGAATGATTCGAAGTTCTTCGAATTGTTTCAAACCAAAAAGAGGGTTAGGTTTTACTGAAAAAAGACGAACAATATTTCTAAATCGTTTTCAAAATGATTGTTTTTGTACCTCTGTTTCGTTCTTATTCTCTGAGATGGTCTTTTCCTCGATCCCTGACAAGCTCCTCCTCGGACATCTACCTTCACCGTTCTGAACCAACTGTATATATATATATATATATGTAGTTTACAGATGAATCAGAAATTGTATCACAAAATATATAAATGAATCATTCATCTGTGCTTCTCTAGAACTACCTTGAAGATGTCGGGATCGTTCCATGGACCTTTGTCTGAACGCATACATCCGCCTTTATCTGCGCAGGTGCACTTACCACCCAAGAACTCAGGCAGTTCACTAAACAAACAACGAGGAGAGAGTTTTTAAATGCAAATTGGAAGATAAAGCAGCATTTTCAGGGTCACATTCTAAAGAGTTATCAAGTTCTCACGTGGCATCAATGATTTCTAGCAGCTTGCTTTGGTATTTGTTGCCAAGAACCTGCCGTTCATGAAGAGAAAGACTCAGATGAAGAAAAGACAAAGTAAAGTTTGGATCTTTCAAGTGGAAGGGAAAGCTTTACGTGAATCTTGGCTGTAGTCTTTGGGTCAAGGAAAGATTTAACTGTGCTCCATAGAAGCCTAAACCCATAACCAGCATTGATGATGAACATACGGTTCAGAGTCTACACAAAGTCAATGGTTCTGTGTCAAAACCATTGGTAACTCAAAGAAGAAGAGGAAAATGCATAAAACTGAACCTCAGGGTAGTTATCGTTGTCGATCTTCTGAATACTCATAAGAAGATCTTTTGCAGCTTTGCTGAAGTTATTAATCCCCTGAAAATGATGAAAAGGCAAAACAGAGATGCTACAATCATCCCACCTTACAGAGAATCTATGAATTAACCTATATCGGCTATTTTGAAGCACATACCACGCCTTGAGCATCCAGGATCGTTGTGCTCTGATCAATGTGTCTTTTAGCAGCGATGGAACAAGCCGGGAACTTGAGGTTAAAAGTTTTCTCGAACTCCTTCACATGGTACTTGACGTACCTATCGATTGTGGTCACTTTCATCAGCTTTGTGACATCGACTTCGCATAGCCTCTCGATATAGATAGGTCTTCCTTCCTTGTCAACACCATGATATCCTTGTGGATAGTACTTAACCACTTCTTCGATTTCTTTGAAATCAAAGTCCTTTGAAGAAGAAAGAGAGTGAGAGAGAGAGACTTTTAGAGAGGCAGAGCGAGAGTCTTTGAATGAAAGAGAGAGCATTTAAATGTTATACCTCCATGATCGTGTCTGCGCCAAATTCTTTCCTCCAGTTAAGCATCTCAGCCCACATTTGCTTGGCCTTTTCGATATCAAACTTTCTTGCCCTCAAGAACCTGAGAGAGAGAGAGAGAGAAAGATTATGGTGATCGAAAGAGAGGGATGAAGAAGAGATGGAAAGAGAGGGAGGAAGGACCTAAGCATCATATGATGATCATCGTGTTTAGAGGGAAGAAGTTCCTCCAAGATCAGAGCTTGACGGAATGCATCAACCGCTTGCAACTCTTCCGTGTCGATTTCATCAACGATTGAGACACACGCCACACGGCTATGCCTTCGACCTTTCTTTGTCATCGAGTGCTTAAACTTGTTCGTCGCGTTTATTGCCTTCTTCTTCAGCGAGCAAAGCTTTGTTAATCTCTTGTCATCTTCTGACATCTCAAATTCTGCAAACATTCTTGCTTGTCAACAAAACAACAACATATGTCTGGACTGAAAAAGATTGAAAAGAATTCTCAGCTTAATTACCTAGCTTATTATTTCGATCAGGATGAGCCACCATTGTATCCGCCATGACTTAAGTTCCTATTGAATCAAAAAAGCAATCTAATAAAAACTCTGTTCCGTTTCCTTGGCTAACAATCTACCGTTGAAAATGATATAGAATCAAAGAAAGAAGCTCATTTTGACATTTTCATCCAACATTTTACATTCATCCCCAAACATTACGAGAGACAATCTTCTTAAGCTTATGAGGTTTAACATAAACCAAAAATATCATAAATCCCACAGTTTGTGTGATTAGAGACTGAGAATCGAATAAAATGGTATTCGATTCAATAAGCTCGAGATTCAAAGGGTTTAGGTGAGAGAGAAAAACACATTTAACTTCTTCTATAAACTTTTTCTTACCTGTAGATCAAAAGAAAAAACTATGGTGAGGAGCGAAAGAGAGATCTATATAACTCTCTTTCTCACCCAATTTAAGAACGGCTCCAAAATTAACGCCAAAATCTCAGAGAACAAATCTAGAGAGAGAGAGAGCAGTGACAATGTTTTTTCCCTTTTCTTGTATTATTAATTCATAAAAATTAGCGTTTTCTTTCCTGTCAACAGATTTTAGCTTTAATCTTATTTTAGAGAAACCATTTTTGTAAGTAATAGTTTTTTTTTATATATGTAAAGGTAATAATAAAATTATTTTCTTCTAAATCTAGTCGTGTAAACATAATAAATGGGTTTTCTAAATCTAAAAGTAATTAGGGAAAATGATGAGTATTTTTATTTAAGGTTTTTTTAGAAACATATAATAGAGATCATCATGGAGTTTTTTACCCTTTTTGTATCATTAACCAATAAATACTATTCCAAAATTAGTATTTTTCTAATTAGCACGAATCTTTTTGCATTAATGACCGATCAATATTATTCCAAAATTAGTATTTGAAGATCACAATACAATAAATAGTATATAGTATATAATATTATAGAAGTACCCAAAATATATACAGAGAGGCAAAGAAAAAAAAAACTAAGCAACCAATTATTTCAGATTGCCAGGGCTTTAAAATAGATTTACCCATTTATAACAAACTAATACTTGACCCCCCCCAAAAAAAAAGTGATGCTCTCTGTTTCTCTCTTTTCACACAATTTTTAGACATTTGTTCCTTAGTTAACTAAACCAACATAATTAAAAAAGGTCTCTAATCACGCAGATTTTGTATGTTTATCCGTCAAACTAAACCAAACGTTAATTATATAAAGTATATGGATGGCTACACTCATGCGAGGTTGCTAAAAAAGGTTCATCTACCAATGGAAACTCACCAAATGTGTCTTAAAGTTGAAAGGAATCTATCTGTTTTTCAAACGTAGCACAAAGTTAATCAGCAATGTAGCATGATTATTTAACTAAAATTTCTATTATGATCCGGAAATTTGGGAATATCCGATTTATCCTAGTGATCATGTCACTATGACTTGACTTTGTATGGGTAATAATGTTGAACAAGCGTTGACTTGACTTGAGTTGACCACCAATAATCTCAAGCTGTGAAAAAAACAAAATTTTCTCATGAGAGATTTCTTGAAAACACACAGTTGTGACATAGTTTCTTCTCATCTCAACAATAGAAACTTTGGTCAAAAATATGAAACAAGAGAAGTTAGAACAAAAGATATTAAAGTGAATATTTTTTTTTCTACCTGATTCAACCTTGGAGAGATCAAGAAACTCGGTTATTCGCTCAAGTACTGAATTCACAGACGATACCATTTCACTCAACAACTCTCCTTGCTCTTCATCAAGTTTTGTAATGGAAGAAAATCTCTCAGCCATGCTCACAATTCCCAACAATGGTGATCTTATCTCACCCGACTTAGTCGCTAGCATCTTCTTCGCCTTCATCATATCCTCTACAAACAATTTTTTTTAAAAAAAACCATTTAGTTTGATTCTAAGCATGAATCTCTATTTTTTTGCCTCCACTAGCTAATCACTGCACCTGTAGCGTTCATCGTCTTTTGAAGCTCTGTTTCCATTGCCTTTCTCGCTGCATTCTCTTCTCCAAGTTTTGCCATTTTTTCCCTCTTCCTTACCTGTCAAGCAAATAGGTGTGAACTGATGATACTTTGGCTTTTTCAAAGCAAACTTGTATCAACAAATGTCTGGTTTTCAATCTTTATTAACATAACTCCACCTGATCAGTTACATCCATTCCAATGTAATTTATGCCGATTTTCTCGCAAGTTTTGTTGTAAACAGGCTCAACAAATATCAGAAACGTCTTTGATCCGAATAGTTCTGTCTCGAACGTGATCTCTCTCTTTGCAGATCTTCCACGTTCAAGAACCTCTCTCTTGAAATCTTCAAACTCTTTAACCCCACCGCCATCGAATATCTCAGAGTCTGTTTTCCCCAAAACGTCCTGTCATTAATGCAAGAAAACAATGCAATACAAAACAAAACATGTAAATTATGATCCATAATCCCAAAAAAAAAAAGAGAGATTTATTTTTTCTCTACCTCTTCCTTCAAACTAGGAAACGGCTTGAAGAGGAACATGTACCGTAAATCTTGATCCTGAAACCGGACCCCAAAAACAAAAGAATCATAGAAACATTTAGCTCTCGATTGCGTTTACATCTGCATTTTACTATGTAATAGTAATAAGTCAATGTTTATTTTGTGCTCAAAACAGTTAAAACTGTTGCTAAAGAGAGACCATCACTAATTAAATTTGATATTACAAAAAAAAAAAAGTAATAATCAATCTACCTGATGTCCCATGATAAGAGGAGTGCTCTGAAGTATGAAACTCGAGAAACCTTCACCTGTCTTGAGAGTCTCCATAGTCTTCAAAATCTCAAGCAATCTCAGCTTGCTCTCTCTACTCTCCTCCAGTGATTTCTCCAAACGTGAAGCCTTCTTCTTCCAGTATTCGATCGTATCACTCTCTGTCTCTTCCTCCTCTTCAGTCTCTGCCTCTTTAGCTTCTTCTCTTTCTCTACTCAGATTCTTAAGCTCTTCTCTTAAATCCCTAACTTTCCACGAACCTTGGTGAGAAGATTCCATGAGTTCCGATAATCGATTTATGTCGCCGATCATCGGTTTCTCCACGATTGTTACTTCCTTCAACAAGAACTGTAGATCTCTGTTCAGATTCTTGAGCTCTTCTCTTAAATCCTTATCTTGAGACGAATCTTGGTCATAAGAATCCATGACTTCTGGAAATCGAATAATTAGTGGAAAGTGTGAATAGTTAGTAGATCTGAAATTTAGCTAATCGACTGTGGAGTAGAGTCAAATGAAATTTAAACGAGCATTGGGAAGAGATTAGTTAAAATCTACTAGATTAAACTAAATCTGACATTTTTAATTTTAATTTTGTCGAAGAAATTATATATTTATTACAACTAGTTGCAATTTGTTTTAGTTTGGATCTCTAATCTCATCTTTGTTTTCACTACAGATAGATGATGTATAAAAAAATGATTCAAGATCTAAGTTGATAAGAACAAAAGCTTTCAAATTTTGTAATAACTACTGGATTACCAAAAAATTTATACAAAGAAATACAGCAGAAAAAGGATAAACAAATATTTTATGCCACGGATTTAAAATACTTCTACCCGTTTATAACAAACACTTAGATTTATACGTGAATGCTATATCTGCATAATAAACTTTTTTTTTTTTTTGCAGTTTAATTATACGAAAACTAATCATCAATTTGATTCCTCCTCTGCCTAGCAATGAAAGACTCGATCTTGTATCGGAGCTCATCGTCGGAATCAAATCTATCAGACGACGCATCCGTCTCCGATCTCCTTAATCTTCCACAAGAACTCTTCTCCGAACCCTCCAGATTCTCCGACCGGCTTCGTTGATAGCTCTGACTCTGCCTCTTCTCAGTCAATTTCTGTTTCTCCATCTTTTTCACAGCTATCTCCTGATTCTCAACTATGCTCTGTTTCTCTGTCTTCACCGAGGAGCTCTGTTTTGTAACCTTCTCAGGTTTGCTATGTCTCGTCTTCTTCTCAACTACAATCTGTCTCCCCGCCTGGTCGGAAATGCTTTCTTCTGCTATGTTCTCAGTTATGCTCAGGGTCTCTTTCTCTGCTTCACTCTGTTTGGCTCTGGTTTCGGCTATGCTCTGTTTCACCTCGTGCTCTGCTTCACTCTGTTTTTCTCTGTTTCTCATCTCGGCTCGTGAGATTCCATCTCTCCTTGACCTCTCCCGAACAAAATCCTCGTAAAGATCGTTGCTTATGCACTTCGGATCAATTTCTTGACTCAAGAGAAGACCGGATTTGGCGATTAAAGCTAAGATAATTGCGTTTCCTATGACAAACGCAAGATTACGGTTTGCGAGAATAACCGCAGCGACACCAGAGTCTTCAAAAGTGATAACGAGCTGACAGCAAAGCTTAGATACCGTAACCAAGACCACAATTATCTCAATCGCCCGGAAAAACAGATCCAAAATTATCTGAACACGAGACTTTTTCGCAAGCCTCTTTACCTTTCTTGATTTAGTTTTTTGAGTACTAAAAGAATCCATTTTGGTGAGGTGAGGAACCAAAAATAAGAAGAAAAAAAATATAGAACGGAAGAAAGAGACGATTTTGTGGTTTTTCTTCTTCAGAACTATATGAGAAGAAGAGACCAATCGTGTTCTCAGTTTAGATTCAGGAGAAGAATTTGAGAATCTAAACAGAGGAGAATATGTTTTTTCTCTTTGTTCTTTTATTCTTTTACTTTGTTTCTTGAGAAAATTTAGCTTTGATCCATGTGAGTATTTATATTGGGAAATTCAGTGCGCTTAACTTTCATTTTCTTGAGCGATTTTTTTATAAAAGTGATTTAATAGAATTCAAGAAGAAAACAGTACATTTAATGTATTGCATTCTACAGTATACTTTAACGAGGTTTGTTTTAATTTTCACATTCTTTAAATGTTAAACGTAGTAGAAATTTTTTAGACATGAAATCTTTGAGATAATTTTTAAATTTAAGAAATTTATACGATATAAATATATGGGAAATTATGAATATTCACATGGCGCAAAATATATATAAAATAGCAACAAAAAAAAAAATTTGGAATGTATAACATATTTATTTAAGGCGATCAACTCTATTGGCAATTAATATTATGAAAACTAAATAGATTTTGGGAATTTTTTTTTCTTTGTTTTGACATTAGTATTTTAATTTAGAACTCAAAATTTGTAATGTCATTTCATTCATAATAAGTATAAGAGAAATATATAGGTAATGTAAATTTATTTTTCTTTTTTCTTTTTTCTTTTTGGTATGACTTTTTTCTTGTCGAGGCTTGAACTAAAAATGGGGTTACTGACTGTATCACTACAATAAGTCCTTAGCATGTAACTTTTTTAGTTGCAAACAGGAAAAAACAATTAATTTTGATATAAAATACAATTCATCATGGAAAGTATGCAACTCGTACTCCTAGAGATTTTGTTAGTTAAAGAGTATTGTCTTGTATCGAATATTATAATGTGTACTGTTTATTTTCTTTATTGTATGAATATTATAATATGTGTGTGTGTGTGTGATGGAATGCTGGTTATGATGATAGACGAACAATTCATGTAAAAAAAGGCTGTAATTAATGTATTATTGTTTTGCCCAAAAATGTATTCGTTATATAAAAAAATACGTTAAATAATACCCAAAAATCTTTGGTAATCGCTTTTTTTTGTTCGTACGATAGATTCATACGGAGTTGTAGAAAAAATGAATTTGCCAATATGGTTGATACCCTAATAGGCTTTAGAAAAGAAGAAGAAAATTGAGTTTTTTGTTCAGCCGCTAAAATCAAGGGATACTTGTATTTTTTGATTGAAAAGTAAAAGCAGCATCGCACTATATATTAGTGACTTTGTCCAGTCGTAACTATTTACTCGACCCGAAAGCAGCTGCCGTGGTATTGCATGTCCAATAATTTCATATCTCCTTTATATAATTTCTTATAATTAATTAAGATGTGGAAATCATATGTAGCACATATTACTTCTTCACTAAGAGATGGAGAAATGGCTTGTAGGTCAACAACTCTTTGTTGTTTCTTTAGTGTCTTGTCACTTTCTAACCAAAAGCATAATGCACAAAGAAGTGGTCTCATGATTTCAAATTAAAAAAATTTCATTATTGGATACACTTTGACAAAAGCTTCACTTCCTTTCTTAAAAAGTTGAAATGAAAATTCATCATTGGTGTGTGTCTTAATTATTCATAGCATTCCCACAAGTGAAACGTGTCTTCAGCCATTATCATTTTTATCTGTAATACAAGAAGAAAAACAAATAGAACAAGACTATATAAAAGTTCAAATTGAGTTTTATGTACTGTATCTCAATTGTCCTTTTTTCATTCAGAAAGTGTAAGTACATGCAACATTCCCACACGCGGCTTAATTATAGCCAACCAACGAGTACGTTTTTCACAAACTCTATCTTACTAATTATTTTATCATTTTTAAATAAAATAAAATTTGAATATAAAAAGTCCGACCTGCCGGAATCGAACCAGCGACCTAAAGATTACAGCTACTACTACAGTCTTCCGCTCTACCAACTGAGCTAAGGTCGGATTGATGACATCCATACTGATTACAAATATATGTTAACACATTTTGGACAACAATTCATAACCAATTTTTTTGAAACTTATATGTCTAACAAATCAATGGAAAATACAAATATGTAGTGGATTAATAGGTAATCAAGTTTAACCAATATTTTTTTTTCCTCAATTACGCTCATTTTAATGGTATGATTTTTGAAACAAAAACAGAAGTGGGGCAAGGGAAAGCAAAAGGAGAAGGGTTTATTTATTTAAAAGTCATGAAAATGAAAACGAAAGGAAAACGCCTGCAGCCCACGTGACAAGTTTCACTGTCCCTTCGTATTTAATAAAAAAATACTATTTTTGTCTTCACTCCAAAGAATTTTAGTGTTTATTATTTTGCTAATTGGACTTGCACTTAGTGTAGATTTATTCAAATAATTCTCCGACATGTAGCATTATCCATGCGTGATGGGTCCTTCAATCTCGTCTTCTCCCCCGTTAATCAAATGGGCCCAATATTTCGGTCCATTACTAATCTAATCAAATCTTTCCCATAATGGTTACAAATTACAATTTGCAAAACATCGCCGTTGATCACATGATGAAACTTCCCCTTAAACATTTATTGCACCATCTCTAAAGCTTGGCCGTTGGATTTCTTTTTTAAAACCAAGTGGTGAAATTAAATATTTACATAAAAGAAAGTTTGTTAAGCCATATTCAAATTATTATTAGTATGATTTAGTCTGTAGTAGATGAAACTATTCGATTATCATTTTTTGGCAATTGATTACGAGGATATTCTGTTTAATTTTCTAGTTAATTAACTTTTAAATCTCTCTAGCTTCGAGGCAAATTTGTATTTATGTGTTACGACGTGTACGGACTATATAGCGCACCTCTAGAGTAGGCCAATTAGATGAAAATGGGTCTGGGTCCACATCCAAGCAGATCGTATATGGTTGAGCGCCACGTGTCCCATATGAATATATGATTCCCCGTAGCAAGAGTATGGGAGAAACCAGAGTCGTCCATTTTGCTTCAGTGACGTTCATTGTCAGACAGAGACACCTATGCCAAAATGCCTTAGTTGGTATAATTTTCACATGATCTTATGAAAGTTATTATTTTTATCGTTCAAATTTCAAAGTTTAACGTTTTATTTGCACCAAAACTAGTATATTTTCATAATATTTTAAAATTAGTATTTTTGACAAGTTGTAATAATTTTCGGGTTTTCAGGCGTTATCGAAAAGAGTAGATATTCTAGAAGTTTTTTTTCTTACCCAGTACATTTTCTAATGAGAATAGGAAGAGCCCAATTACAATCGTTTAACACAAAAAATTATACTAATTCGTAGCTGACTGGAAACTGTAATTTTTAGTTTGAACAGAAAGGAGAAGATAAAAAAAAAATTGTAGAATAAATATGGAACAGATCGTCGAAGAGAGAAAAGCAATTTAGCTCCACACTGGTAAGCTCTCCTCGATTCTTCCTTCGATTTCAAACGAGAGACCACATTAATCAAAACCAGGGAATACGATTATACGAATAAGGAGTCTTCTTTCCGGTGAGTTCTTTCACCTGTCCGAGCTTCTTCTATATATCTTTGTGTTCATGGTTGTTTGTGCCCTTTAACTATATATCTGGGCGTGTCAATTAATAAATGTATTCCTTCAGATTTTGCGTGTTTTGATATTTTTGTATAAGTGGCTAGTTGTTTTAGCTCCTGACCATTTATAAAGTTTTCACCTTTGTAGGTTTCACATTCTCTCATAAAACGATTTTCCTTTACTCTGCTTAGCTTTCAGCAACGCTGCATATCGAGTTTCTTCTCCAAAATTGCATCAAAAGTCTCTTCTTTTTTCATTTTTGGGGCTTTTAGTCTCGAACTTCTCAAGTGTTTTCTTGTTTAATGGTCTCAATCTTCTAGTTGTCTGTTATCCAATGATCTGAGAACCTACCCGGATTTAACTGTTTATCTGCTTCAAATTCATTCTAATCCAAAACTTGTTCGGATCATGTTTGGGAGGTATAATCTCTACTTTTGGCAACTCTTTTCCTCGTTTCTATACTATGTTATAAAAGATTTATTACCTGCATAAAAGTTAATTCCATTGATCTCTGAAGTTACAGTATATCTTGGTACTTACAAGAGTTATAAATTGTTGTCTTGATATGATGAATGTCTGGGAGACACTGTCTTATACCTGTGTCTTCAAATCACCTGTGTAGTCATAGTTTTTGTTCAAATCGGAGATTTTTTTCATCTGGGTGCGCGAAAAGTTTCCTACTTTCCGAGAATTACTTTATTGTAACGCTTACAGAAAAAACTAATTGGATTTTTTTTGTTATTATCTATTAGTATGTGTGCTGTTTCACTTTACTTTTATATACTAATAAGCTATACGATTCTGTTCTGTTTCATTCAGGTAAAAGAAAAAGATGGATTCTTGTTGCTACTTTGACTTGAGGACAAGCACTGTCTTGCCCAAAGACAGTTTGAAGGACGTGGAGAACAAATTTTGGGGTGCGAAGATCAAAGGAAGCTTCTTGAAACCTTTGGCTTCGGATTCTAGTTCTAAGAAGTCCAAATATCGAAAGTCGAGGCCCGGTGTTGCTTACGCAGTTGCAACTTCAAAGAATGCTAAAGAGGCTTTGGTAAGTTTAATGGCCAAATTCATCAATGCACTTGACAACTTTTCAGAGGAACTTGTCATTTAGAGATTGCCTTATGTTTTCCAGACAATACAGCCTTCGATGTTCGAGAGAAGGAAAGCAGATCCAAAAAATGTGGCTGCAATCATTCTGGGAGGAGGCAATGGAGCTAAACTCTTCCCTCTTACAAAGCGAGCAGCAACACCTGCTGTGAGTATTTACCATTGACTGATCAAAACCGCTTTTGGGAAGACAATCTTGTGTAAAGGAGAAGTCTTTTGCGTTTTTTTTTTTCTGTTGGTTCTTCAAACGCAATTGTGAAACAATATTTGTAGGTTCCTGTGGGCGGGTGCTACAGGATGATTGATATCCCGATGAGTAACTGCATCAACAGTTGCATAAACAAGATTTTCGTGCTGACTCAGTTTAACTCGGCTTCCCTCAACCGCCATCTAGCTCGTACTTATTTCGGGAATGGCATTAACTTTGGAGATGGTTTCGTTGAGGTAAAAAAGTATAAACAATATGGTTTCTTGGAACGCCTTCTCGGTATTGCTTTATCTCTGGAATCGATGATGGCTTAAGCAAATGTAAATTGACTTGACACAGGTTCTAGCTGCTACACAAACTCCCGGTGAAGCGGGGAAGAAGTGGTTTCAAGGAACAGCAGATGCTGTGAGAAAGTTTCTGTGGGTGTTTGAGGTATGAAGAACTTTTATGATCATTTTTACTGGTTTTCCCAGACATTGAAGGTCTGTTTGAAATGGTCTGAATCTGTTGATTTCTTATATTGTAGGATGCTAAGAACAGGAACATTGAGAATATTGTTATCTTGTCTGGTGATCATCTTTATAGAATGAATTATATGGACTTTGTTCAGGTAAATATAATAGTAAACAAATTCCTCTTAATAGTCTTGAAACTATTTTTTGCGAAGTATAACTCTAAACACTGCGCATTGGACAGTACCATGTCGATAGAAACGCGGATATTACGCTTTCTTGCGCGCCAGTTGGTGAGAGGTTAGCTTCTGTATAACTTTGGTTTTACGCTTTCAACCATTTCTACTTGTTGCTTTAAAACCGGCTCTGTGAATTTTCAGCCGTGCATCGGATTATGGACTAGTGAATATTGATCGAAGCGGACGCGTAGTCCATTTCTCTGAGAAACCAACTGGCATCGATCTGAAATCAATGGCACGGTTTTATTCTCTAAAGCTTACAAAACAAGCGCAATGTTTTTTTCCTGTTGTTCTGACGGTTGATGATGTTTGTTAATGCAGCAATCGGATACGACTGTGCTTGGACTGTCTCAGCAAGAAGCAGCAGAATCTCCATACATTGCATCAATGGGAGTTTATTGTTTCAAAACCGAAGCTTTGCTGAAGCTTCTGACATGGCGTTATCCGAGTTCCCATGACTTTGGATCTGAAATCATTCCTGCAGCTATAAGTGATCACAATGTTCAAGTAAAAAAACAAAAAAGAAACTTGATCTTTTGAAATAATTCCATGAGTTTGCAAACGATTTATTGAAGCTGTCTTCTTCAGGGATACATCTACAGAGACTATTGGGAAGATATCGGAACTATAAAGAGCTTCTATGAAGCTAACCTTGCTCTTGTCGAGGAGGTTAGTTCGACCAAAAATTGTTTCTAACTTTTGATTTTATCTCTGATCTAATCTCACAACCGTTGTTCTTTTGTTTTACGCAGCATCCCAAGTTTGAGTTTTACGATCAGGAGACGCCTTTCTACACTTCTCCTCGGTTTCTACCACCCACCAAAGCCGAGAAATGCCGCGTAAACATCTTCCTCTTCTTTAGCCTGTGAATCTTTTAAGTCTTGATTCGATATCCGTATATGATCCATCCCTTTGATGATTTTTCAGATTGTTGATTCGATAATCTCACACGGATGTTTCTTGGGAGAATGCAGCGTCCAACGTTCCATCATTGGTGAAAGGTCACGTCTTGACTATGGTGTTGAGCTTCAGGTATGTGAATCCTCGATCGAAAATTGAGGACATTGTTTGGTTCAAAAAAACTGAGTCTGCTTTTTGATTTTTTGCTTGCAGGATACTCTTATGATGGGAGCGGATAGTTACCAAACCGAATCTGAAATTGCGTCTCTGCTCGCGGAAGGCAATGTTCCAATTGGCATTGGCCGAGATACAAAGATCAGGTAACAAACCGTAACCTCGATGCTCTTGTCTGAATTGATTCTTAAACTCTGATGTCTATCTTTTTATTACACTGAAGGAAATGCATCATTGACAAGAATGCAAAGATCGGGAAAAACGTGATGATCTTGAACAAAGATGTATGCTTTCTCCTCCATTATTTGCGTAGTAAAAGATCCCAAGGCTTTTGAGAGATTCAACATTGTTAACGTTAATGGGTTTCTGATTTGGCTTCAGGATGTTCAAGAAGCTGATAGGCCAGAGGAAGGATTCTACATTCGGTCTGGTATCACTGTGATTGTCGAAAAGGCCACCATTAAAGACGGGACTGTCATATGAACAGAACGATACCGTGTTATGAAATCAACAATGTAGCGGGAAGTTTGAGGTGTTGTTGTTCTGCACCGGAGTTGAAAAAGAAGAAAGAAAGATACTTGTCATCTTCTTCCGAGAGTGTTATGCAAAGTAAAAGAGTTCCAAGAGATAGAATCATACTACTTACAAGTTAGAACCAAAAGAATGTTTAATCTTTACAATAAGTGTGATCGTCCGGTCATCATGCATGAGAAATAAATAAAGTTATCTCTTATCTTTTTTTGGCAATTTTTGATTTTCCTTTTAGAAAGTTCTCCACTGAGATAAAGGGTTAAATTGACTTATGACAAACATTGTGGGTGGGTTAATTAATATCAACAAAAGTATGGGGTCAAATCATCAACTCCAGGTGTATTCTTCCGTAAATAAATAAACCCAACGAGGGAACAAATACAAATAAATTAAAATAAAACGCCGATCAGATAAAAATCCTTTTCTCCTTCATTTGGTGTTTCGTCTTTTGTCAGATCTACTCGTTTTTCGCTCCATTAGGATAAGCAGCTATCATTTACTCATCTTCCGTAAGTGCTTTCAATCTTTTGTTTCCTCGTAAGATTCTAATCAATGGATCTGAGTATTTTGTTCCCTGTTTCGATCGATTCTTAGAGGTTTCCATTTTCCACCGTCTGATTTTTTCGTCACTTGTTGAAAAATCGTTTTAGATTTCACCGATTGAGTTTCCAGATCTGAAGCTGAGCGGCTTATTGTTTCTTCTGCGGTTTATTGGAATCATTTGATTCGGTTAGAAAAAATTTGACGATGGAGGAGAGAGTTGCTGTTTACTAGGGTTTTTGATTCTCTGAGATCGATTAGCTAAGAGAGATAGTCAATGGCATTTTCTAGAATATTTTCTATAACAGCTGCGGATTATGTTTCCAAGGTAGTTTTTCTTCTCTGAGGTTTGCGTTGAGATACGATTCGGAGAACTTTCTGCTAGTGTGTTTATGGGTTTCTTCGAGATTGTTATGTGCTTTTACTGTTAGAGATTCTGTGTTAGTATTCATTTCGGAAAAGGAAACCTGGAATGTGTATATTTTTGTAAATCAGGTGCAGAGATATTAACGCTAGGCTTCATAACGAACATATCAGTGATTGTATTGTGCTTTGCTCTACTATAAAGCGAGAAACAATTGAAGAAGTAGCTGGTTAATTCTGATGAAGTTGTAATACCAAGAGTGAATTTGACCGATGAACTGTTTTGTTTATCCTCTAGGGTTTCCGAAGATCATCAGACTAGATGGAGGGAAGCGGAGGTGATAGTGGATCAGTGGCCACGCCTGTTCAACAGCGAGCACATGAGGCATGGAGGATTTACCAACATTATCTAGACAAGACTACTCCTCATGCAACTTACAGGTGGATCGGAACTCTTGTCGTCGCGCTCATCTACTGTTTGAGGGTTTACTACATCCAGGGGTTCTACATCATCGCCTACGGTCTTGGAATCTACCTCCTGAATCTGCTCATCGGTTTCCTGTCCCCTCTCGTCGATCCTGAGGCTGGTGGGGTCTCTGATGGGCCTTCTCTTCCTACTAGAGGCTCTGACGAGTTCAAGCCTTTTATTCGCCGACTCCCTGAGTTCAAATTCTGGTAATGCCCATCGCCAAATTCCCACAGCTGATATATAGAATCACTTTATATATGCGAGCTTTCGGAAAGGTTTCTTGTCTGAATCTTAGTTGCGTGCTGTGATGTAAGGTACTCCATGACAAAGGCCTTCTGCATTGCGTTTCTCATGACCTTCTTCTCGGTATTTGACGTTCCCGTGTTCTGGCCAATCCTGCTTTGCTACTGGATCGTTCTCTTTGTTCTCACCATGAGACGCCAGATCTCCCACATGATCAAGTACAAGTACATCCCTTTCAGCTTCGGCAAACAGGTAAACAAATTTTTTTACCTGTCAGTGTAGTTCCAGGTGTCTTTTTTGTTTTCTTGGTTATATTTTCCGATCGACGACTTTTCTTGGTTTGTGTGACAGAAATATGGTGGACGGAGCACCAGCGGGTCACGTGCGGATTGATCTGACTGACCATGGCCACTTTTGTCTTTGCAAAAGAACAGAAAAATTGTTTTTAGAAAATCATTTCGGACTATTTTTTCGACATTGACAAAAAAAAAGTTATGCAGCTACAAAGGAAGAATTAGAGGGGAACAAAAACACAGGATGGAATTAAATTTGTTTTAGCTCGGTGGACAATTGTTCGTGTTAGCTGTTTATCCATGATTTGCAATAGTACCTCTTCTGTATATATATGACTTGTTTTGCTGCTTTGCTTTTTAAAACCGAACTACTCCGTCGGCTATATTGGGCCGTATAATATTATGTCCCGTTGGACTAAACTCGCATGACCGTGTGAATATGTCGGATGTTTGAAAACATCGTTACACCAGTTACTAACAAATACCAAATGGAAGAAGTAACTTTCGTGTCTCAGCCACCCAAATTATACAAAGACATTTATAACAACTATTAATCCGGTTCCAAAGCCGTACAATCAAAATCGGTACACCAACACACCCCCAGTTCGGTTTAATTGATTTATCATACCGGAGAAACAGAAAAATATAAAAATTATTTAAAGGATTTAGATACCTTTGTTAGTAGTTAAGCTTTAGACGTAGTTGTTGAGGATTTCATCAACAGTAGAATATTTGACATCTGGGTAAAGCTCAGAAGCTTCTACTCCAAAGGAAGGTTCGATTTCGAAGCTTGTTTGTCCTCCCTTGACGAAAACGCAATGACAGAGTGATAGCAACACGTTGAGTGGAGGCGAAGCTTCTGTAAGAAACAAAAAAAACACTAAACCCATCAGTGGACATAAAAAAACCAAAGGAAAACTGGAAGAGGAAGAAAGGAAACCTATTATTTGGTTGAGGATTTGTTCTTCTGGGACATAAATCCTTTCGAGTGTTTTTCCAATCTTTTTCTCCCAAAGCGAGACAAGATCGTTGAAAGAGTAAGTGTTCATCGGTGGCCTAACGTATAAGATCTTGTTCAAGGTTCTTGGATCATCTATGGCCTTGATTGTGTAAGTCCCGATGTCTTCTTCCTTGTTGAACACAGCTGCAGATTATCACCAAAAGATCAAACACAAGTAGACAAGAAACTGCTGAAATACACATGATTAGATTCTAATAAAGACCTCTCAGCGACCAAAAAGACGTTGTGATCATACGCTCTTACCTTTGGGGTTTCCATCACCCAAGATGATGACTTTATCCCTGGGAGCAGAAGTGGCCCCAGGCTGTGCTAAAGTAGGGAGAAAGTAGCCAGCAAAGAAGTTGCAAGAGACAATAGTGTATGGGATCTCTTGGGCCTCAATTGTTCGGCGGATTCGTGCCTTTGTAGCATAGGCTGATTTGGCAGGTTCAACACTGTGAGCACGGTCTACGTCATTCCCAAACTCCGACGGAAAGAATCTCTGCGGAGATGGAAGAGGAAATCAGCAACGTCACACTATTCTATACACCAGCAACATCAAATAAAGGAGAGAACATGTTCGAACGAAGATGAATCCTTTTTTGTTACCTTAACATTACCAGCTTCTTTAATGGCAGCGATGATCTTGTCTTGTTGTCCCAAGAGCGAGTGTCCAACCGTCGATATCACCACATCCGCTTGCTTTATCGAATTCACGAGACTCGCATGATCGTTAAGATCTCCCTATCCAGTTTTGGTATAAGAAAATATCAAAACGCCAAGATTTTGAAGGAATCAAACGAAAGAGAAGAAGGGGTTAATTAAGGATACGAACGAGTAGAAACTGAACGCCGAGATTCTTGAAGTTGTCGATGGTGATGGATCGCGAGGGGCTTGTGAGCGTCGAGTTTCTAACCAGAACCAGGGTTGGGTGTCCAGATCTCGCGCTCGCTTCTACTATATATTTCCCGATGTACCCCGTTCCTCCGATGAACAGAATCTTGCTCTTATTCGCCATTTTTTTTTTTACCTCAGACAGATTCTGCCGGAGAGAGATAGATACAGTCTACAGAGAGGCAAAAAGCACGGTGGCGCGTATCAACTGAACTGAATGATTCAGAGTAACAAATGTTATGATCCGAAATTTGTTGCCAAATGTTTGTGATTCGAGAAAAGAGGGCTCCTTATATTGACAATAATACCCCTTTAGCCAACACTCGAGTATATTTTCTATAAAGTCAAAATTTGCGTACCAGTGTTCTCGGTTTGGTTGGTGAAATTGCCGGCATTTTTACGACGCCCGACAAAAATTGATATTCTGATTGGATTCTGAACGTGGGCCGTTAATAATTGTTATTAAGTTGAGTCGTTTGAAAATCGTGGGTAATAAAAGCTTAAAAGCCCATCATGATCCATGATGTTAAAAATGGGCCCATGCTGGACTACATTAAATGGGCAGGGTCTAAATGGGTCAGAAAATTAAACAATTTAAATGGGCAGGGTCTTAAATGGATAGGGTGTTAATAAACGGGTCTGGGCCGCCCATTTTAACATCGTCAAGCCCACAAAGGTCACTATAAATAAATACAGTCTAGGGTGTTTGCTTCTCTATCTCGGGTAATCTCCATGGGCGATAAGAGGAAGATGCTCCAGGAATCCCATGTAATCGTTCTTCTTCTTTTTGTGGTTTTCTTTTTACACCAGTCGTCAATCAATTTTGACTGGATGTTTCTGTTTTGTATCTTTTTTAGGTTGAAGGAAACCTAGATCCTTCGGAGATACAGCATTCAGATGCCTTAGAGCGCAAGGCGCGGCGCAAGAGGCGCAAGAAGCAGCGCAATGAGCAGAAGAAGGTTCTAAATTTTTTTCCTAATACTATAGTTGCTATTGGATCATTAGAGAAAGCGTATGATTCCGTTTGATTAGGGTTTGCTGCTTCTTTCACTCATTATATTTCCTAATTCTATGGCAGAAAATAGATGAACTAAGTAATTCACTGAACGAGTTGACTGAAATTGTGAGAATAAATAAGATCTAGAGGAGATTTCATACACTCTGTCCTAATACTATAGTTGCTATTAGATCATTAGAGAAAGCGTATGATTAGTGAATGGTGCTTCATTTTCTCATTTTTTTTTCTCGTAATCATATGGCAGAAAATAGATGAACTAAGTAATTCACTGAAGGAGTTGACTGAAACTGTCAAGAAACTGAAGGAGGAGACGGCATTGAAGGTATATGCGTTTATTATTTCTGTTGTATTATGTTGAGGAATGATACTTGTACACTCTAAAAATGATGCATTTGTTGAATTTCAACTAGGAGAAAGTAACTCCAAAGGGGTGCTGTTTCGAATCTGAAGATGCAGCTATGTTGAAGCACCGGGAAACCATTTTCGTCTCGGGATTCGATGGTTCTTTGCCTAGTGATGAGATCAGGAGGTCACTGAAAGAACACTTCAGTTCTTGTGGAGAGGTCTCGCAGCTTTTTCTTCCTTTTCATTGTCAAACCGGCATTCACATGGGGTTGGTGACCTGTTCCTCCAATTTCTAGCAACTCATCCTTAAATGCATACCAAAAGATTTACTCTCCTTCTTTTATTTCAGATATGCTTTCATTAATATGAGAAGTCATGACCGGAAGGCGTTAACACTGGATCAGAGCTTCATGGGAAAGCAGAGGCTTTTGGTTACGATGGCTGACAAGAGGGAAGAATCCATTTGCTATAGAAACCATTTGAGCTGTTCACGCTGTCGTCGTGTTCTGATGGAGCGCCGTGCTAGACGCTTCTATGAGAGTGGTTGGAGAATGGCAAGAGCTGGAAGAGGAGGAAGCTGGTGAACGTTGCTGCTATATGTTCACATTTCTATAAGTTTCGTCTAGTTGCCTAGTCCAGGTTAGAAAAGAAGCCATGCATGTATCGCAGCGAATATTAAAGAAGCAGTAAAAAACAAGGCAGACCAGAGGAAAAACAGAGCACATGATCAGTATTATCCTCTATTGTTAGCTTACCTTCATGTTTTCGTTCTTCAGTATCTATTTTCATCCCCTGAACTAAAAAAACAACCAAACCAAATAAAACCGACGTTTAATCACCGTAACAAACTCAAACCTCCGGATTGGGAAATTACAACCTAACAGACAGTCTGATTTAAAATTTAAGTATTCGAAACTTTCAAATCCATAACAAGCGACACTTCTCGTCTCATTATTTGGAGGCACTGAGCTTGGCTCATCAATGTTCACTGTATCATAGAATCTCCATGGAGCATAAGCCAGCTAGGAGACAACACACATAACTCCCCATTTTCATCATCAGTTGGCATGTCATATATATGGAGAAAACATAAGCGTCGCCGGAGATTTCTTTGGAACCAAAGAGTCTCCTTTCACTTCGGTTCTGTTATCGAATATCTCTATGTCGATGAAGAAATCGGGTTCTGCTGATGATTCTTGGCAATGCTCAGATGTTGACGGTTCTTCCGAATCCATTGTCCCTGCACCATGCTCCGAGCTCAAGAGTTTTGAAAGTTCCTACGGCGTAGCTGTGGCCTTGTGAGAAAAAGGAAGTTCCTTTTTCTTTGCAATGTCCTCTTCCGAAATATCCGGCGTGCACTAGACCAGACCGTACAATGTCTGAAACGATGGCCCGCTCGCTTCTCCGACAACAAAGTTCTTCTTTCTCGGACCGATCACGGATGCTCTGTCTTTAATTAAAGCCCATCGAGTAAAACCCTTAGTGAAGTTTTTTTTTGACCAAATTCTGCCGTCGAGTTTCTTGCCCCGGTGATGCTTGTTTGAGGGAAAATCTCCAATCTGTTGAAAATCGTCCGTTTTGAATACCTAACCGTTCAGGTTTGACATCGCCTCTACACTCTGCGATTGAGTTGACTTTTCCATCCGAGCCTCCGAGTGAGACGTTGTAAAATCCGTTGTCGGTCTCCCGAAGAGATGATAGAGAGGAGATGAGACGGTCGACGTTGACGGCGTAACAGGTGTTAACGGTGAAGTTGCCTGTTACGTTTTGAGCAGTTTTGGTTTAGTTTAACGGAACCGATTGGGCGATGTGATCGTGGGCCTGTTAACAATGGTCGCAATAGTTGTAATCACGTTTTTGATTGGGCCATTGTGAAGGCCCATTTTGTTTGATGAAGCTCTTGATAGTGGTTACAACGCATCGTTTTAGCGTTCTCCAAGGATGTTCTACCGTCTTCTTCTCGCTGCTGCTGGTTACTAACGAGAACCGACTAGAAGCGAAGCAATCAGAGAAAGCAATCAGGAGGTATCGCTTTCTTATCAAGAAGCTTTTCTTGTTCTTTGATTCCCTTCCTTGTTTGTGGTAACTGGAAAATGAAAAGCGGAGAGTGGAGACTGATGTTTAGTAATTGATAGAATCATCTCTGCAATTTTGTTTGTTTAGCAGACCTCTAAGTTTCGAATTTTTATACTGAAACGTGGAGTTTTTGTTTATGTGTTCTTTGTTCATATTTGGCATTTGATCGAATACATCTTGGTTATTGTAGAAATCGACTGTTTTGGATGTGATTTCGAGCTTACGAGAATAGATCTATATACTTGTGTCGTGTATGAATGTTGCACAAGTTTTCTCGGTTGCTCAGTGTTTACTTGGGTTGGATTTTGTTTCATAATCATTCTTGTTTAAGATAACTTCTTTTTTTTTTTTTTTGAATGCAGACACAAATGGAGGAGACCCAGAAAAGTCAAACCGAAATCCCACCGAAACCGGCCATGGCTTCATGTAGGAGGAAGGCAAAGGAGGATGCCACTTTCTTCGAGGACGTGAAAGATCACATCGATGAGTTCATACATGCTTCAATGGATGAACACAAGACTTGCTTCCAAAAGACCATCAACAAGGTTCTTTCTCTCAAAAGCATTGTGTATTTTGTATCTGCTTGCATAGTTTGGCGTATCTGGCTGTGTGTTGAGTAGAAATCACACCTAGTTGCGTCTCAGATATGAAATCATAGCTCATAGGAGGAGGTTGTCCAATACATTTCTGGTTGCACCATTCATAATTGAACATTCACATGATTATGACTATGTGATATCCTGTGTTTGAAACAATATGCTCTCTCCTACTTAAAGCCTTTGTTGGGTTTATTTCAGATGTTTGGAATGTCCAAGGCTGTCGCTGAGAAGCAAGCCGAGGAAGCCAAGGGAGTCGAGAGTCAACTGCCTCTTCAAACAACAGTGTCAGATTAAAACAATTACGATGTGGTTGTTGTTTAACATCATCATATCAAGTTTATTTTTCGTAAATTAAGTTCATCGAACATTGCGAGACATTCTAGCATAGACAGTGGATAAATAAACCCACACGTTCGTATAAATAGCTCTTATTTTTCCAAAATGCAAACTTTTCGAGCGAGTATTCTTATTGGTCCGATTAACCAGGACTGGCAAAGCAATGAAGTCCTCGATAAGTTTGATATTTGGGGCATCCCAAGTACCAATCTATCCTTATGCAGTCCGAACTTAACCATGTTAAATTCAAAGCATATAATCTGTTTTAAACTACTGGTAACGTAGCTATTCACCAAACAACAAAACCGCATACACAAGAGTTGTTTTGTACAACAAAGAAACAAGGGCTAGACATTACAAATCTACTCGGCATTATCGATACCAAAATCCGGCAGTCTGTAGCCTTTCTTGATCAAACCAAGCAGCTCCAACGCTGCAACACACAAGAACATATAATATGCGAAAGGTCAGGTTGATGGATAAAACCATTAGAACAAGCAAACTCATCATCATCTAAGCAGGGATACTGGTATAAAATTGCCATTGTATTAGTAGGTTTATTAGACATAGCAGCAACAGCTTCCACCAGAGAGGAACAAAATAAAGCAACAAACGCAATTCAACATAACAAGTAAGGTTATCGGAGTAAAGAAGCATACCTTTACAATCCCTCTCATGGGGTCATCAAACTGCTACGACAAGAGACTGTACAATGGTGGAGGGATCTTTCAAAGAAACCACAAGTTGAGACCACAAGAGAGTGCCCCAAATCTCTCCTCCTTCTCTCCTTTCCAATCCGATCTCTGTATACAAAATTTCCGTCTCGTGCTTTTTAAGGTTAAACAAGATTGCAAGTTTCCCACCTCGGTTCGCCATTCTAGAACCATAAAGCTTCCCAGGAAGATCTTTGAGACCCTTCACCCAACTCCAAACCCTCGCGATTGGGTCGAACACAAATATTCTCTTCTTGCTACCAAAAGTGTACAACTTGTTATCAATGACGCAAGAGCCCACACTCCACTCTGCGTCCAACAACGAGTCCTTCTCAATTCCTCCTTCCTTTGGATCGTACACAAAGCTGTTCTTACGATCCATGATGTAAACCTTATCGTCTATCACAAAACTTCTGATGGTTTTCTCGTGCACCTCCAAGTTATACAGACCCGTTACCGTCTCCCAAGTTTGAGTCCTGAGGTCAAAAGCCTCCACCCAATCCACGGACAGAGGATTGCAGCCTCCGATTACATATAATTTCCCGTCGACGAACCCCGCGGCGGCGCAGCCACGTGCCTGCTTCATGCTAGGGAGGAAGCGCCACGTGTGGGATGGACATTTGACCACAAACGCACTGGAGACCAAGTTGTTGTTGATGCATCCACCAACGACGTAAATCTCAGAACCTACAGCGACCATAGACATTCCCCAGCAAGGAATCGAAGGGAATGACGGAATCGGAACCAGTTTTCCCGTCGATTCAGACTCGGGTTTCAGATTGAGAGTGTACCATCGAGGGGTTTCCGTTGCGTAAGATCTAAGTACAACATAAAGGACATGTTCAGTGCGGCCAAGTACTGACCGTTGGACGTAGATCTCCGGCAAAGCGATGAGACGCCTTAAGTCCCTGGAGACGAGTGAAATCGCAGGGTAGTAACATCTCGGCACGCATGCCAAGCAATTCACAGCGATTTCATCTGGAAGCAGTAGCAGATGCGGTGGCGCCGATTCATGCAATTTCTTCTGCGGCGGTTCTCCGGCGATCGAGCCAGCGGAAGTCTCGGCTGGAAGAAGCATAATCGCGCTCTGTGCAATGTCAACCGCGAAGAGAGTGGAACAAAGGGGCCTAATGTGAATTTATATTTTAAACATTAAAATGGGCTTAGGCCCATATTTCTCCGGAGGCCTCATTCTGCAATTTTACAAGACTTGTCGTTATCAAATTTCCCGCCGCGTCTGCGTCTCTATTTAAAAACAAATTTGTGATCAGTTTTTTCCTCTTACGTGTCCGAGATTCTCTCCAGTATTGTTTTTGCCGACCAAAGTTATCAACACTACTACGACAATGGTTGATTAATGATTATGAAGCTGCACGTTTTTCATTACAATTTACAAAAAAACATTAACATAATAGCTTGAATGATTTGAAAAGTTGGGTATTCGAAATATTTGGATTCCTCGATTGTAGCGTCTAAGGTTTTGGGGTTACATAGGAAACAGGAAAATACAAAGCAAATACGAGAAGAATCGATCGGCGTATCCTCTTTTATTCACGTAGTTTAGGTTCATTCTTGGCTTTAATCTATTTAATTATTCATTGCAGCCTCATATTTCTCAACCTGCATTAACAAAATGGAATATTTAGAGACGTTGATTATACAACTACCTCTATAGAAAGATGTATCTTGAACTAAGGTTTTTGAGATTGTGAAAAAAATAGATTATTTAAAATTTAGTAGCTTTGTTAGGCTTGAACTAGTATATATAATGCGCCAACATTAGAAGAAAGAAAACCTCTTTTCCTCCTGAATCAGCCTGCCATTGCTAGTGTTGTAGTTTGGGAAAGGAACATGGCCGTTCTCTATGCTGTTGATATCTTGCACAAGGAGCTCATAGTGTCTCTTTACCTCTTCTGTTGTTTTGCCACCCACAACTTTTGCAACATTTTGCCAACGGTTAGGAGTATCCTGGTCATAGGTTGCTAGAGCCTGCTCAAAGGCTTTGTTCTGCATAGCGGTCCACGAGCCTGATCTTTGAGAAGACATTGAGCTTGATGCCATTGTGATAGGTATACTATAAGCTGATGATGATATAAAATAACCGATTAGAAAGTGATTGTTAAAGGATGGGAAGAGTACAAGTCGAGAGAAATGATATGTGCATAGATGTTGCAAAAGGTGATTTTGGGGTAGTGACAAATATCTTCCGAAGATGGATAGAATTTTAAGTCCTTGTCTCTACAGAAATCGCATAGGGAGCGAAAAGAGAATATCATCGACTATTGTGGAGAAGAGTATCTAAAGATTCAAACTAATCACTGATATTTGGTTCTAAGCTTTTTAACGTCCACATTTTGCATTCAGAGCAGGTTCTCACATTCAATTCAGGATTAAGTTCAGAAAGATGGTAAATTATCTGGCTGCGGTAGTTATCTACTTTGTGGAAAAATCTAACCCCTGGCCTAAAGTTTAGGAGAAAGTCTCTGTTATATCTTGGATTCATTGACTAGAACAGTAAAAACTTGCAAACAAATTTGATCACATTGACTATCAGGCCTTCTTATCAATATTCCATTAGCCTAGGGTTCAGTTGAATTAAAGTCATTGCATGAAAGTTGGGGATCAAACTTTATTTTTGATTGGACCTAAGAATCATATCAAGCTACAGCAGAATGATTTGTGTGATATACACCAATTTTTACCCTTACAAGAAGATACTTGCATTTGTGCTACTCATAGATATTGCTGTTCTGAGAAGAAAGAATCTTAATCATGAGGCTAGTGGCACAATATATTCCGGAGATATAGGCCGCAAGTTGGTAATGGGATTCTGCAAGTAGGCCATTCACAATAATATATATTCTCATCATCGGTTTTTCTTCTTACCAAGGTGTTCAGAAATGTATATCCCAACATGTGAGTCTCAGCTTTGGGAATGATTACGCAAAATGGGATACTCTGCATCTTACTTTGGTGATATCAAGAGTTACGTTGGGTAAGATTTTGGTGGATTTTATTCCACACATCTCCAGCTTCAAGTTGCGTTCTTCTTATACCACGGCCATATTTGAAACACGTTGCCTATTCAGTGATGATTGGTGTAAATAGTCAGAGTAGCTTTCCAAGAATATGTAGGAAAAAAGAAAGGAAAGGGTAAGCATTTTCTTGCAAGACTCCAAGTAAAGTATTGTATTATATTCCTCGCCAAGTGGTTGGGTCCTTTTTGCAACTTGACGAACTAAAAATACTAGTAGTGTGATCTTTAGTTCCCATGTGGATTAAATCGTTGTGGCTCAATTAAATGATGCTGTTACTGTTGTACTAAGTTCATATCTCAGAGGCACCATTTTGGCCTAGCGAGGCTGACCCTTTCACTATTGAAGGAAATGTAGAGGACAGATTAGCAGAAACATTTTTTGTTTTGATATTCTTTCTTTCATCATAAGAAGTTAAGACACGGAGAGTTCCAGCACTCTTTAACCTCTGTGAACAAATGCATAGAATCATACAGTACACTTGGTTTCGGATTGTGATTTAAAGGATACATTCTTGGATTTTTGGAAATTTTGTTCCTTCAAATTTCGCCACGAGCTCATTGCATTGGGATCTTGACTTCGCTGTTTTTGATAGGTGTGTCAGTAACACATTTACCCAAAATTCTCTATTAAAAAAGAAAGACACAATATAAAAATATAGATTCAAATAATTAAAAAGGTGCCCCCAAAAAAGAAAATAGTAGTGGAAAAACGGAAAAGAGAATATTTGAAGTATATCCTTTCTTGTTATCAAAATAATAAAAATATATACTAATACTTATAGATTGTAGGCCTCTGTATTAATAATCGTACAGCGAACAATTTGGGTCAGAATTTATAAAGTGTGCGAGTGCGTGGATGCACAATTAATAGTTATCAAATTAAATTTAAAATTAGCCAAATTGCCTTGTATTGGCGAATTGGACTAAGAATTATTAGTATGTTGGATAATTAAAAACTCAAAATCTGATGGTCAAAAGAAACCTTATAATTTAGTGAACAACACGCGAATTAACATTTCGTATTAGGCAAAGAAGACTAAACGATCTGTTACATCAAAAAAGTAAACCAGAATAACCAAAATCAAAACGGAAACACATGGATGCGGAACCAAATCTAAACCGAAAACAGAGCAGAGAACCGCTTTATCTCCGATTACCATCCGCCGCCACCACCAGCGTTTCCTCCATAACCACCATCACCTCCTCCGTAACCACCTCCATCACGGCGGCCACCACCACCGTAACCTCGGCCACCACCACCGCCAGATGAATATCCTCCGCCACCACCACGTCTTTCATAACCACCGCCACCGCCTCCACTGTATCCACCACCTCCACCGTAACCACCACCGCCACTGCGGTAACCACCACCACCACCACCACGGCCTCCTCCACCGCCGCTTCCTCTTGACTGGGCTTCGTTCACGGTGATGCTACGGCCATCGAGCTCTTTTCCGTTCATCTCTTCAATAGCATCCCTCATAGCTTTCTCGTCCTTGAAAGTGACGAATCCGAATCCCCTTGATCTTCCGGTCTCGCGATCGTTAATGATCTGTCAAAGCCACATCAAACAAATCACAAATCAGCAAAAACTATTGTTCGGGGACTAATAAAAAGCGAAGAAAAAACCCTAAAATGAAATCGATCGTTCTCCAGGCTCACAGAAGCAGGAAGATTAACGTACCGATTGGGAAAAATTAAGTAACAGTAACAAAGAACGAGAGAACTAGTAACAGTAATCGAATCAAGTAACAGAGAAACAGAGATCGGAAACAGATCCGTCGAGGATCAGAATCAACGGAATCGGGTCGATTGAATCCGGGATCCGGGAGACCGATCGCTCGTGTAACGGACCTTAGAATCGACAACTTCGCCAAACTGTGAGAAGGTCCTCTCTAGATCGGCATCTAAGGTGGCCCAGGCGAGGCCGCCGACAAAGCACCGGTACTCAGCTTCTGAAGACATTTTTTTTTTGAAGGAAAAAAGGGTTTCAAAGATAAGAGACTTGTGATTTGAGGTGATAAGACGCAGCCTTAATTTATAGATGAGCTGACGTAATAACTAGGGTTAGGTCTTTTCTAGGGTTTGCTGCGTCTTTCAACTTTAACTCTGATTGAGATGTGCGGTTAAATGGTTAGTGGATAGGCCCACATCATGTGACGAATTTTGGAAAACAAAGATTTTTTCACCTCGTTCCCACCAAAACAAATATCTGCATAAAATATCTTTCTTCCCAAAATGACACCTTTTATGCTTCGTCTCGTCTTTATGTGATAGTGCTTTGGGCCTAAACTTTAGGCTTTTGTAATTAAATTAGGAACAATTTTCTATTATTGTTTGGCCCAGTGGATTTGACGGCGACGTCTAAATGACAACATAACAGTGTACGTTGTGTGTATGACATATCGACAGGGCGGTTCAATAAAGATTACGAATTTGTATCTTTCTGATCTGGATGGGAAAACGCAAAAGAAGTAAAAAACAAACCATATTCACATAGAAATTGAGAAGTTGGCGTAACTAATTCTTCTTAGAATGCCTATTGTTTAAAGTCATTTGTACAGTAATGTGCTATAGAGTTATTTCTTTTATCATTAAGTATGACATTATGACAATTATGTGCAATAGATTCTTCCCCGTTATTTGCGTTTTTACGTTTCTACTTTCTAGTGTAAAATATTAATATTCTCAACCAACTTGGATCTATGTGTGATGATGTATCCGGCTGTTTGGTTCTCAATCGATATTGGTTTAATCTTTTGAGTTTCTAAAATAACACAAGTTCCCAAAATAAAAGTGAATTTGGTACATTTTAGTTTCAGTTTAGGTTTGGTTTTTAGCAAGTTTTGTGTGAATATGGTTTGGATATTAGAAGAATCACTTTTTTACAAAGTTAAGACATGTTGGAATATTTCATTTGAGCTTTCGGTATAATAGATAAAAATTTAGTTTTGGTCTGGTTAATTTTCAATTTCAGATACTACAAAAGTAAATTTCCTTTTGTTAAAAGAGACTCGATTTTTGTAAACCAAAACGGTTCAGTTTACCCGAGTTCATATACATAACCCCTAGCCACACACTACCTTAACAATGAATTTGATTAATGATTATATACACTCGAAAGTCGAAACGTTATTGACCAATCCAATCAAAACTTAAAAGACAATCAAACATAAATGCGAAATCGACCATTATTGAGTCACTAAAACCAGCCAAGATGTGAAAACCAAATGTAGTTTATCACTATATAAACTCGAATCGAGTAAACGAGTTGATACCTTCATACATACGGCAACAATGTCAGTCTCCATGGAAAGTTCCGATGATTCATCGCTGTCTTCGGATCTTCCGCTACCAAATGAAATCTCTATAAGCTGTTTTGCTTTCGTTCCAAGACGTTACTATCCAGCACTATCTCTTGTCTCCAAACCCTTCGCTGGCTTCATTGCCTCCCCTGAGCTTTGCATGGCGCGTTCACTTCTCCACGCTACCGAAAGTGTTCTTTATGTCGCCTTGAGATTTAGTCTTGAAGAAACCCATTGTTGGTACTCTCTCAATCTAAAACCTCTAAAAAACGAATCCACTCTGGTCCCTATTCCTTCTTTCCCTTCTATTCCTTATTGGGGATCTTCTGTGATCGCTATTGGCCATGAGATTTACGTTTTCGGAGGATGCATCGATGGAGAGCTTACTTCCAGTGTCTTTGTAGTCGACTGTCGGTCTCACAAGTGTACTTTCCTCTCAAGCATGCGTGTGGCACGTGGCTGCGCGGCCACGGGGGTTGTAGACGGGAAGGTCTATGTGATAGGAGGGTGCAAGGCTCGGTCCGTTGATTGGATCGAGATGTTCGATCTCAAGACGAAAAAGTGGGAGAGTGTTTCGGGTCCTTGCAACGAAGAGGTGTATGAGAAAACGATCAAGAGTTTTGTGATGGATGAGAAGATTTACGTCATGGATCGTAACAGTAGCTTCGTCTATGATCCAAAGGAAAAGAGTTGGGAGACGGAACCGGAGTTGAATAGAGGGTGGAGGGTTGGTTCTTGCGTAATCGACAACATGTTGTACACTTTTGGCGAGAACAATCAAATAAAACTGTACGATCCGAGTACACATGTCTGGAGGGTTTTAAAAGGTGTCGAAGATCTACACGAGCCTCCTTCTTGGGCTAGACTGGCGAATTATGGCGGGAAACTCGCGGTTTTGATTGACGTTGGTGAACGGATGACGACGGAGGTCTGTTGTACGGAGATTGAACTAGAAAGGCGCCAAGGAGGAGAGGTTTGGGGGAAGATTTTGTCGTATGGTCGTGTGCTTGCTGTAGACGTTTCGTCCACGATTGTAAAATGTATTACCGTATCGATCTGACCAGACATGAGACGGGTTGCAAAACGTATGCTTGCTTCTTCTTTTTTTATTACCTTTTTAATGTTCAAACTTTTTTTTTTTTTTTTTTTTGACGACAAGTTCAAACTAGCTTTTTATACATCAATTTTTGTATGTTGCAGCTTCAAGCCTGATTATGGATGTACCAACAAATTGACTTTTTAAATGCCTGCGACAAGCTTGAAGATTTTGACCCTCTTGTAGCGGCGTACTTATTGATTGACGTTATAATTTTCAGATCGCTTTTGCTTTTTGCATATTTATGAAATATGCGCTAATGTTTCTCATCCAGTCTTTTTCTTCTACGTTAACGTATGCAAGTGAGACTCATCTGTAATTCAATCGATAGTTATCTTCGTTCCTTTAATTTTTATTATAATTTATTCTGAAAAATAGTAAAATAATGGATATTATAAGCAGAGTTCGTTAAGCTGTCTTGGACGAGATCGTTGAAAGTCAACACTTTGAAACGGCATCGTGTCAAAACTCTCTCTCTCTCTCAATCAAGGAGTAGTACTCTAAATCTCGGGAACGTGCGCGTATATAACGAAAGATCCCATCTCTCACTTTTTACTTCTTATTACACTCTTTTCGTTTGAATCAGCCGCTGTTCTTGACCAGTACGAAGCTTTCTCTGTCCAGAACAGTTCTGTAAAGAAATTACATCAAATAATATTATATTCCAGTTGGTTCTGTAATTTTTTTAGACTTCCCAGCTTTCTCTCTCTAAATCTAAGATAAAACAAAAGATGGAAGAGTTAGAGAGAGCAGAAAATGATTGGTAACCAACAATGGTTTTGATTCTGAAGTGCGCAGAAAATTAATTGCCAGAAAGTCGCAAGTCGTACAGAGAACAAAACCTTTTTTATCTTGTTTGACGAATTTTATAGAAAGTCACAAAAAGAAAGTTTCCTTTTTTTGATCGAATCGAAGGAAAACAAAAACAAAAAAAAGAAAAGATTTCATTTCGAGTGATGGGTGTTTCCATAAAACGCAAAGTTTATTTCCAAATGAATCTGGGGAATCAACGGTTTTAAAGGGCATCTGGATTTTATCATCAGAGTTCACAGAAACCATCATGGTGGATCAGAAGAAGACAATCTTGCTCGTCTTCATCCTCTTGTTGTTAGAGTCAACGTTCGAGCAGCAGACAACTTCTCCGGTCGAGAAATCAGCGCTTTTGGTACTAAGGTCTTCTCTGGGGCTAAGAGGCAGAGATTGGCCTGTAAAAGGCGACCCTTGTCTGAACTGGAACGGCGTAACATGTGATGGGAACGGTAGTGTCATTCACATAAACATCTCAGGGTTCAGAAGAACAAGGATTGGGAATCAAAACCCGCAATTCTCAGTCGATTCGCTCCTCAACCTCACCCGTTTAGTTTCCTTCAACGCCTCGAGGTTCTCTCTTCCAGGTCCAATCCCGGTTTGGCTCGGATCAGGTCTGTTGACTTTGCAGGTGTTGGACCTTAGCTCTTGTTCAATCACAGGAAGCCTCCCTGCAAATTTGAGTGGGTTATCACGCCTCACGGTTTTTGATCTTTCCAAGAATTCAATCAGTGGTAGTATTCCTCTGTCTCTTACATCTCTTCAGAACCTATCAGTTCTTGATCTTTCCTCAAACTTGGTGCAAGGTTTGATTCCCGCTAGTATCGGGGCAATCTCAAACCTCCAACGTCTGAATCTTTCGCGTAACCGCTTGTCCTCTTCCATACCCCAATCACTCGGTGACCTTTCTGCTTTAGTTGACCTTGATCTCAGCTTCAACGACCTGTCTGGTTCGGCTCCAACAGATTTGAAAGGGCTAAGGAACTTGCAGACACTTGTACTTGCGGGAAATCGCCTCTCAGGATCCCTACCTCCTGACCTGTTTGGTTTCCTGAGCAAACTACAGATCGTTGACTTCAGAGGCAGTGGTTTCATCGGCGCCTTACCTCCCAGGTTATGGTCGTTACCAGACCTGAAGATTCTTGATCTTTCTGGAAACCAATTCTCCGACTCGCTGCCTAATACCACCACTGGCAGTTCTGATCCTACTGTCTCGTTGCTAAACATATCCGGGAACATGTTCTACGGCAACCTCACACTTTTACTGAAAAGGTTTCGAGTTGTTGATCTGTCAAGAAACTATTTTGAAGGTAAAGTTCCAGACTTTGTGCCCACCAATGCTTCCTTGAGCAACAATTGTCTCCAGGGGCCAACGAACCAGCGAGAATTGTCCGATTGCACCTCGTTCTATTCCAAAAAGGGATTAGCTTTCGACAATTTCGGACAAGAACCTGAACCGAAAAGGGAACCAAAATCTACCTGGTTAAGCCACAGGACTATAGTTATAATTGCTGCAGTTGGAGGATCTATATTGGTCATGCTCATTCTCATATTGTTACCAATAACAGTGAGTTTCTGTGTCCGTAGAAGAAACAGATCATCAACAACTAGTAGTACTCATCATCGTAGAGGGAGACACAACGGCGTTGGCCCATTGCCTCCTGATGAAACACTTCCCTCGGGAAGAGGTGTAGCTGGAGGAGTCTCTATAAACTTTGCGAGTCTTGGAACGTCGTTTACGTATCAACAGCTGCTCAACGCCACGAAGGAGTTCCGTGATTCGAACCTGATTAAAAGAGGAAAGTCAGGGGATCTCTTCAAGGGCGTTCTAGAAACCGGAGTTCAGGTCGTTGTGAAAAGAATCCGCTTGGAATCGATGAAGAACAGTGAAACGTATCTAACCGAGTTGGATTTCTTCAGCCGGTTTGCTCATCCGAGAATAGTCCCGTTTGTAGGGAAATGCTTAGAGAGCGCAAGCCATAAGTTCTTGGTGTATAAGTACATGCCGAACATGGATTTACCAAGCTCCTTGTTCTACAAATCCAATTCCCTTGTTGACGACGGATTGAAATCTCTCGACTGGATCACAAGGTTGAAAATCGCACTGGGAGCAGCAGAGGGGCTTGCTTATCTGCACCACGACTGTTCACCATCTATCGTCCACAGGGATGTTCAAGCAAGCAGCATTCTCCTGGATGATAAGTTTGAAGTTAGGCTCGGAAGCTTTAGCAGAGCTTGTCATCAAGAAAACAGTGGCCGTCCCCGGAAAATTGCCAGACTGCTCAGATTATCCCAGTAAGTGTCTCCAGTTCAGACACACAGAGTTGAATAAGTTAAGCCAAAATTCGATAAAACATCTAACAACAAGCTTCCTCTGCCTTTTGATTTTGTGTTCTCCCTCTTCAGGTCTTCTTCTTCTCAAGAAAGTGTTCCTGGTGCGTTTTACCTCCAAAATATCAAGAATTTGAATCGATGATACAAATCCCCCAAAATTCTCTATGTACTAACAACAATCAAAAACTTCTTCCCCTAAAATTTGCAGGCTCTCCAGCAACAGCAACATGTGCATACGATGTCTACTGCTTCGGCAAGATACTACTGGAGCTAATCACAGGAAAACTGGGAATCAGCTCATGCGAAGAAACCCAGTTCAAAAAAATGCTAGCAGAGATTATGCCCCACATTTCATCACAGGAGAAAGAACCAGTGACCAACATTCTAGACCAATCTCTTCTCGTCGACGAAGACCTCTTGGAAGAAGTCTGGGCGATGGCAATCGTCGCCAGATCTTGTCTAAACCCTAAACCCACGAGAAGGCCGCTTATGAGACACATAGTCCAAGCACTGGAGAACCCTCTGAGGGTGGTGAGGGAAGACAGCAGCGAATCGGAGAGATTCCGTACGACGGGGTCTTCGAGGGGATCGTCGAGTAGCGGAAGAGTTTTCGGTAGTTGGAGACAGAGCTTGTCTGATCCAGTCGCGGCGGGAACGAGTAGCCTTCTGTCTCAGGCGGAGGGTTTAGCGAGGCCCGGCGGCGTGACGGGATCGTCGACGAGGGGAAGTAGCCGTGGCGCGTCGAGCCGACGAAGTACGAAAGATGTATAGCAAAAACCCAGACCAACAACCACACGATCATGATTTTGTTATTATCTTTTTTAATTTCTTTTAATTTTTAAATATTTTTTTGTGGTTATGATTTGTTTCCCTTGTTGATAAATTCCCACAAATTTATAATCTTTCGAATCTTGGATGATCAAAATTCAAAATCCGACCAGTTTTGGTTTCTATGAAAAGTGAGATTGCAGTTGCAGCACGAAATCGAGTCGTTATGAAATGGTAAAGTCCAGTTACAGGAGTAATAGCAAATAAAAGAGCGTCGTGAATCAACAAGACAAATCAAAAATATCACTCAGATTCCAATTCGGCAGATGGGATTCCGTTTAATGAGATCAAGATCCACCTGCCAAGAACGAAACAAGGGTTGAGCATAGGTGGCAATGGAAACAAGGGAATGTCTTAAGAAGAAGAAGGGAAATCTTGTGATTACCTTGTGTCCGAACAAGTCTCGGATGTTGTCGATACCGTACAATATCATTGTTGGTCTGGTTTGTGAACAAACAAAAAACAAGAAAGAATCAGGCAATGACCCTGAGATGTTGATGGAAATTCAAAAATCAAATACCTTTCAAGAGAAAGACCCCAAGCGATGACTCGAACATCCTCAGGGAGACCCATCGGTAAAAGCATTTCGGGTCTGAACATTCCAGAGTTTCCAATCTCCACCCACTTCCCTAAACCTTCATGGTAACTGAAATACAGGAACAGACCGAGTTTTTAACCTTTTTCTGTCTCTGTTTTATGCATATTAAAAGACTAATAAATTAATTTTCCCAATTACCTGAAAATCTCCATGCTTGGCTCTGTGTAAGGGTTGTAAGCTGGCTTGAACCGCAGTTTTGACATCCCTGAAAAGCATGATCGCGTAAAGATTTTTTGTTTCTCTCTCCAGAGTTGGACCAAACCAAAGTTAAGATACAAAAGGAAGCGTTTACCTAAGCGTGAGAAGAAGTCATTCAATACACCAATCAGGTTTCCGAGTGTAAGGCCCCGATCACATATCAAACCTTTTCAAAACATGAGATCATTTAACCGACTGAAAATGAGGTGACAAAGTTCGACAAAACATGATGCTAATTTTGAAATCATTCAACAACATTTGACAAGTATTACTATACCTTCAATTTGATGGAACTCTGCCAGGTGGGTCCGATCAACAGCCTCGTTTCTGAAGACACGGTCAATTGAAAAGTACTTCTTGGGCACAAAAGGTTTCTGCAGCAAGATAGAAATCTAATTATACAACTGAAATTTGAAAACAAACTTTCCACAACCTGTAAGTGGCTAGCCAATAGAGAGAATCGCTTAGAAACATAACACAGTTACGAAGCGCTAGGCTAGAGTCTAGCCATACCTGTGCTAGTGCATAAAGCATCCTAGAAGAGACTGCCGTTGTGTGAGTACGGAGAAGATTCTTGTTGGCTTCTTCTCTTTTCCAATCATAATTATACCTTTATTGCAAAACGCCATGTGAGAGTGCTTACAAATCCTTTATAACTAATATGAGGTAGCAATAATAGATACAAGTCAAGTACCCTCTAGATCCATATCCACCAGACTCATGAACACGTTTCACCCTCTCAACATAATCTTCCGGCAGTGTCCTTGTAGTAGAAGGAGCTACATTCAAAGATTAAAACATTAGCATTAAGAGTTAGATAGTCATTGAAGTTTCATCAAGTAAAAGATGTCCCAAAAAACAGATTGAGTGACTAAGCGTTCAACATTAGAACCTTTGAGAAAGAAGGTGTCGTGAGAATCACGAGCAGGGTGCTGTTGAGGCTGGAACAATGCATCGAAATTCCAGAAGCTACATATTATTGGAAACATGTTAACGATCAGCTAACGAATAGCAAGAACAAGCGTCAAAATAAAATTTCCCTAATCCTACATGAAAAACTGAAGACCATTAAATATGATTCTGCAATAACTAGACGATACCTGCTCTCCACAAAGTTGTTTGTTGGCATCTCCTCAAACCTGTGATCACATAAGGCCCACCATTAATTTTGACCAGCAACAGAAAAATGGAGAAATGACAAATTCCACCAAGAATTTCTCTCACCCCATCTGAACAAATATGTCTTTAAACTGCTTCCGCACCTAAGAAACAAGGAAAGAAAAAACTTAGTAAGTTTGTTATAAGAAAAGGTTACTCAAAAAACATGAAGTATAGTAGAAACGATAACAACTAATGCACACTATCTACACTTGAGCTATACAAAACGCCAAGCTTAAACTAGAGGAAATTAACAAAAAACAAAATTTGTGTCAGCTTACCTTGAGAAGGGGGTGAAGATGTCCAGCCTCAAGAGGCGCTCCTTTAGCATTGAAGTTATACTCTTTAAATTCTAACTCTTTCCAGCTGTAGGTAAGTACCAATTTCCTATCTTAAGTGCATATACCACCTATAATAATATTAGAGAGTTGAAAAATGGCAAGGTATAAGGACAAACTTTTGTAGATTTTCTCGAGTCAAATCAGTGGCCACTTTCTTTCTCTCAGGAGCATAATTAGGGCCTTTCGTTACGGAATATCCCTTCCATGTCCTGAGAAGTATGAAAGATACAAAAAATTGATAATGTCTCCCAAAACAAACAAAACACATAAAGAAAAGTGGAAGTCAATTACTGTGGTGCTATGAGTTTTCTGGCTTTGAGAGAATTGATACCGTCTTTGTCAATCACCTGAAGGGGAGAAAAAGATACTTAAACCAATATGAACTGTGAAGGCAAATACAACATACAAACCATCTAGTGAAATAACATGTCCCAAACCTTTCCTTCTTGAATTTTTAAAAGCAGCTCTTTCACTGTATCTTCTATATGTTGGACCTAAAAATAAAATGGTTCCGAGCATGTTACATAGCAGATAGACGGATAGCAAATCATCACCGAGAAGAATCTAGCATATACCTTCCTCGAGACTTGCTTTCCCATTTCCACCCACTTGTTTTTTCCAGCTTGTGAACAGCCGATCTTGAAGAGGGAAGGAGCTAGCTTTTTCTGAAATATGGAAAATTTTACGGCTGTTATATTAGCATCACTGGCAAATCTCACCATATATGTACACACATTCACATATCCATTGCAATCACCTGGAGCTCGTCTTTTGATATGCTACCTTCTTCTGGCACAGCTAAGAAAAGTTGTGCCTCTGGTGATCCTTGTGCTGCATACTTCTTCCCTTCATCAGTCAAAACCCATGTCTCCCTTTTAAGGTCCTGTAGAGTAAATGGTCAAGAAATGTTTTACAGTGCAGTCTACTAAACCTTGTTTACGATTGACACTAATAAAATGAGTAAACCCAGATTCTCGTAACTTTAAATGTGATTTCTTCAGTGGCATTCATGAGAAACTTACAGCCAGATTTTAAAACGTTTTTAATCTAACATACTACACCCATAATCGAAACCCTATCGAATTCTCCGGAAACATGGATATGGATCGAAGATTTGAGATTAAACGGTGACCTGAACATCGATGTAACGAAAACCATGGAGGCTTTTGATGACATTGACGACTTCATTGTGGTCAAGGTTGTGCTCGGCAGAAAATTGACCCGAATCCGTGATTTGCTCGTTGTTCAGCAGAAACCCTAGTATCGCTTCTTCTGCCATTATCCCCTTTGATTTTCTGTCTTCAACGTTCGTATTTCAATTTCTCCACAGTTCTGGTTTTGCGCTCAGTTTTAATCCGGTCCGGTCAAAGAGATGAATATTTTTGTTTTTATTAAAGTATAAAGGAGGAGACAATTATGTGGGCTTTTAGTGGATTTATTTGTAAATTTGAAACTACAGATCCCAGTTTCTGAATTGAGCCCAAATTGTTGATTGAGGAGACAATTATGTGGGCTTTTAGTGGATTTATTTGTAAATTTGAAACTACAGATCTCAGTTTCTGAATTGAGCCCAAATTGTTAACAGACACACAAAAGAATATTATTTCAACCGCACCGCAGCCTTCTTGTAGCAGCTTTGTTTGTAGATCGACCCTGTCTGATAGGATTTAAAGCTATTTGGAACACCTTTCAATAGTCAGGTGTAACACATTTCGGACGTTTTATAACTGATTGTCTTTTGCTGGGGTATTTCTTATTCGAATGCAAACTCTATGACAACGTTCACAACCATAATGCGTTCTTGTAAAGACAGTAGATTCCTCTCTGTTTCTCGCCATCGTAACAAAAAGAGGCTCCCCTCCCCAGTAACTTCCATTGAGTTCTAACGCCTTCTCTGGATATTCTCCCATATTAATCAAAGCATATCTGAAAGGAACGAGCAAATCTTATGGTTTGTACTCCCTTCGTTTCATAAAGAGTGTTGTTTTAGAGTTTTATTTTTGTTTCACAAAGAGTGTCGTTTTAGATTTCCAATGCAAATTTATAACAAAATATCCAGTTTTAATCTTGTTACTTTAGTGTATTAATTAAAAAGAGAGAGTTATTTAGTGTATTTATTAGAGATAGAAAAAACTTTTTGTTAACTTTCTTAATTTGTATGAAAAGTGTTAAAATGACACTTATTTTGAAACAGATGGAGTATTTAACTCAAGTTGTCGAAGACTGGAGTAACAAGTGACAAACACAATGGGATGGCCGGTTTTACAATGAAAGGGAACAGAAACCCCTGTGACCGGTCCACAAGAACTGAAGTGTTGTTTCAATGCACTCTTGATTTCATCCCTAGCGAGGGAACACCTGAATCCCAAGACGAAAATGGTTTCCGGCTTAACCATAAATGCATCCTTAGATTCGAAATAGCATTCCTTTGGAGTTTCTTCCTCCTAAAGAAGAGGTTGAAATTATACAAATACATCAGTTATAGAGTGCAAATGTATCATTCCTCAACATACACAAGAGCATACTTAAAAACACATATACCTTCAATGAATTCTCCGGTATATCTGACTTCTTGAGATACATGCCCTCCTTGTGCTCCGAAGACTCCATAGTTGCTTCAAACTAGAAGGACTAGTGTCATCAGTCACATAATTTCTAATAGACTGGTGGTTTTAACCGTGTTATAAACGAAAATGTGCACATAGAAAAAGCAGACATCATAAAAATATATCATTGATTAATCAGTGCCTAAAATCATCTGTGATTGAACAAGGTAAACGAATCTGAACAGACTTATTAGAAATTTCTCATTTTCATAAAAACTATAGCAGATACAGCCACTAAACAGTGTATTAGAGAAATTTAAGCTCTGACCTTCTTCTGCTTCTTCCGAGTTCTTGCTTAGGGGTTGCTTGAATCTAAAAATATACAAAATAAAACCAAGGTGCAATCAAAAGCGGTTGATGATTGTGTAAAGAAGAAAGACACAGAGAAGAAGAGGAAGGTTACATCGGATTCATTGGGCCTCTTCCTCTGATCGGCCATCGAAAAGTTGAGATGGAATAGAGAGGGAAAAAACCCTAAACTGTTTGAAGGAGACTGTATTTATACTGACCTTTGTGGGTTCGGCTTTTATTAAATGGACCTTTGGGCTTCCATTATCCACGATTTTCAAATGGGCTTCTATTATCCACAATGTTAAAAGTCGGGTTACATACATCTTCGAAATTCGTAAAACGACGGCGTTTTTGGGTTGTAGGGTTTAGTGATCGGTTCACATGTCGGATCCATTTCGTTCATTGTGGTGTTCCTCCTCTCTCTCCTCGAGCACAAGAAAAACTCAAAAATTTAACAAAATCGGAGATGGCATCGTTTTGCAGATCAGCGCTAATGGCAGGTTCCAGAAACTTAGCATCGAGATCCAAAAGCGTTACTCAAAAGTCCCTCAATCTTAAGCCAACAACGACTTCGTCTCCGTTCCCTTCGCCGTCCCAATCCGTCCCTCGCGCTTCAAGGTGAGCCACTCATCCTCGGCCAATTTCCAGAAATTCAGTGAATATTCATGTCTCTGTGCGTGTTCGAGAAAGCGTGGTGTTTTAACCAGAAAACTCTCCCAACGCAATGTGAAGGGTTCTCTCGGCTTTGGGAGGCGTTGAAACGATGATTCCGCTTCACAGTGCGGTTGCTTCAGCTCGGCTCCGGTCAAGCATCGCTGCTGATTCCTCCTGTTGGAGCTGGCTTTCCCAGGGTAACAAGCTTCGTCTTTTCCCTTTGCTTCTTTCAATTTGTTGTCTTTGTGCTAGTTTCTTTTTGTGTGTGGATTGTATCCGTTTCTTCTGCTTTTATCATTTGTTTTCATGGCTTTGGAATGTTTTGAGAATCAAATTGAACCTCAAGAGCTAGAATCTCGCTTTTTGAAATGATATATTTGATTAGAAGCATAACTGTGACAAGAGGGATTTCACTAGTTTATACTCTGTGAAACTGAAACAATCAAAACTACTTCTGATATGAAACTAAATCATTTTTTTTTTGTGTGAAAGATATGTTTTTTGAGTTTACTAAAGCAGGAGCAATTGTGTCTTCGCTCAATATGGTTCGAAAAGAAACAAAGCATGATTAAAAATCAAAACTTTTGACAGATTTTTGAAGGAAGAAACTGTTACTTTCTCTCTTACTGAATCATGTTTTGTTGAGATACATATATGGTTGGTCTTAGATTCTTAACGTGCTTGTGTTATGTCCTAAAAGCTTTGCTTCTCTGACTTGTGGCTCTTCTACTTATATGCGATAGGACTTGCCACGCCTTTGTGACCCCGCTCTGCTGGAGATCTATCTATATAAGGCGAAAATAAATCAAAATTTTTAGGACTTGCTTTCAGACAATGAATGAACAACAACATTTCGTTTTCTAGTTTGAGCTCTATCGTCCGTGTATTGTTACGGTTCACATGGACTTGTTGCTCCAAAGTTCTTGCAGTCTTTCTACTGCTATGTGGATCCACATACTTTGGGGCTTTTCCTTTCATGATGTCAAGTTCCGTGTTCGTCTTGATTGTTCGTGCAGATTACTACTCTAGTCCTACTGCGTTTTTCATTTTCTGAATCTTGTCTGCTGATTTTCTTCATTTTTCTCATCGTCTCTTAGAACTGGGAGTTCCTCGGTGACACCATCTTGATCTTGAAGCGTTGCCCATGGGTTGAGTCTTGGTATTGTGATGTTTGACACTAGCTTTATGTGACCAGTCATATGACCGGTTTTGTCCGGTTTAGGTTCAGATTGTTTCCCAATTTGGTTCGTGTTTTCTTAATTCTAGACTTTTTGGAGCATGGATGGGATATTAAATATCTCAAACTATTAATCATCATCTTATAGGCATTCTAGTGAACCCATTAGATTTGGTTATTGCATTCTAACGAACATAATTAAATTTATAAACCCTTCCAACTAATAATTGTGAATCTAAACTGTATCTTGCAGGCTACTCTTAAACCCGTTTATTCATAATAATGATGTGAGCATAACTGCATAACTATATTTCTTTTTATTTATTTTTCTGGTCCACCAACTATGTAGCTACCGTATTGGTATGCTAGAAAAGAGAATCAATATACCATAAATAAATACGAGAACCCCACCACATTCACCAGACAAATTGTCCAACGCCAATTTCGCCAGCATTTTTCTTTAGATTACGAAGGGTGAAAAGTGAAAACGTTAAAAGCTGTAGGAAAATTACTAGTTATAATTACTATTTTAGGGGGAAAAAATAATTACAATCTCTAAGACATAAAAAACTGTAGAGTAAAAGTCTAAATCAAAAGACAAATAAGGGAAAAAGGGGGAAAAAAAAACCAATGTATTTTTCGTCTTTAGGCCTCTCTGTATCCCAACATCGTTATCTAATTAACCGCGTAACGAGATGGACGGGCACAAACACAAACACAACAATATACACAACATGTGTGTGTGTGTGTGCGCATGCCTATATAATAGCCTCATGTTCTTAATATAATAACTCGAACAAGAAATAGTAAGAGGATTTTAAAATATAACAGACTAGCTACATGGGAAATTGTGCACTAAAGCCAAAAGTTCTGTCGGAAGCCGGAGCTCCGGCACCGGAGGAGCTTAAGGATTCACTTCTTGAAGATCAGAAGATCGACGCTGCGAAATCTCTTAGCAACTTGTTCCTTCAAGTAAGTCACTACAAATTATGAACACAAACATTATGTAATGTTATAGTCTTGCAATTGATTCTAATAATCTTTCTATATCGTTTGTGATTTTTGGTCAACAGGACAAGGCAGATAAGAAAAGTAAAGAGGACGAGATGACAACACCGGAAAAGATGCCGGTAGCTGAGGATCTGAAAACAGCTTTTGCTGATGCAAAATCTCCAACAACAGAGGAAAAATCTCCGGCAACGGAGACAGAAGCTCCAGCTGAAAATCAGAAGGTTATGAACGAAGAGGCCATTCGTGGCCAGAAAGTGATCGACGATGCGACTGTGAAAGAGACAGAAACAGAGGCGAAGCCAGAGGAAGTCAGAAAATAAGCAGTAGCTCAATGAAAGAAGCTTAAAACTTAAAAGCTAGTTTCTGCGTTTGCGTTCTTGATACCAATACGCTTGTTCAAGATTTTTGTTTTGTTTTACGTTCTGTTTGTTCTGTATTCCGAAATCCAAACGCTGAGTAACGTCAGAGTTCATTTACACAATTCGTCAACTTACAAAAATGTCGACGTAAGATCCTTGAAACGCTAGTTTCTGCGTTTAAGATTCTTGATAGCAAACGCTTGTTTCGGATATTTGTTTAGATATATGTTTGTTCTCGATGTCCCTATCTCACTTCTTCGCTAGATTACAAATAAGAAGAGAGAAAGTTCTAGGTCTATAGAGAGATAGATCCATCATGTCGCAGCAGAAGAAATTCATTTTCCTGGTCGACGAAGGGAGAGGAGGTTAAATATACTGCCGTTGGCTTTACCAAAATGCTAAAGGAAAGAGATGATTAGTCTGTTACTAATAGGTTACCTTCCTCCTGGTGAATATATATATTCGAAAGCCTATCAACAGAAAAATTTCTCATGGCTGCTAATTAATGAAGTCTTGATCTGGAAGTTTGCTTTATTTCTGTCCTTTTATTATTGTGGTTATTATTTTTACTAGGAAAAAGGACTTCATTTCGCGGGGTTAATTTGTAATATATTAAAAATTTAGTTAAAATTTATTTAAAATAATTATAAGTAAAATATATAGAATAAAAATTAATAATAAAAAATATAAACATTCAAAACAATTTATAATAATTAAAATAAAAAGGTATATTTTTAATTATTAACAATGAGTTTTAAAGGGAAATATACAAACTAATTAAGATAAAAAGATTGTTACTACTAATTATTAATAGAAAAAATAAAAAAACTAAAAAATAATAAGATACATAACTTTTTAAATATGAAAATATACAATCTAAAAATATAATATAAATATGCAATTTTTAAACTATTTTTACAATTATTAAAAATTTGTATTCGCAAAAAAGTGTAAAGCAAAAAATAAATATCTAGGCAATCTTTCAATAATAAACCCACTATAGTAAGAAAGTAAAAGTTAGATCCAATTGATTTTTTTCTGTGGTTTTAAGCAGTATAAATAGCTTTGAAAAAACACAAATAACAGTTGTGATGGAAAAACACAACCATTGATAATGCAAAGACGCCACTATAAATTTTGAAAAGACACAACTTTTTAAAGCGCAAGTGGCATTTATTTGGATCATTATTATAGATAGAGTGGTTTTTTTATGTGATTTGAATTATATAAATAATTCGAATAGACCCAAATTATCTGTGATGAAAAAAATACAACCATTAATCATGAAAAAATGCAATCATTTATGATGAAAAAATACAACTATTTATATTGAAAGTATGCACCCACAAATTTTGAAACCACACAACTTATCAAAATGCAAATAGTCTTTCTAAACACAACCCTTGAATTATTAGATTTGATGTTATAAAAAAGAACGCTGACTTTAAAAACTTTCATTATTTTACAGTTTATTGTAATAATAAATCCATAGTAGTAAGAAAATAAAAGTTAGACCTAAATAATTTTTTCTGTGGTTTTGAATGATATAAATAGTTTTGATAAGACACAAATAACAGTTGTGATGAAAAAACGCAACTATTTATAATGAAAAGAATCAACCATTTATAATGAAAAGATGCACCCACACATTTTAAAACGACACAACCTTGTAAAGGGTAAGTGGCATTTATTCAGATATTTATGTTTTGCAAGTGACATTTATTCGGATAGTTACCAATTTTGTCACCGGTCACCATTATAGTAAGAAAGTAAAAATCAGATCCAAATAATTATTATAGATAGATAAAACATATATTAAAAAAATTAAAAAAAAATGTTTGGCTTAGTAGAAAGAAAACACAACTCTTGAATTATTAGATTTTATTTCATATAAAAGAATGCTGTCATAAAAAACTTTCATTATTTCACAGCTTATTGTAATAATAAACTCATTATAGTAAAAAAATAAAAGTTAAACCTAATAAATCTAAAAAAAATAAAAGTTAGATTCAAATAATTTTTTTCTGTGGTTTTGACCGATATAAATAGTTTTGAAAAGACACAAATTATAGTTAATGAAAAGACGCAACCATTAGTAATAGAAAGACGCAACCACAAATTTTGAAAAGACACAAGTTTTTGAAGTACCAAAACAACCATAGGTAATGAAAAGACGCAACCACAAATTTTGAAAAGACACAATTTTTCGATATGCAATTGACATTTATTGAAATTGTTATTATATATAGATTTATAATAAATTTTTTTTTGGGGGGGGGGGGGGGGGGGGTCAAATTGTGGTTATTCTATGTATCTTATTCAATAAGTCAGTATTAAGGGTTTCGACTTTTTGGGTTAGGGTTTTAGTGAGACTCGAATGTGAGATCGATGGAAGCGTGGATAGGAGGAATATACTAATGATAGAGATACTAATGAAAGAATTTAGAAAAAAAGAGAAAGTAAATTTAATGTTTGCTATAAACGGCAAATGCGAACGAAGAAGGATGGTGAAGAGAGGAAGCGATGATGCTTCAAAAGAGATGCGTGCAATGGGGGTTTTGTTGTGATGGGCTTTAGAGATATAACATGCGGGTAAAGACCCGGACCCGAAGACTGATCCGGACTCGGAGCATTTAATTGGGAGACAACAACTAAAGAGGTCACCAAACTCTCGAGCCTCGCGAGACATGTCAATTTATACATGTAGGAAACTGCCAATACTATATAGACACGTGTACATAGTTTGTTGTAGCTATAATAAACGCGGCCGCTTCTAACCACCACCGGTTCATGGGCGACATAAATGATTTGTGTGATTCGTTTAGAAAATCATTCACCATAATATAGAAGATTGATACACAATCATTTCTTACGATTTATATAGTACTTCGTTTGATAAATCAAAACTGATCACATAATTAATGTCAAATGAGGATGAACGCATCGAGATTGGTATAATAAAGATCGACTTCTTCACTAGAAAAAAAACAAAATAATTTGTTTTATGATGTTTTCATGCAAACAAAATCACGGGACGCTCTAATGAAATAAAATTTGTTTTATGATGTTTTCCAAAAGTAACGTATTTTTATTCTACATACAATGAAATAAATTAATATATAACTGTAGTTTCTTAATTTACGGATGAAAGCAATAAAAGAGATATTAATTGCTGGAGCTACTTCCTCTCCTCTGTAAGTGCCCATATATGCACCACTCCCTTGAGAGACATCCATAGAACATAAGCCCAATCTCCCACTCACTCACTCACTCAGACAAACACAAACACAGAAACAAAATGGCGAAATCTCCAGAAACAGAGCATCCGAACAAAGCCTTTGGTTGGGCTGCCAGAGACAAATCTGGCCTTCTCTCTCCTTTCCATTTCTCCAGAAGGTTCATATTCCTCTCATCAGTCTCTTGTTTTGTTTCTAGTACTCTGTTTCTCTTTTTTTGGTTTATGTCCGTACAGTTTTAAAAAGCTATAGTTTTTGTTTCTCTCATGTGGGTATAACCTCTTTGAGATTTATCGAATTGAATCTAACAAAATGTAGATTTTGTCTGAGATCTGTTACAAAGTTTGTGTTTTTTTGTTTGTTAAAGTTCAAAAAAAAAAAGTATGTTTTTGTCTGCTTCTGTTTCATTTAAACTGGTTTGATTGTTTACTCTGCAGAGACAATGGTGAAAATGATGTGACAGTGAAGATCTTGTATTGTGGAGTCTGCCACACTGATTTGCATACCATCAAAAACGACTGGGGATTCACGTATTACCCCGTAGTTCCCGGGTGGGTAATAAAAATAGTTAAAGCAAACACAATCTTATGTAACAATGTTTCGGTTTGTATATAACAAAACCTTTTTTTTCATATAAATCAGGCATGAAATCGTTGGAATCGCTACAAAAGTTGGCAAAAACGTGACTACATTCAAAGAAGGAGACCGCGTAGGAGTAGGAGTGATCACTGGTTCTTGTCAATCTTGCGAGTCGTGTGACCAAGATCTTGAAAATTACTGCCCTCAGATGGCTTTCACATACAATGCGATTGGATCCGATGGAACCAAGAACTACGGTGGATATTCAGAGACCATCGTTGTTGATCAACGCTTTGTTTTGCGGTTCCCCGAGGGATTGCCGAGCGATTCAGGTGCGCCATTGCTGTGTGCTGGAATCACTGTGTATAGTCCAATGAAGTACTATGGTATGACTGAGCCAGGGAAGCATCTCGGTGTGGCTGGCCTTGGTGGGCTTGGTCATGTTGCTGTTAAGATTGGTAAAGCTTTCGGTTTGAAAGTTACTGTGATTAGTTCTTCTCCTAGTAAAGAAGACGAAGCCATTAATCGACTTGGCGCTGATTCGTTTCTTGTCTCAAGTGATCCTCGGAACATGAAGGTAACAAATCTGGTTTTTGGTTCTGTTTTGTTCCGGATTTTAAATTTTAATCAGTCTATTGTATATAGTAACCGAAATGAAACAAGAAACGATCTGTTTTGTTTTGTTTGTGTGGAAACTTTAGGCTGCAATTGGAACTATGGACTACATTATCGATACGGTTTCAGCAGTACATGCTCTGTTTCCATTGCTCAGTTTACTCAAAGTCAATGGAAAACTCGTCACTTTAGGCTTACCTGAGAAGCCTCTTGAGCTACCAATCTTCCCTCTAGTTCTCGGTAAAGAAAACCCTACAAACTTTCTCTGCAAACTCTTATTTCGTGTAACACAAGTTAACCTGATTTATTGTGTACAGGAAGGAAGATGGTGGGAGGAAGTGACGTTGGAGGGATGAAAGAGACACAAGAGATGCTTGATTTCTGCGCAAAGCACAACATAACGGCAGATATTGAATTGATTAAGATGGATGAGATTAACTCCGCAATGGAGAGGCTTGCTAAGTCGGATGTTAGGTACAGGTTCGTGATCGATGTGGCTAACTCCTTGAGCCCTCCATGACTTAGTCGAAT